AGTCAGCGTAAGAATGACCACAATCGAAGTCGTTGCCAATTTCACCTTGGTCAACTATTACACAAGCGGCTTTTCTAAGCTGTATGAATTTAGAACTTGGCCCCAAACTAAAAGGTCCAATTCTTTCTGACGCAAAGAGTCCAGCGTCCATCCTGATTGACCGTTCAGCCAGTATCCACTACCAATACCAAGTCCGTTTCTCCAGGGGTCGCAACGCTATACCAGGCTTTGATTAATACAACAGTGATGAGTGACGGCGACTTGATGGCCGTGTTTCTTTCAACGGGAGACGATCGCCTGGCCAAAATTCTTGACGGGATTTCCAGGCATCGGCCAAGCGTTTCGGTGTTTACGCCGTTCTTGGGTCACGACGCGCTGGACATTCGCACGTCACCGGCCGCAATCCATCACAATTGTTTGGCAATTCAGTGTTTGCCTAATGGTCAGCCAAGACAGAGACCGCTTACTAAAGTAAATGACAAGTGACATCTACTATTAATAATGAAGCAGAATCGTATTTGAAGCGGGGTTTTTTTGCGGGGGGGGGCGAAGAGTTTTAAAACTGTTTTAGCCGGCTGGCTTGTTTAATTGTTCGTTCTAATTTCCCGACACATGTATCCGTATCAAAGATTTTACACATATCACGTGAGCAAGATCTGTTTGGTGGAATTCTACTCCTTATTCATCCTCAACACCCTCTTTGGTTAAGAAATATTGTCCAAATTCAAGTAGAAACGTGTCCTAACCTATCTCTACTGCAGGATTTTTAAAACTGTTTTACACCTCTACAACTTATCATTAATCTTTAAGTGCCTCCTTACGACAATGGACAATTATTCCACATACTGACATGTTTAATATAGCAATAATGTGTTTTCATAAGTATTGACAGTACTTAATAATGTTTTATTTCATTACGAGACTATTACGCGAGGCCAGAGCCATTACTCGCACGGTGTGTGGTTAATAACCCGACCATCTGTACCTATTTCCATCAATCACTGCTCATCAGTCAAAGGGAGGAATGAGCACAGACCACGGTATACCACGCACGACCAGCTGGAGATGGTTAGAAGTCAAGGTTACCATAACAGATAACTGGCCGATGACTATGTTAACACATTCTAGGATACAAGCTTGGTTTAATTTCCCCAAATGAGAAACAAAATAATTGCTTTGAATTACTGTTAAATTTGGTTTGTTTAAAGGTCTGTGAAATACCGGTTCTTGATGTTGGGCCCCTAGCTTCTTGGTATAAAGAGTTTCACGAGCGATTCTCATACATTCAAACTGAAAAATAAAAAGTAGTTCAAAAGGACATTTTTATTGAAGAATTAATTTAAGTAAACTTTCATTGAACGGCAATCCATTTTATTTAGTTAGTGGACAATTTAACCTTTACATGTAGCCGAATACTTGGCAGAGTTGTGGAAATGTGATTGACTACAGAAAACTTGCACATTTTCGTGAATATGATTTAAAATATTCCCGGTGCCAAATTCGGAATACGAGCATTGCAAATTTATGACATACCACTCGGCCAGTGCAGCTTGTGTCCCTTGACGATCGTTTGTGAATACTAAATGATATTTATGACATATACCATGACCTTGACCATGACACATTTCTAATGTATATCGCGGGAGAGACGGCCGTTCGTGTAGTCATAACATAAACAGGATTGGCAGTGTATAATACAAATTGTAGGGCTCCGATACTATCCAGAATGGTACAAATACAGCTTGGGAAAACTTGTTTTGAGGACACCAAGCCACTCTGAAAGAATCTGCCAAAAGTCATGGCCTTCCAATGGCATTTCCATCAGAAACATGTTCCCTGCTGTCATCAAGGCGGATATCCTTGTCCTCGTTATGAACATTACAGCGCGATACCCACGGGGATACATGTCATATCAAGATACGATTTGCGAGATGTAATCGGATCGGATTTGGTAAGCCTTGGTTGATAAGGATACGTAGCCTTGAAAGTTGAGGGATGGATGCGGTTCTGCAATAATGTTCCAGTTCTGTTTCTTCTGCAACATAAAAAGCTGATTCCTCTGCGAATAGTGGCTCTCAATTTGCTTCTCGCCATTATCTCTTACGTGATGGGGGTGATGACTTCATTGTGCCTTAAACAATTGACCAATCACGTCCCTGCCTTGAGCCACGTGTGCACCTTTTCCAAAGGTCACGATACAAGGTTTCCTGATTTGTAGCATGTTAGATTGTTCGAGTTCAGTTTTTACTGTCAAAATCCCCCCAAAAAATGTTCTGTCTTTCTGGAGGCTTCTTCAATCTAAAGTATTAATATTCCCTTGTAAAAAAAAGTATTCGTGAGGATAAATTGTATTGCTAAACCGCATTATTTGAATTATTTAGGTCGTTCTGCTCAGTTGTCCTGAAAACGGCGTCCACGCGTTGAAGTAAGATCGAACTTTAATTTTGGTGGGAGAGAAACATTTCGATCTTCCTCAAAATTATTTGGTTTTAAGTTCACTTAGCGTGTTGTAATGGTACCTACTTATCCGATGCCCGTTTATTGGGCCAAGTATATCTCAAAACAAGATTAATAGGTTCGTCCAAACACGACCATCAATATTCGTCCAAGTATGTGCGGTCCCTCGACATTCGACCGGCCGGACCACAATGAAATATTCCCCGGGTCGTAGATTCCAGAATACTGGTCTCTTCTTCCAAATATTGGAAGTGTTGACTTCGGAAACGGAATTCCTGAGAATGAAATATAGCGTGAAGACTGTGATAAAATTTCCGGCAATTGTAATGGGCCAGAACTAGATGCATTACGCCCGTTTCTGGATACTATTTACGCTCTTCATTTTGGGCCCTCTCAAAGGAGAGAGAGAGAGAGAAAAAAAGAGAGAGCGTTAACTGTTGAGTAATATTCTTTGTGTTTGTTGGTAAGTGTGCTTTGGGACATGATGAATGTGTAATTACATTTAGAAGTTACGCATGGTTAATGTGGAAGGTATAAATGAGTTACGTGGCCTCGGTAAACATTCACCCATGAAACAGTGGGTAATCAATGCACTGAAGCACATGGACAGACCTATATACGGCTGAAGGTTATCCTGATAATATTACTATATTCTTTTTATATCCCAATAAGATGCCATTTTATTACTGCTAAAACTAGGCTACCATGAATTTCAAAAGAGTTACCTATATTGGTTATTTGTCCTAATTAAAAAAGACGCGATCTCATTTATAGACGTGTCTTAATTACATGCAGTCTTCGAAGTATGAACGCTGTCAAATTTTCAAGGTCATTAAGATGACTTTTTGACATTACGTCTCAATCATTATGCGTTCTATAAATGAAACTTGACGCAACCTTATTCCGTAACACGACAGCGCATTTTGCTATCTTCAGTAGATAACACATTATCTCTACGCCACAACATACCGCGCTGTGCGACACAGATATACACGCTCCAGCGATAACCATATACCAGGCTAGCCTGGTATATGGCAAGGACAGATATCAAGCAGAGACCAGCAGCACATTAGCCGGTTCCCATTTACCTATTAACCGCTCTGCTACCTCGGCCAGCCGCCAGGGACTTGCCACGCGAGTCCTGGGGACCGAGAAGCTAATCCCAGCGGGCGCTCATCTGCGCAAATATATAGCCACTGCTCACTCACACGAGTAATATACCAAGACCAATTTAACCGCCTCGATCAAAACACGCAGATAATTTGAGTAAATGGGGTGCGACAGAAATGACCGGTTTCGTTTTGCCTGTTTTCTGTTAATCGGTTGGGATAGTTGACCATTAGTGTAACGCTTCTTGTTCCTCTGTAGGTCTAGCGGATATTCCTTTAATTTTTAAAGTGGGGGCTTGCTTCGTGAGGAGCACAAATCTATTTTAAATGAAGATTGTTGAGGACGTAGGATCCACGCTGTCGGTGATACTACCGATTACCGAGACCCGAAGACCGATGATTGAAGTTGAACTGGGGCGCCCAACGGTCATTTGCTTTAATGGATTTGAAGAGGTTGCTGGTCCGACGGTTGTATTATGGTTTTAGGTTCAATTTGAATTAAACAATACTAATGAAAATTGAAATACAGTCCGCAATCAGATATACAGGTATGGAAAAGATCTCGATCCAAATCCACATGGATCAACTAAATAACATGTCGCTATGAATGACGATTATGCCAGTTTGGTGTTAAAAGCCATCAGTAACGTATGACAAAGAATATAAGGCAATGGATTTCCCATTTAAAATGAATAAATACTTTGCAAATTCAATTACAACGAAGCCCTGCAAGACTTCGTTGCAAATCGATATTGACATGATCCGCTGAGCACAGCCCATACACGACTGCCTGGAAAAAAGAAGGTCACAAGTAGACCTACATTTCGAGTGACCCTCTTCCAAGTACGTCCTAGTTCTTGATACTCAGGTCATTAGATGGTAACACCTCCCTAACACCTCCAGTAACAAATAGTCAAGGGTATGTTGTTCCTCAGCCCCCCCCCCCCCGACTTTGTTCCGGTCTGGTGTAGAGGGCACGGGAAGGTCACCAGTCCCATAGGTGATGTATTCTTTCACATTGCGTGTCGTGGTATAATTAACTCATTTTCTGCTTGATCACTTTTTGTTAAGGTAAAGAAAGGCCACGACATTAATGCTTTTGAAATTGTATTACAATGTATGCCTAGTTGTCGCACATTGACGATGCTGCCTTCACTGTAGTCTGACTGACCTAGAGTTCAAGTACGCGTGACCTGAAAAACGTAGTGCCTACCAAGAGTGTGTGACTATGTAAATGAGTTGACCCTCTGTCAGAGGTCATGTGGCTACTGACGCGCTGGCCGTTCTCGGACTCCATATCTGAATCAGAGATAGCCAAAGTCCGAATTTACTCGGCTACGGCTCCGGAAGACACCACTCCTCATAGACTTGTGTGTTACTGCCTGACGTTGCCAATCTTGAACTTGCTTTTTGTCTTGATCTTTTTCAGTGTCATCCTGGGATAGCTGCAGACGCCCTCTTTGACCAGCTCTATCGCAAGCCTCCGATGACCATGCTGCTGGGCAGCCAGTGCTCGGAGGTGTCCAAACACATCGCACAGATCGTGCCCTACTGGAATCTAGTCATGGTAAGTTCCGTCGTGAAATCACGAGATTTGACGAAACATGGCGAAAATTAAGACATATTCATAAAGATTTGTTCACTCTCACGCCAAAAAGAAAAAACAGCCACAACGTTTTAGTACAGAGTGAAGCAAGCAATTTCATGCATGATGTTATCGATAAGGTACAAGAATTGATATGCTGATACCAACATTTTGACCAGGAACATCGCGTAACTTGACCAATCAGGTCGCTTCGCTTTTGACAATTTGTCCAATGACACAGAGGCAAAGAGTCCTATGGACTCACGCTGACCGTAGACCGGTCTCCAAGACGTAAGTATATGCGTTGAATTTCTAGGATTCAGGTAAAGGCTATGACTGAAACAGAGGCCAAACAAAAACTAATTTGATTAGTTGGGAAATCAAGGATAATGCTTAATGATTATTTCGTCTACACAGTCGGTAGAACCCGCGGCAGAGTATTTGCCGATTCTCCAGACTCTTCTAAGTACATATTGTCTTTGGTGAATAATTCTTGCAAGTGACAAATACTCTGCTTGTCAAACTCTGTTTGGTTTGATCTCGACTTCATTCACTGCATCACTGATCGTACCCAACGATCCATGGCCAGCCGACTGCACTATCAGAGACAATTTCCGCGTCAGTCGCTCTTCGTGAGCTGAGTTTGGACTCATACCGTCAGAGACTCTCTGCTGGTGCCCGATTCGCGGGTAATCTGCCGGCTGTGTCTCATCCCATTCCAGTTGTACGGATACATTCGTCCTTGTCCCCCGTAAATGTTTCGTTGGTTCATCGAGTTTAAAAACATTCGTCTGTCACATTAATATTGTATTATTTATTATCACATTTATTATGTACAATACAAAAAAAATCCAACCAAATGCTATCAAAGCAGTATAGCTGGTCATGAAAATTACAAAAAGAAGGGAAAATCATCCCAGAAAAAAAAATCACAGAGCATGACTAAAGAGATGCCCGAGTGTTACAAAATTCCCCGGTACCCTTAAAGTCACCTGATACTTTTTCAAGATGGCAGGTTATATTCATCATGATCTGTTTGCATGCCCCGCATTTCAATGCATGCTGTCTTTAAGCAGGAGTGACGTGATTTGTGTATGCGGGGATGCTGGGCCACGACTTGCGCTCAGCAGTGTACTAGTTGACAGAAACTGGTTCCCGTATAACATGCACCCCGCGTCTTTCCAAACAACATCAAGACTGGTAATATTGTACATTTGTACATCCACGCGCAACATGGTGGAATGCCTTCGAAAATCGTTACATAGGTCGGACAGAGAGAGCAAGAATTTTGAGTCGTGCCGTGCGCCGTATGCATTTCATAACACCAGCTATATTGCAATTTAACAAGGGGCTATTTAAATATTAGGGTTAGTTATCTCTGAGAAAATGTGGACATTGTGTATTTAAAGAGAATGTTATGGATTGAACTCGATGGCTCATACTGAATGTATTGATAACAGTGATAGATTTCGATGTCATTGTCTAACTATACGATTTTTTTTTTGCTGCCATGTGGCCCAAACCAGTTAATTGGTAGCTTTACCCCAGTTTAAAGTAAAGTACCGCGATTCTTTTAAACAAAATGATCCTAATCTATCTTTTACAGGTGTCCTACGGCGCGACGTCTGTCACGCTCACCAACAGGGAGTTCTACCCGACATTTTTCAGGACGGTGTCCCCCGATTCGTCCCACAATGCAGCCAAGGCGGCCTTCTTGGAGTATTTCGGATGGTACGAGATTGCAAGTCTTATAGAAGAAGAGGAGATGTTCTCCCTGGTGAGTCGAAGCACTGGGGAAGAGGGTGATTTTGCATCATAAGGGAGATCAAAGTCGGTGTACCCAGTTCACTTAAAAGACTGTAATTTTTCAAATGCAGCCTATGCCATCGAATATTCTAGGTATAATTAACAAATTAAGCCAACAGAAAACTTGCAGATTCCGTGGAGTAAAACTTACTACAATCCTTATGGATACGAATTCAGGACAACTTTGACAAAGAAATGTTCCTGCGGCTCGAACTTCACAGGCCCTCAGTTAACAAAGCCGCCCGCTTATGTATCTGAGCAAATTTACCGAGTGTTTGTGTGAGATCCAGGATATCCCAGGGAGACTGAGCAAGCATTTTAGCCATTCCACAAACCCTCTCAACCTTTCCGCGCGCAATTTATAATCCCGCCGCTTTTTATAGTTCTCTTCATATCAGCCCGGACCCTTACCGTGGGAAATTTTGATTGATCGCCGTACACAAGGCATTAATCTTTGTGGGAAAAAAGCCATAACGTCGGTGATGTTTCCTAATGCGTGACAACAACATAAGGGTTTTGCCAGATGAGAATAAACCCAGGAACGGCGAAGGATTCTGCGAGTGCGTTATGGGCACTTACGGTTTTACTTTATCTGTACTTTGATCTTTAATATTACGTTCTCTGCTTGAGTTTATCTGTAATGTATTAAACGTTCTGCTAACACTGAAATACTAATTAGACAAATGCACTGGAGCCTACTTCACGCAGATATCAGATAAAATAACACTGTTTCAGTTTGCATTTAACATGAATGTTTTAAAGAAACCTCGCGCGCATGCTCAATAGTGTAGAAAGGGCCAAAATGTTTGCCGCCACCAAGAGTTGAAAATAACCTCCACTTCGTTCAAGCTTGGCCCGCGGTACAGCAACCTATATCTGATGCGCGCCCCAACTTCATACCTAAACGGAAACACAATGTCTGCAAGCCCTTAGTCCCAATCATATCAATTTTTTTCAATTATGTCTTAACCTTTACACCGGGCCTAAGGAGGGGCTCGGGGTATCTATTAGCCTACATTCCCGCATCAGAGAGTTCCCTCCTCCAGGTTCTGTTGAGAGGACGATAATCTTTCATTCTCGTTTTTCGTTTTTTTTTTCTCTTTTTCTCCCCTTTGTACCTGCCAGGCGCTTGGCCAAAGATTGCAAGCAATCCGATACAATGAACGATCCAAGTTTAGAACGAAATTAGCCTGCTTGGTGCAGTTTTGTCCCCCGGGCGGGTATGATATAGTCAACTTGTTGTTGCCGTCTGCTACGTCTTTCATTTCACGCGCTTTTCTGGCCTGTCTTCTCTTTTTCACTTCAACCGGTGTCGGTTCCATTCTCCTCGTCAGTGACCCAGTTTTCTGCGCGCGAGGCAAAATTCAATAAGCGAGTTGCATACAATATTTCCTAACAGGAGTTGATATTATCTAACATTTCAATTGACGATGGCAGTCAGTAATGTTTAAACTCATGTAGCATTGAAACGCTATGATTTCCCCCTCGTAATTTTCCTCACTAGGCGTCATTCTTAAAAAGTAACGTGAGAGACAGCACTTAGTTCAGTCATAAAACGCACGGAAAGTTGTTGCGTTTTGAGATGTTTAAGGTTTGACCTGTACCAAAATGTTTCTCATCAAAATCTGTCACCTTTTGTCAAGAAATACTTTTAGCTAGCTGCAAAGATTGTTGCAGTACAATGAGTTATAAATGCCTTTTTATGTTTCATTGTTTTCAACAAAAACGCTGAGTCTCCTGTCTTGCGATTCTTGGGATGTCATTTTGTTTGCTCCATACGTCAACTGACACAAACAGGCAGTGGCAGGTGGAGGACAGTTCATGACACCCTGATATCAAAGTAAAGATTATTTTGTTTTCTTACAAATCAAGCTCAACCATGACCAGGTGTTTGAGGTGTCACGTCGTTCGATTTTCCATTCACAAGAGTAGTGAATCGCCAATCCTGTCCGAACCGACCACAATGGTTCATGTTGTGACTAAAATCTCTCTCTCAAAGCATAGATTTGACCAGACTCCGCGCCAGGTGTTGCTTGGCGTTGCCCAGTTCGATTCTAGCAGACAGTGCCTGCAGTTCTGATGAGACTGTCAACTTTAGCACCACACAATCAACATCACTTTTTTTAATGCATTTTGACGAAGTAAAAAGGCTTTTTTTTTAAAAGTAGCTTGCTTGATAAAGGACTCACATGGAGTCATGCATTTCAGTAAAATGCCTGAGTCCCTTGTGTGAGGATGAGCATGGTCAACAACACATATAAAGGCGAAGACATTTCGCAACAAAATTTGCCGTTTTAGGTCCTATCATGTATATTGCATACAACATATTAATAACAAAATGCTACCAATGCCAACAAGTGTAAAGCAATTAGCTCGTACCAATATTACTCACGCGTTAAAAGGCTTCGTTAGTTTAAAAAAAAAATTAAATCAGAGAATAATGAATCATTTACAGTAAATTGAATATCGGATTGTGTTCTAGTTAAAACTGGTCGTAGTTCGCTTCAAGCGTTGACAAGTCTCGCCTGAATTCTCTAAATTTTCAGGGTAAAAATGACGCGAGCAACAAGAGCGAGTCAATGCAATTTCAACACCTTGTGAAGTTTTCCATTTTGTCCTCTAGCGAAAAATACGCAGGGCAAAGGAGCTTTTCAGCAAGAAAACCTCAATCACTGTCAAGGATTATGGCATTTGGCTTGAAAAAAAAAGGCGATCACAATGTCACTCGCAATTGTATCCTATCCCTAGGGGGTGGGAATTAAAACACGTGGGGATTGTATCGAATACAGTCCTACCTGTGCAGATGTTTGCGTGGGCTAGGGTATTGCGTAGGCCTACGGGGAGTTTCTGAGTGTGTCAATGAATAGACACGAGAATACCATTTGTCTCACTCGAGCCGCGTTCTCTCAAATTCCCACTTTTAGAACGATGTGTTTTTAATGGATTTCGTCCACACATTTTTGCGGGCATTGAAACCATAAATGTTGCGCTTAATGGGGGTAGGCCATGTTGCCTGGTGTCATGATGATGAACGGCCCGCGTGGGATAACGTTCGCAGATGTGGCGGGCTAAACGAGTCTGCCATTCCATAATGAAAAACGGATTCATTTCAAGCACTTAACGTTCAGTTCAGACTGGGCGAAAAATGACAACGAAAAAGGAATGATTTCTTTGAAAAAATAAACTGTTTCAGAAATGTCTGTGTTCGATTGCGTCATCAACATTATTTTCCATGATTAAATGCAATGCGTTTGTTTTGGTTTTGTTTTTTTGTTTTGCTATGCCTTTTCACATGAAATTGAAAGATGGTTACAGATAGGAAATTCCATTAAGTCGGCAGAATTCCCCAAATCACATAATTTGACAGCTATTAAGTACAACCACATGTCTGGGATAAAAACAAAGCAGCTATATCTCTACAGCATAACCAATGCATTAACAAAACATGTTACCAAATTTAGTTTCAAGGTTTTCATCTTCCTTGGCTCGCCCTTTGTGGCACTTCATACTGACACTGATATAAGTAAAAAAAAAAAAAAAAAAAAAAAAGATGACGAGTGCTAGAGGTGCTAAAATGTCGATACTTTCGATCGTAAATGTTGTAGCCATTAACACGGCATTGAGGTGAATATCCTCACATGGCAGTCGCCCGTCAGGTTGAATTTCAAAGAGTCATAAAACTGTAAAGATTGGTCTCGTCTGCCAAGTTGTAAAGGTCAGAGTCTGAAATGATGCGGCAAGAAAATGCTAGGGAAAAATTGTGCGTGTGTTCGTGCCATTCACTTGCAGAATGTATCGTAACTTTTTTTTTCAATTCCTTTCCTTGAAGGCACTGTCGGAGCTGACACGCTACCTACAGTCGTCCACTAACATCACGATCTCAACCTCACTCAACACCGAAGACGACCTAGCGGCTAAGATGCAACAACTCCAGGTGAGGAACAAAGACCCAAAGCCCGATGGAGGAGGCGGGTGCTGTTCTCATATGAGATTTTGACTCCTATGAAATGTGGATTCTTGTCCCTTAATATGGACCCTCAGCTTCACACGTGACTTGTCACTCTTCTACTTCTCTAAACCGAGACATGCGCAGTAAAATCAAGGAGTCCGTACATATTTAAATTCAACAGCACTCTCTCTTCCAACGAATATCATTGGCTGCAACTTCCAATCCTACACGACCATAATTTTACTCACTACATGTACACTGAGGCAAATCATTAATGTATAGACATATTTTCTTGATGCAAAAATTTGAACATTGATATGATACGTTTATACATGAAAAAAAGTAAAACTGCTACGTTTAATGATACGTTTATAGTTAAATAAAAAGAATAATTGTAGGACACGGTACTTCATTCCGCAATAGGTCTGCTCAAAGCAAGAAAGACATATAGGTCCACTAACACAGGGATGTTATTAAAGACTGAGTTAAAAAGAAGTGCCCCCAAAAAATAATAACCGCGTATCAATCATGTTGCCGTGGACGCCAGCACAATTTCACCGGAAGTTGTCATCGTCGAGTACCAGCGAACATCACGTCATTAACCTCGTTCACAGAGTCCGCGACAAGACCTCTTAATCACCGTGGTAATAATCAAACGGGTAATAATTACTCCAAGAACGGGCTACCGTGTTACTAGAACACGCTGCAGAGTGGTGGTCGAGGGTTGCCTGGTATCGGCACGTAATCCCCCGTCGTCTGATTGAGCCCTATCCGGTACTTCTCGTAGCACTTCTCATGCTCTCGTGTTGCGGAGTAGGGGACCGTGCCCAAAGGCCCGCCGTGGCGTTATCAACCGTGCTTAACTGTAAAGCAAATCGTACCTGCGCCATAGGAGGAAACCGAGTGCGAATGGAAAGCACATATCACCTTGGGTGGTTCTTAATTGGGTTGAGTTTTGCCGCGCTTTTTTTAGGTAAAAAAGGAACCATCCATCAACTTTGAAGAAAATGTTGAAGCGGCAATATTGAGATGTACATTCCTGATGAGCTTGCATGATGTGCATGGGTAAAATTGCTCGAGAGCAAAACAGAATGTCGATTTGTGGATGATGGATGATACGATCAAAAAAGTACACAATTTGATTGCGTCTACATAATAGCAAATCGTGAGTGAGCAGTTTTTGATATAAAGTGCAACGATAATAGCAGTAGCAAAGGTCTTTCCAGTAATCACGGGACGTGGATTTGGACATACACATTCTAAACCCATTACGTTATCGGCCTTGTATGGTAAAATATCATAGTTCTCACAAATGCTATTATTTTATTATTGTTAATCTCGGTGTTCTGATTTCATTGATATCTCCGTTTTTATTTCTGATCAAATGTTTGTACAGGAACTAGATGCACGCATTATCATCGGAAGTTTTCAAGAACGAACGGCCAGGGCTGTTTTCTGTGAGGTAGGAGGCTAAGTCTATGGTTGAAAGGTTGAACGTGGCCGCAAGCTCTATAAGAAATGCCAGGGACAAAATCTTATAAGCATGGCAAAGACCATGAAGCCTTGAACCAGGATGAATACTTGGTAGGAAAAGGTTGCGAATTTACTCACAACACTCAAAGGGACAATGGAACTATTACTATGATTCTATCTATCAGAGACAAAAACGCTTGACGAAAACAGTTTGGTAAAACTGGACTTCCCGGGTGGGATATATTTTATCCAACACTTACACCTTCAGCACAGAGGATGGGGGTTTATTTATTATCAGTTTAGGGAGATAATGAACAAAAGATAACATATTTTTGCAGTAAAAACCTTTAGAGGCTGACCTTTTTATCGTTCTTTTCTGTCTATTCCTGACTAGGCCTACAAAATCGACATGTACGGTTCCAAGTACGTGTGGATATTGCCTGGTTGGTTTCAGAGGGAGTGGTGGCGTGCCGAGATGGACACTGATTGCACGGCGGAAGAGCTGGCCAGGGTGGTGGAGGGATACTTCTCTATCGAAAGTCTGGATATCAATATCGATAACCGAAGCTCCATATCGGGACTTGTGAGTTGTATATTTAAACTAACAATTGCTTTGTTGTTTTTCTATGGTCTTTGAAGACCGCCTCTAGCTGTGTACTTAAGGGGGATTTGGACCTGTGGGGAATGTTCAACAGAAGAGCTGAAAGCAGATTGCACTTTAAAGCTTTACTATATATACCACACCCTTTGCAAGTATCGATACTTATAAGGCATGCATCGCAATCCAAAACCGCTTCAATTATTTCAAAGGAGTATTAAGTTCTCTGGGAAACTAGTTCTGAGATGTCCACACGTGGTTTGGCTCCAAGCACATTTTGATTCAGAGTACTAAATATCGATACCATTAATCGATACTTAAGTATGTGTCTCACTCGAGGCGCATGAAGTATTCGGTTTCGTGACCCATTTTGCAATTAAATTTGCCTAGTTTTGTGTACATCATCTGCACTAGTTTTGACACATTTCTCTTGGCGCATAAGATATCAATTTACGACAGTGCATCTATTATTAAATCGCACGTCTGAGCCGCAATACAGAAATCACATGAATAAACCACTACGCGTCGCCTCAAACCGAATAACCGACTTTGATACAATGGTCTTGCTTTGCCGCTCAAAAGTAATACGCCCATCAAGCACGAAAATCCGGCGAGAATTCAAAGATATCCTTTGCCATTTTCTCCTACCCCCAATGGGGATAGTAGTCTAGATACTAGCCCCGTCTCACTTTGGCATTTACAAGTGTAACACCGCGCGACCGTGTTTTCCAGACGCGCACTTCAGCACATCCCACGCTATTTCAGGCTTCGTCTGTGGCTGGATCATTCATGTGAACATGAGACCCTAACGACAGCCTCTCAAGCACGAAGTGAAAGCAGGCGAGATGCCGTCTTGAACCCTCTTGAAATGTTAAGATTACTTTCAGCCTCGGCTCGTTAGATGTACAATTGGGATGACCCACAAAAAGATCACTTTGCGTCTGCGGGGTTAAAAAAAAAAAGGACACAGTTTCTGTGACTCAACAATGTCCTTCGTATTTTTTTCTAAATAAAACAGCTTGAATAACAAATTTTAATTCGCAATAACATAGAAATAGTTATATCATGTTATAGGCTACATGTAACTATTTTCATTCCATTTAGGATTGTTTTTAGGGATTCATTTCACGAAAGGGTTACTATTCTAAAATAAAAATCTTCTTTTTTATCAAACATGTTTTAACAGACAGTTTCGTGTTCCTTTTTCATCAGACATCACATGCATTCGAGATGGACATGCTGAAAAGGGGCGTGAGCTCCGCCGGAAGCCAGGCCCCTAACACGTACGACGCCATCTGGACCATGGCACTCACTATCAAGTCCGCAATGGATCATTTGAATAGGACGGAGGCGGCCAATCAGAATGCTAGCTCGGCCCACGCGGGCCGCGGGGGGAGCGGCTTCACGTACGACAACCGACCAATGAGAGAGCTCTATACTAACATCGTGTCGGACCTGCGATTCACAGGAGTGTCGGTGAGTTGAGAAAAATCAAAACTCAAAAGTTACATTTACTTACCTTATATTATACAAATGAATTATTGTAATGTAATAGTGATAACTCTGATAGGACTCAGCAAATTCCTTTTTTTATAGACAAGTTCCCTTCAATCTTACTCATGTATCCTTTGTTTAATACAGGGACCGGTAAGGTTCAAGGGTCCGGACCGATACGGAGTGACGACATTTCGGCAGAATCAAGGTAAGTTGTTACTTAACAGCTCATTTAAAGGGACAAACAGCTCATTTAAAAAAGAAGTTACCTAAAACGGCCCTTGAGGTTTAAAAACAAGTCATCGAAAGTGTACTATCTGAACCGGGTTGATTGTTGAATTCTAATGTATAAATTATGTAGGAGAATTGAAGGCTTTCGTGGCATGTCCTGTATAACCGGCAACACACTTTAAACAGTTGTGTCAAGACAGTGTAAGCAAGTTTGTTCCTATTCAGTGCATATTTTCCGTCAAGTATTATAAGTATTATACCAGTCTTTCTGAGAATAAAAGGTGGACGTTGTCACATCCCTGTCTCAATTCCGATTTGGGTTCACCCTTGGATCAAAAACGTCTTGTGCTCGTTTCAGGTGGAGTCATGAAGTTGGTGGCGCTGTTCTTTCCAGAGGAGAAACGCCTTATTTTCGAGGGGAGGGATTTGACGCCCATCCATTGGAAAGGTAAGATTTTATCACTCATCCAGGCCGCGAAAAATGTAAAATAAATGAAGGTGTATACGTAAACTCTCAACCCGCGTTTTTGAGCGCCCTCTTGTGGCTGTACACAAACCGAGCTGTGTACAGCATACACAATTTACGTCATTAAGTTTACGCTTTTAGTACGAAATCCTGATGAAAAATAAAGAAGCATCTGCCATAAGTACAAACAGGGAGATTATGGACCACGAATGTTGTAGACCGTATACAATTACACTCCCGCTCAATATTTTGTACAAAGTACACACGGTCAATTGGCAACACCGCCCAGGTGTGTGTGAGTTCACTCAGTGGTTTGCCTTACCCAAGGTTTGGCTTGAAAGGAAATTACCCCGGCCATATGGGGGTGGTATTTCAGTTGTTCATACATTTGCGCAGCTGGTCTAGTGTTGTGTTAGTATTAGCCTCAGTGTGGTTCGTCAATATAGTCAATCGATCCACCACAGTGAGATTCACAAAATGACTGACAGTTGAGGTTTTACGTTACAAAAAATTAATTACAGAGTTAGTGCAATTTTTCAGTATATTCACGAAGAAATGTCAATGATAGAACGCCGGAACGGACATAGAATCACCTGCAGTTACATGAAAGTGGTACATGAGAACGGGTGTATCGTATTATCAAACAGCGGACAGCGTATACCGCTTTTTATACAACAAAACAAATATCAACGATGTTATAGTGATGCACTAATATACAACAGCGTCAACATATTTTTGGCTATGAGCCTGTATAGACATAGAGAAAGGAGTTTTTAACCCCAGACTTCGTTAAAATGCGACTTCAAAATGTGTCTACAGTTTTGTGTTCACTGTTTTTCTGTAAAGTTTACCTGCTCACCACTCGGTTGTAGTTTGTTTCAAAGCTTGCATCTGTGCAAACATTAATGTGTCTTTAATACGTTTTTAGAAGGTATGTTCTTAATGTTTAATTCGTCGGACTTAAGCATCCCGCATCCGGGTATGTAATAATGTATCTTCTCAATTTGTATCAATACCTCGACACTGAAAAAGCTATGATTCATAGTATCTGCAAGTTGTGACAAATCTACGCCTACATTGTCAAACCCCCCCCCCCTCGCTGAGCCAGCATTCTAGTGTAGGCCTACCCTGTCACGTTATCGATTTCAAATGGCTTTTTTTCCCGCGCAAATCCCTCATGCAACAGCACCGCCAACGATAACTCAACCATCGACCTAACCACACTCAAAATTCGGTCAGGTATGCCTAACTGAAGCAGGGGCATACCCCAAGCACGCATATTTTGTGAGCAATCGCAAGAAACAGGCGAGATCAAGGAAGAAAACGAAATTCAATTTGATGTTATAAACTTAGGGGATTTTATGAGCAACCCAAACAGAACCCGAAGCACCAGACTAAGTTAATAACGCGTTTGTTATTGCCGCATGAGAGCAGATATCACGTGAATATGTGTCTGGTTACCTGAAGGCCTCACAGCACATACACACAGCTATATTATTTACTCGCTTGAGTAAATATTATTACGAAATGCTTGGTTTTCAGAAATAATATCTTTCCCCTGCAACCATGCCGGTTGCGTATTATTAGAAAAAGTCATTGAAAGTGTGCCGCAAGAATAAGAAAACCTAGCAGGATAAAACAAATATCAATTGAATGGAAGGATTTTGCTCGTTGACACATAATCTTACAGCCGTATGGTATGCCCATAGTTACTGCCATAAAGGTGGAAAGCAGGGTAAACTGAAGTATGAAGAAACATCATAGCAATTGCGTCCCACAAAACCGACACAAATTACTTGAATGGAGGTTTGGAATATTTCACATTGATTGCAGACGATACAAGTCATCAACACGAAACCTAGATGTTGAACCACAAAGTCTGATTACTTTCATTAAAGCTCTTCCACTAATTTATTAAAAATGCAAATCACCAATTCAGTTCACATCGCTTTGATTGCACGACCCACACACGATGCTTAGGTCGAAATTAAAAAAAATCGATGCGTGTTCACGGCCTGACATCTCTCCCCTACATCATCACCTTCTCAAGTCGCATCTTGAAGATGCCTGAATGAGTTGAGAGGAATGGCCAAGAAGAAGAAGAAGAAGAAAAAGCCCTCATCAGGATTAGGCTGGACAAATATTACTCAACAAGAAGCTATTTGGAAGATGAGAAAGAGGGATTAAAGTCGGTTTTAATTCGATACAGGAATGCGTCAGAGTAGGGTTCGAGACCCTTGCATGCGTGGTATGCTGGCTTTTGGCGCGGATTGACGGGTGCGGATTTACATGGTTAAAGGTCTCCAAAAAATACTGTTAAAGGGAAGTTGCAGTACTCTTAGAAATAAAATTTGAGCTTTAAGTGGTAATAAAACGTGATATGTGTTTGAGGATCTACAATTTCTTATAATTCATGATCGTTTTCTTTTCTCGACATTTTTGCGACCTATTATTTCAAAACAATCTTATACCCGCCTTTCTAAATGCGTTTTTCAATCCGTTTAATTATGTTTGTTGCAAGACAAGGAATTAATATAGCCCTGTTGGCCTGAACACAGAATGGACTGAAAACGCGTTAATGGGCCCTTTGCTTCCATTCATCCTACATCCTTGATGTGTTTTGTTTGCTTGTTTTGTTATAACAATGAATATGCAAAAAAGATCTACTTTTTCGTATCCCTCTAGAACAAAAGCACGTACCTCAAAGGTGGCCGTAATGCAAACGATCTATATATAACGTGGCCTCCAAATAACGCTGCTTCTTTTATGTACTTGTTACTAAATTTAACATCATGATATCATTTTGGCTACCTCTGTCCTTAAATCTAAAGACATACTTGTTGCCTCTTTCTGTAGGCGGGGTTGTGCCAGTGGATAAGCTACTCGTCTTTGACCAACGACTGCGCATCAATTTCGCTGCTTACGTCACCACTACGATACTAGCGGCATGCGGCATGCTACTGGCATTGTTGTTTCTTCTCTTCAACATCCGATATCGGAAAACAAAGTGAGAAACATACACAAATATTAATGAGTTTTTGAAGTCACATAAATAAGCTTCGATGATGCAGATGTTTTAGAAATGAAACCTAATGGATAAATATCGAGGTAGGATCATCCATCTGTGTTTTGTTAAATTATGAACGCAATTCTCATTTACAGCGCAATAAGGAAGAGGTATCTCCTGCTTATAACCATGTGACTGTACTAATCTGAAAATCCAGACACAATATTGAATCAATTGTACATGTCTTCTCTTTTTATGAAGATTCATCAAGTTATCCAGCCCTAATCTGAACAACATCACCATAGTGGGGTGCATCATGGTATATGTAGCGGTCATCATGCTGGGTCTGGAGTCGGAGCGAGTCGGGATAGAGGCATACAACCCCATGTGCACGGTGGGTACCAGACTATAATCTTAAGCTGCCAGTTATATACAAAACCTGAATCCTGACTCCCGAACAGCAGGTCACCTTGGTTATAGGTAGAAATAGGAAATAACACACAATTGGTTACCAGTCTTAGTATTTCGTTGTATGGTACACTCATTCAAATGTATGTTTTACCAATCTCATTATCCCCGCGCTATTTCATTAAAAACATTTTATTTAGGATGGTTTGGTATTATTACACAAGTATTTACCTAAGGGAAATTATGACAACAAAAAGACAATATTTCTCTTAATTTTTAAGACAAAATCCCCGAACTTTACTCATTACGAATATTTAACTTTAATTCTTCAGTGCGTTTTAATATTTTTTTTAATTGTGATATAAATTCTCAGATCCGTGCTGCGTTCCTGATGGTTGGTTTCTCCCTCGCCTTTGGCTCGATGTTCGTGAAGACCTATCGGGTATACCACATCATCACACACGCTACCAGCCGAGTCATTAAACGAAAGGTACTTCTATAATAATCTCAAAAATAAACATCCAGTCACAAACACAAAAACAAATCCGGATTGCATGTCTTATAAAAGATATCACTATAAAAGATATGAACAATACAAAGCTGAATGTTTCCTTTTGGGAAACACTTGGGCATATTTAGTCATTTCAGTAAATTCAGTACAAAACAAATCAGTAAATTGTACCAAATTCCAGTTGCCGTTTACATCTCTTTTCATTTGCATTTGTTTTTTTTGTCATCTGCATGCTATAGATGCTTCACGAGTCAACTTTGTTCCTGATGATAGGCGTGTTGCTGATCATTGACGTCATTATCTTGACGCTTTGGAGCATCCTCGATCCCATGATTAGAGAAGAGGAACGCCTACCGTTAGAGGTAAATCAGCTATTTATCACATAAATAAAACACAGATACTGAGTTGGTACTCTGAAACAAAGAGTCCTTCTAAAAGAAAAACTGTTCACAGAGGCCACATCAAACTACACAAGACAACAAATGGTGGGACGAATGAAAGAATGCTGTCAATTTACGGATAACGGGACTACCCTACTAAACCAAAAACACTCCTTATTACACACGCCAGAATTTATCAGGTTCCGTCTGCGGAGTACGAATTGAGTAAAGTTGGTATTAACAGAAACAGTGTGTACTTTGGCCCGTAACTCCCCGTATACCTGTGTCGTCAATTGATAAACATTGCTCGAGGAACAACCGGCTCTGTGACTGAAGGACCGCTAATTATAAGAATTGCTACTTTAGGTTCATTTTTCGTTCCATTTCTTTTACCGATTGGACTCGCACGGTCGAGTACTTTGGCTTCATTCTACACATTAGTCTTCGTTACATCTGTCAGGGCTCCAGCTGCAATAGCGACCCTGAGTAATAGGAGGTTTCTGGCTGAAGTCAAGCCGATTTAGGTTTGTGTAAGTAGATTTGGAGGCCATTAACTACTACGCAAAGTCTAGGTGAACGAAGATTAAAAGGGATACTCAACTTTAATGTAGGTCTACATGTATAATAAAGCTTACGCAGTGCACCTAATACAGCCTTGAAAAGGTCTTTTTCCATTCCCGTACATGTTTTAACATAGAACCAAGCCAAATTGTACCATTCGGGTTCTTGATCAAATGCAATAAGAGAACAGTGAGCTCATTTATAGTCGTGGGCAACCCTCGCAAGGGGGCGTCCTTTCACGCGCCACAGTATTCCTGCCGATTTCTGTGTATTAAACTCGAGACCACTGTTTGTGACGATTCCTTTTATGTCGTATTCTCTTCCACCAGTCGTCAAACGATACTGTAGCCTTCGTCCCCATATTGGAAGTATGCAAATCGGAGAACCTGAGCATCTGGCTCGGCACGGTGTACGCCTACAAGGGCCTTCTGCTACTCTTTGGGTTATTTCTCGGCTGGGAGACGCGCAAGGTCAAGATACCGGCATTAAACGACTCACACTACATAGCGGTAAGTCCAGAATGGTTTTCTCATTTTACCAATGCAAATAATAACATGGCTTGTTTAAAACAGTAGTCAAACAGTTAGCAACCATACTTTAATAAAAGGAGTTATCTGAAGTTATCTGTTATCTGTGAATTCACACTTAATGTAAACAATTAAGAAAAAAAACATTGGCCTTTGTGAGATATGGCGGACACGATGAGGGCGCTATTCCGTTTTGGTAAATCGGCAAAAGAGTTTACTCACCTCAAAAATAATAGCACCGTCATGTTGTGTCCGCTACCTAGAAAAGCCTAACTGCATCCTCCGTAAGTCGAGATTGTGATCGCAAATTGCTCCATTTCGATCCGTAGGTTTGCGTGTACAACGTGACCATAATGAGCATCCTTGCCGTAGTGGTGTCCAACTTGATCACTCGAGGTGATCAGCTCACCACTTCGTTTGTTCTAGTCACCGTCTGCATCTGCATCACCACCACCATGACCCTGTGCTTCCTGTTCGTGCCCAAGGTGAGGTCAAGTTGGTGTTCATCGTCAAACCACTGTGCGGAATTGTTCTTTGAAGCCCACGCTAAAAGAAAACTTTTAGAGCGCAAAACAAAGAAATCTAAACAAAAATAAGTGCGTCACTTTCATCAATTCAATGTTCTTGATACGCGCCCGTGTTTCACAAATAAATCACGTTACAAACGATTACGAATCTCAACAAAACCAACGAGTACCTATCAGATTGCACTGATTATAACATTTAAGTTTAAAAATAACTATTTGTTTACTCTACTTTCCCACCTATTAAAAAATCATATGGTATGGTGGCCCCGAAGGGACTTGGACACATATTGAGCATGGCGTGAAATGTACTGAAAACATCGCGCGTCGCTTCTGGGCTACCATAATATAACAATTATGAAATGTATGTTTATTACAAAATGTTGAGAAACCATTGAGTATTTCTAAACTTGCCAGGTGTATACCATCCATGCTGTGCGGCTGGGCGGTGACCCCGTGACGAAATCCGTGGGGTTAGAGATCAAAGGTCGCACGCGACGCTTCGTGACAGACGAGACGACGGAGATGAAGGAGTCTTTGTACCGAGCCGAGGTGCAGGCCAGGGCCTTTAGGAAAGAGAAAAACAAGGTAATCATTCCCAGCATTTACCCAAATGGTGATTTGGCTTGCAAAGTTAGCTTCTTTTTCCAAATTTCGGCTCATCTCCCGGGTTCGGCTTCTATGGCTCCGCGCTGCATGTTCGTGTTCTAAAAATCGTCCGGGGCTGGAAACAAGTCGAGATTTGGGGACATTGGCCCAGCGCTGTTAAGTTGTCTTCTTTAAAATGTGAAAATATGTCTTTGTGAAAATATGTCAGGCAGTTTTGAACAGCTAATTGAATAGAATTTGCACTTACTTTTACAGCTGGACAATCGTATTGCCGAGCTAGAAGCCCAACTGAGATTGCTCAATAAGTCAGACGATGGCGACAGCAGCGGGAGCGAGGCAGAATGGGTGGGTGACCTGTGCCAGGAAAAAGACATGTACATGCTTTTGCATCTACCTGAGACGAGTATACAGGGTGCCGAACCATCCGAGCCTTACCAGAACCACGTGAAAGGTTTTGAGCACGAGGTTGAACTGCATTGCTTACTGCAGAGGGACGATTCGGGCCGTCATTCGTTGGACTCAAGAAGCGTCAGCACCTACACGACCGATTTGAATGAGAACCAGTGTTCGGTCACCGACGAGGACCAGTGGCCTGGTACCCCGTCCCCTGCGCGATCAGCTAAACAGCAACACGCTGATTTGTGCCTTCAGAACTCCAGTAGACCTTATCTCCAACACTTGCATGAGAATCCAGTACTCACCAGGCCACTGAGGCGACACCCGCCGTTGATTAAGAGCCTTTCCTCGGGCAGCTTGCCGCGGAGACACACACTGGTCTCCTCCATCGACGGACCCAACCGATGCATTAAGAACGACGCAATCAGCCGGTACTCCCCCATGCGGACAGTAGGCGGGACAACGAGACGTTCCCGCAGTACCAGCGAAAGGCGGGAGAGCGCGCGCTTCCACAACGAAGTGCGCAGACTCGTTGTCGAGATGCGCAGCGTACAAATGCGTCTACTGCAACTGAACGAAAAACCAGAAATGATCTACTACGTTTGACGCAGATTCCATCACCAGTTTGTGACCAATTACTAAGGGCAAAAACACAGCATTAAAGGTCTACCTCTGTGTCTCAGATCGTTGTCTTTCGCACACGGAATTTCATCGCTGATGAAGGAAAAACCACTTCACTTCGTGTGGTAGAATTCTTGTGCAGATCCACGAACTTGCCATGCAGTTAACCAGTTTTATATGGCATTATGTTAATCTTCTCTGTAAAAACCACTTTCTTCCTTGTTGAATACAATCATTTTCTTGAAGTCCAGTGAAAACGCCGCCTTCTTTCTCTGTTCTGTTGTGTTTAAAGAGCAGTTGCCACCAAGTTTATTTTCTGAAACACTAACCATCTCTCAGTTGGCTATCTGTAGGAAACGAGCACAACAAAAGCTTAGACTTTCGCATCTCTGTCCTTGGGCGCGGGAACTAGCAATTCCAATTCAATTCCAATTCACATAAACACAATTTTTATATAATAATAATAATAATAATAATAATAATAATACCGGAGTCTTATATAGCGCAACTATCTACCAACAAGGTACTCCAGGCGCTGGTAATTATGTCTACTTGTAAAGACAGGTAAATGAAGTTTATGAGAAATATGAGACCCTTTATGTAGCACCTTTATAAAGGGTTTACAAGGTGCTGCGGCGCATATTGCAGCCACTGCCAGAAACACCGGGGCAAACCCCTTCTCTTAGCGACAAGTGTTACTGGGTTCTTTAACGTGCACTACACAACACACGGGACCTACGGCTTTACGTCCCATCCGAAGGACGAAGCAATAATGGTAAAGTGCCTTGCTCATGCGCACAAGGACCATGCTCCCCGTCATGATTCGAACCCATGTGCCACGGCACTCGAGTACATACATAATAGGAAAGCAGAACTTCCCTTCTTTTATGAAGACAAAGTGCCAATAGTTCCTAAAACTCGCACAAATTAATGCAAAATGTGCATAAAGCAAAGAAACACCCACTCGGCTCAGAAGCAAGAGCCACATTTTGTGTAGGCATAAGGACACAATGCACGTTTACAGGCGCAAAGGTTAAGATTCAATAAAAAATATTTTATTTTACGTTTCACAACACAGGTATGTAGATGGGAGGGAATACTTACACGGGAAACAATAATTTCACAACTAATTGACACGATGACCTCTAGGTAGCCATGTTTGGTCTACTCACGTGACCTCGAGGACAAACGATGAACATGGCGCCCAAAATATCCGCCGTTAACAACGTTTGTTGGCCGCTGAGGGCGTTTTTATTCAGAGTCAGTACAAGGCCACTAAGTAAAATAATAACATTCAAGAAAAAAAGGTTTAAAAAGTAAGAATCAGTCTCAATACTGAAAAAGTATCATCCGTTCCCTGCAGACCATTACAATAACCAAAGTAGTAACAACGAAAAAAAAACTTTACGCGCCTCATTAAAATATATAGGCCTACGCAATTACTAAAACTGCTAACTACAAAATTTTAAACTCAAAATTTTGACAACATAATATTTTGAATAGATACACGAGTATAATAAGAGTGCACGAGTATATACAAATTCATCAACCAAAAACAGTCCCATTGTTGATGCCCTTCATTCTAAAGGTTCGCACTCTTTATTTGAACGTAGCCCTGACTGTGACGGTTGTCACCCATTGTTGTGTGCATTCGATATCAGCAAATACAATATGAACACTTTTGATAATTGTTCGTAACCAATTTTTTTTTTTAATATAATTCTCAATCTTTAGACTTTCCTCTTTTCTTAACTCACGACCTTCACGGCCTCCAGTATGTATAACAAGTTCCATTTTGCACCAATCGAAAATTACAGAATGCACCCTACGTTAGAATATTTTGCAATACATGTCAGTGGCGGATCTTGGGTTTTTTAACCCCCCCCCCCCTCCCATCTTGATCCAAAAGTGGATCCGCCCCTGCTGATTTTGTTATAAGATTTGAAATAGCTCTTCCCTTTCCAGAAGGGGGGAGGGTTTCCCGTTGGGGTGTATGTACACATTATTCAATTGCTGTAATGTTAACATTGGCCCAATCCGGAAAATTGCCCACGTCGAAAATCCACATGCCGAATGTGTTGACGCAGGCGTTGGCAATGAGGACGCAGATGACGTTCAGTATGAAACCAGTCTTCACCTGGGAAAGAGGTTGACAAATAATTCATTAAAAAAAACCAGAAATTAAGCAAAGGCCATAATCACATTTTCGTAAAGTATTATTTAAATGTAATTATGATTTGCATATTTAAAAAAAAAGGTTTTGTATAAAGCTTATAATTGCACAGGAGCTGCCTGAAGGTTTAATACTGTCTAGCCTACGTGAAATAAAAGGAGAAATGAATCAACAAAGGAATGTCTTAAGTTGTTATTGTCTACAGAAAGTCCACTCATTTAAAATAAATTTAAAAATATATAGCGTAGAAAGTTTTTTTTTGTCATTTAAAGTTAGTATGAATGTATATCTTTTCCGTCAGCATCGAACAAAAATATTTTGAAGATTTGATTTAAGTACGGTACATTAAACAATATTTAGACACAACATTCTGGGTCAAATTTTGTTTCAACCGATTTTAAAGGGGCTTGCACGTGTTATTCACTAATTTGTTTTTACCTGGAAATTTCGAAGTAAGTTATAAATAACGCAAAACGTACTTTGTTGCAGTCCTTCAGAACGACTTCAGAGACTGGTCAACGGGAAATAACATACGTTTGCCTGACTAAACCAACATTCTATGTGGGTCAACCTGAGTCGCTTCTGTTCGGTTTCGCTAGTCTGAAACGGGTGCAAGCCGCTTTTCTACTTCAGGACTATCAAAAAATAAAATTCTTGAGAAAAAAATGCGTGAGATTTTTCCCGCATAAACCTCATAATTACCATATCCATAACAGTGACTTGTTCATAGGCGAACGCGATGGCATTTGGGGGCGTGGCTACGGGAAGCATGAAGGCGAAGGAGCATGCTACGGTGGCTGGTAGCATCAGGAACAGAGGATTGACACCGATACTCACACCCTGACAAGAACAGAAGAATCAAAGATCAGTAAACTACTAATTCACAGTAACTGAGTCGCAAAATGCCAGACTTTCCCCTGACACGCCGAGGGAGAAACACGAAGATATGTCAATGGGTTGAGGGCATTAGCACCCAGAAAGATGTTAAGTTAAACACAACCAAATAAATCATCAATACAATTATCAAAGTAAAGATAATTTCAGTTATAAATGTCCCGCTTCCAATTCCAATAAAAATAAACATACCAAACTTTGCAGGTAGTGAAAACAGTGGCAAACCAAACCAAACGGAGCGCAGGGTATAGAAACAGGAATATGAAATTTTGACTCCTATGAAATCTTGTCTCATTTACAGTGACTCTAAACTTCACACGTGACCTATGATTGTCCTAATTATCTTCATGCGCAAAACAACCAATTTCATGCGCAATACAACCAATGAGTCCGTACTTCATAGAGTCCACATTAGGAACTCGCCCCAACGCCTCACTTTGCCAAAACTTACCAGTCCGCCGAGTATGGGAAGGAAGATGGTTGCCGTGGCCGTGTTGCTGGTGACCTCGGTGAAGCCCGCTATGATGACAGAGACCACTAAGGCGATGGCCCAGGGAGGGAAGTTGTCCAGTATGCTGAACTTGTCACCTATCCAATTCGACAGCCCAGATACCTGACGAGAAAGGGGTCGAGATTTTAGGGCCAAAATATTGGGGGTTTTTTGTTATTAATTTTGTGCAAAAAGGCTATATGGTGGACAGAATATATAGGAAGCCCTTTTTTGGTTTAGGTACACTCTTCGGTATGACCGCAAAGAGTAAGTTCGGGCGCCCTCCATAGGCAGCCATAGTTCGACTAACTTCGCTCGAACGAAAGATGGTTGGACTACTCTTGTCGACTATTTGGAATCGGACCACGGAGCACTGTTCCATCGCTGGTTACCAATAGCCGCGGGCATCATAAAGCACAACGGGGAGCAAGGACTGTCGATCGTTTGACTAGAGGCGTTCGCGCGTTGCTGTTACTGCGCAGGCGTATTCAAGTTATGGAAATCAACCACTATTCGACTCAACGTCCTCGCTCGAACTTCCTCTACATGTAAACCAATTCAATTAGCGCCCTCACGCAGTGTCCACCAAAATCTAAAAAGGCTTTATATTCAAATACATCATTCAGTTTTACCCTCCTGTGCCACTAATGAGTGATAAATTGTCTTGCCATTATGGAAGCTCTGCGCACCAGACTATTCAACTAAGACACACATGATAGATAAAGTTTCCCGTTTAATGTTCACTACAGCTGCGGCTACAGTAATATCATACAAAGGTGAATCGAATAATTTGAATAATTGGATTTCAAGAGCTAGGGCTACGTCTAGTAGGGATCGTTAAAAAAAATGGTGCGGGTTGAGATAATTATTATGTGTGTTTGGTGAAATATCCACAAATTAAATATTGTGATATAACCAGCTAGTTTCCCGAGCCGCATACCGTACCTGAACCATTTGTAATGGTTCCTATTGTCGGTTGTCAGTATGTTCCGCGTAGTTGTAATGGACGAAGACTTACACAATAGTTCGAGACAAGGAAATCGGTCGTCAAGGGTCGAGAGAGGGCGGTACCTACCTTGCATGCTTCGGCCAATGCAAAGCCTCCACCAAGCAGGATAATCACGAGCCAGGCCATTTTTTTATGAATGACCGGCCATTCCAGTAGGGCTGGACACGGGCCCTTCTCTTCCTTCAAATCCTCTAAAAAGAGATATAAAAACATATAAACAAAACCACTATTTTGTAAAAAAAATAATAATTTTGTCTGTGACAAAACGTGTTCTAAAGAAAGCTTGGTGGAAAACACGCGATCCACCTTCATTACTTGATGTAAGCGAATTTTCTCAAGTGACAAAAAAACGATGAAAATTGAGAAATTCTACCAACCCTCAGAGCTACGACCACAGAGGAACTTGGGCATGCGCGATGGGGACAAGAAGAGCAGTATGGAGACAAACATGGCTGTGGTTGAGTCAGTCACGTACCTGAAGAAACAAAAAGCACCGGTTGTATAAAGTCCGTCTTGCTAAAGTAGCCTAATCGATACACCGCTTCCAATATAGTTCCAGATGTCCTTACTCCTACCATGGAGCTTATAGCTCCATGCTCCTACTCAGTGTCCTTTGACGGAGTTCATTAGATCGTACAATGTTTACTTCATCATCAAGATAAGATGTGTAAATTAACTAAGCGATGGAGTGTAAATTACTTAATGTACAAGTCTTTCAATTTAGAAAACTGTGGGGGTTCAAAATCAATGCAACTTGGAAAAAGGTTAAAGTGGCATTCGTATCTTATGTAAAACTTTTAAGACTGAATGACTTGTTTTGGACCTGTGGTGACTTGACCAGGATTCTACAGGAATCTACAGTCCGTATACAAGTGTATTGGTTCTCGCTAAAATCACAGCTGTTGTGTATAATATATAACTTGCTGGGCCTATGACAATATTGGTATAATGAGTGAGATAGGGATAACATGTAGACTCACCCGTCGGCGAAGAGCACGGACCAGCCGGTAACGAAGCCCGGCTTGCGGGTCACCCACAGAACAATCAACAGGATGAAATGACTGAGGACTCCCTTCTCGGCAAACCTTCAAGAGACGAGAATTAGTTGCGTGAACATTCGAGATTTCCCGGTAACTGTGGGAAAATATGCAGGACAGGAGGGGCGGGAGTCGGGCCGAAGATCCAATCACACGTTCCATACATGGCTCTATGTAAATAACTAAATTTTAAACAACTCTAAATTATGTAGAATTAGTTTTTAGAAGAATTTAAGTTTGAGAAAAGGGATAATATTCTTACGACATGGGCCCGAGGTCATTGTACGCCTCGCGTATGACCTTGGCGGTACCGCTGTGATCGAGTTCGTGACCCAGCTTCTTGCAGCACCTAACACGAAAAAAATTTCAAAGAAATAAAAGACAGTCAGTATTGGTCAAAAAGACACCAATGCCACTTTGTCTTTCAGATTTCGGATAGCTCAAGAATATGAAAGGGTTACAACCAGGAGAACTTTTATTCAAGCGATTAAAGAAATAGGTTACAATGAATAAATTAGCTCGTCTACACGCAGCGCAACATTTTGCGACATTCCAATTTTTCAAACCGACTGAGTCGATGAAGATAAGCAGATGAGGTTGATACAACTTCTTCACGACAACGGCTGATTTATGATTAATGCAGAAAGTGGCAGCACTTACCATCGATCCACGTAGACTATCTGCAACCAGATCCATGTCAACAGCAGACAAACCAGCATAGCAGGTGTAGCGTATATCATCCACTCACCAAACGTCACCTCAGCCTCAGGACCAAACAAACTATAGAGTCAACAACCATAAGAACATTTGAAATCTCATCACTTGCTGTATGTACATGGCCGAGGGTCAATTGTTTATAACCGCCATTAAAAATAAACAAATAAATTGATATGCTATAAAGATAACTCCAACTCGGCACTGTGTAATAGAAAAGCATCTTTTGTGGGATAATATTTATTATTTTTTTGTTCCGGCAGGTCAACAATAACATCCAAGCTCACTAAATTTGTGATAAGTTTGAGCTACTTTACGCCAAAATGGCAGAGCTGTTTATTCCCCAGGGAGCTGAGATTTTCTTTGGAATGTTTTGTTGGCCCAATGATCAGGGGTAATAATAATGTATAAAAGTATTTTTGATCTTAGTTAGCGCTATATGATTGTTATTACTATTATTACTAAATTGGAGCTGTGTATGTTGGTTTGCTGGGTTTCACTAACACTAGACTCAACGCCCTATCAAGCATGCAATTTGTAGCCATAAAATAGGCCTTCCTACTAATTCAAAATTTAATAAGTTTACCTATTCAAACATTTTTCAGACAACTTCATTTCTTAAACAAAAACACGCATACAGTTTGCGTGACGCATGCCGTTTTGGTCCTTGTTTACCCACAAATTCCTATTTCATTTTTGACATTTGTTTCTTTAAAAGTTGACGTTAAAAACGACGATCATAAAAAGGCATAATAACCCTTTAAAACCGTGGGCTAACTCACCGTTTTCCTGATTTATTTTATTACAATATGAGGCGTAGAACATAAAATTCATTCCAGGTTAAATGAAATAAAGACTATAACGAGGTAGCCTCTGTTATGATAACGGTGTGTGCAGTCCTAGGCCATGCTCCTACCTGGTTACTTGGCCGGCGAGTACGAGGTTCGGACCCGTGCCGGTTAGCGTAGCCGTCCCGCCGATGTTAGCGGCGTACGGAATGCAGAGAACGATGCCTTTACACATGAGATTATAGCGGGCTTCCTGTTGAGATTCGTCCAAAAGGTTACGATTGCTGCTATGCTGGGGTTGCACCTCCGTACTGGAAGATATTATTATACAATGATCAATAAATGTTAGTGTTTTTATCTTTCAAATACGACCAAAAAACATTTGAACCCATCAACGAGGCACAGACGGGGCCTGAGCAGATAATAGCAATAATCAGGTGCTAAGCACAAATAGGCCGAGAACCAGTCACCAGTACACACTAGTATACGACCTTTTTAGCTGGTAACCTGTTGTCGCTGAGCAAATAATTTCTGTCCTTCGCACATGTCTGTAGGCTATAGGCCTATTTGACACATTTCTTGCTAACCAATTTGCTGAACCTACCTTCCAATAAACTGAATCTCCTCCATAACAATAGCGTCCTCCTCCGCCTTCTCTCTGTGTCTCCGCCCATTTGTGGTGGATATCTCATGTTCCGCTTCATTCTCGTTTTTCTACAAAAAAGTTATTGCAAAGATATTTTGATGTCAATGTCATGTTGTAAAGAAAAATATAACCAACTAGCCTATGAAAGGAATAGGACTACACTATCTAAACAAACATAACTTGACTCACAAACTGTCCATTTCCTGAACATAGGGGATATCGTAGGTGATCGTAACGAAAACGGCCTTTTACATTGAAATACTATCGTAGTACACAACATTCCTGGCCAATTTCATCATGGAGCTTCCAAAATCATAAAGGCATTGCCAAGAAAAGTTATTTGCTAAACGTAACAGCTGAAAGCCAGTCAGACAAAACAACATGTGTATACACGGCAGTCCTTGCAGTGCTTGCTTGAAGAATGCTAACTGCTTGATATTGACCGAACAATTGTACGAGTACCTGTTTCAAGTTGTCCAGCTTGAGTTGCTGTAACACTGCCTGGGCAATAGGCAGCATCATGGCAGTGGTAGCGGTGTTGCTAATCCACATGGACAAAAACGCAGTAATAATCATAAAGCCAAGCATCATCCTGAAACATAAGACAGAAACAATCACAGATACTCAATTTGTGGATAACTTGCAGACTTGACCAAGTCTAATTTGTGAAACGCCTTGAACGTCATTGTTACGTCATAAAGACTTTACGCGCGAGCCAGCCAATGGCAAGCGCGTTACTTAAAATAGCGCAGCGGCAGCCTATATCAACGCTTGACACCAAACAAACGCCGTCATTTTGTGTTATGCAAAATTTCTTTCGGACAGCGTATTTGGATCTCTCGAAAGCGATGCGATTCCTAGCGAAGAAACAACCCACAAGAACACCTGTGGTTGACTTGTCGGATGACGAAGGCCCCGTGAAACCATCTTGCGGGGTCTGCCGACTTTGGAAGCGGCTCTTCTGGAAGCACAGGCCACGAGTATCCCCGGCCTCAACACCTTCGGTCGCGGGGATAGGCAGACTGCCAGGCCGTCGGCGGTCTATGTGGACTGTCAACCAGTTGGCCGGCGGGCGAAGTGAGTCCGGACAGGGGGACTACTTCGTGACCCACTGGCCCAAGAGCCCTTCAACACCGGTGGAGAGTTTGGAAGTCATTGACATCACTGACAAGGAGAATGTGACCGTCGAGCAGGAAGTCGATCTGATGCTTGACAGGCCCCCTACTCCTCCAAACCTCTACCTGCGCGGCACCAAGATCTGCCCGCCAACACCGCCGATGACTGCCGGCAACAAGACCCTGCTGGCCCTCGGCAAACCGGAGAGCCAACTCTCGATGGACGAGGTCGAACAGATGATCCACATCGGTGAGGAGCTCAACGATCTACTGGCTGAAGTCAAAGGCATGTCACGCCAAATGGACAACATCATCCTGGAGCAGGAGCGAAAAGACAACTTCGCCAAGCGCCAGCGTGACACCCGGAACTTCAGCTTCGACGGCCCGGCCAGGGACTGTCCCCTGGCTGGGAAGGACGACGACTCCGTGGACTTCAGCGACCACGGAGACAACGACGACAAACACAACGACGGCGACGAGTCCGATACCATCTCCTGGGCATCCCTAGCTGCACCCAAGCGACTGCGAGCGGACAAGAAGACCATGTCTGCCCGCCCTCGTGTCATCAGGCAGGCTTGGGTCAACTGAACCATCTATGCTCGGACAGGATCGGCAAATCAGGACTGGACTTTGAACTTTCTCCTGTGAGCAGTCCACTGTCACAGCAGCCGGGAATGAGGCTTTCCATCACTCCACTGATCTCGGCTTGTCATCAGATCAACAGCTGGCAAAGGACTGAACATTTGAGAAAGAGGACGGACGGACTTCAGGACCACGACAACGACCACGACCACGACAGGGACAACAAGGAATCTGGAATCATCTGAACATCATCGGTTCCCATCTTGGCGATGCGACTATAAGATCAGGTCGATCTGACCGCCAAAAGAGGGCCTAACATCTAGTGTTTAGAACCAGAATCTAAGACTGGACTTTATAGAAAACCGAGTGAAAATCATTTTCCCTGTAGCATTAGTCATGGGTGGGGTTGGGACTGGTGAGGGCCAGGGCGCGACATAACCATTTGATGGTCTTTCTGTCGTGTCCGCTTCCTCTCTCCACCTCGGCTCTGCCCATTGATAACTTCAGGATTCCATCTCGAGTGAGGGAGACTGATTTTTTTCTCAAGCTACTCTGCTTTCATTGTGTCACTTAAAAAATGGTTTAATAAAAATGTTAGCAGTGCTGCTTAATATTGCGTGCTTCTTTGTGTATAATTTGTAATGTGTTGCTTTAATATCAGACTATTTACAAAGTGCAAAGGTCACCACAGACAATGCAACAATTACTTTCAAGAGTAACAAATAAATGGGGGAAAGAAAACACTAAGAATTCGAATATTTTAACAAAGAAAAAACTTTGGGAATGGTCAAGCTTCATGTTTCGGGTGATTAAGAAGACAGTGGCGTCGTTAGTGTAACAGTGTACGTCACAATGAAAATCCAATTGTGACGTCATGAAAACTGCTGCTCTTTCGCATCCGCGTAAAGAAATACGGGAAAAAAGCAACTGGCGTAGACATAAAACGTTTCACAACTACAAAATATTCGATTAATATTTCAAAGATAACTAACTTGTGTGCATGTTAAGAAACAATGCACAAAACTGCAATTAAATACAAGGTAAGGGCAAACGATTTCATTTCCATATCACTGCAACAAACATACGCATACTCTTATTCCCCCCCCAATACCACAAAAGAGGTTATTTGAGTAGTAACGAAGCAATGACTAGTATGCTATCAACTCAACAACTTTTACCTTAGTCTAAAGTTGATATCCTTTTCAGGAAGTTTAGCCAACTCGCTTGCATGTCACAACACGGGAGCAATAATGCATATTCAGCTTAGTATAGTAATCCGCTACCATAATTCATTGGAGTGGTTAGCCTATAAGTTTGAAAACATTGGGTGGCGTATTTCAAGACAAAGTCTTCTTAAGGAGCCTCATGAGACAGGGATACAAGCAGGTGAAACTAGAAAGCACTCAGAGAGCGCAAACCTCCGCCAAGGCTAAACAATTCCCCGCCATTGTCAGTACACCCAAAAGAAATACTCGCATAAATGGTGAGGAATCCTTTAAAAAAACACGATCAAGACCCAGATCCGGATCAATTCCAAAATCTAATCGAAGTTGTACCAAGGTTCTAAAACGTTTTGTTATGCACATCCGTCAATACCTTTTTGAGTTATCTTGTTTTTAAAACAGACAAACCAACCAACCAACAAACAAACATATAGGAGGTAATAAAACGCTGTATAGGCCTTTAATATTCGGCCACAGAGTGAGGTAAAATCTTCATTTTTGGAACTTGTGTAGAGAAATGAAAGCAATGACGTTACAAATTAATACCAGTCTGCTCCGATGAATTATTTAAACTTTATGATTAAACATACTCTATACGTTTTATGCCACATTTAAAAAAAAACGAACGTGAGGCTTTAGTGAATAAATGGTATGGCACCATCCCATTCAACTGTTCACAATTCATTAAATACATTCAGGGAACACTACAAAAATGGCCAACTTGTGCATAAGGCCCATAATCATTAATGGTTCAATACCCCCCCCCCCCTCATCCCCCCTCTAGCCACACCCACATTCCCCTCCTCACCATCTCGGCTTAGATCCCACCAGAAGGAGCACACCCAGCGCAATCCTCCGGTGCAGATTGCAATCCTCGATAGCCACAGCCACCATCAAGCCACCAAAGAAGAGCAGGTTGGTGTCCTTAAAGTACTGGACCGCCACATCCTTGGCTGGCATGACGCCGAAGGCTGGGAACAAGACCAGTGGGAGGAGAGCGGTCACGGCTAGGGATATGGCTTCCGTGCACCAGAATACGGCCATGATCATGATGCTGTAAGCCGTGTAACCGATCTGCGGAAGGAAAGAAAAACACGAACATCCCTCAGAGCTCCGATAATGATTGAGATCTACAATTTTACTGGAGAGTCGGAGAAAAGTAAAATAGGTTACACCAGGCCTGATTCGGAGACGATTCCGTGGATACCTCTTTCATTAGAAAAAAACGAGTACAGGGCTTTGGGTTTTAGCCCAAGCGTGACCCGGATTTCAACTCTCTTCTCAAAATGTAATCCCCCTAAGGGAGTTCATTACCGGTTGAATGCCCACAACCGCCAGGAAGCAAATATAGCATCACTCGAGTGAATGATGATTTTTTTTTCTAAACCCCTCCGAAGTGGCCTAAACTCACACACATTTTCAATAAATATGTTATCTATAGACAGTGTAACATTGTTTTGTTTACGTCCAGAAATGAAACCGTCTTTCCTTTTTTTGATCTTTGAAATTGGTGTAGTTTGGGATTTGACGAACCTCCCCTCAATCTTAGATCAGGGAGCGGGCCTGACTAATATGAACTTCATACATATATCGCAAATAGGAATGTGAAGCGAATTCAACGGCACAAGATATTCGCTTAGAAATTCGCGGGATTTGAAATGTGTTCAACTGCTTCAACGCAAAAAACTTGACGTAAAACGTCACCAATTCATGCTCACGTTCGTTTTGGCGCCGAGTATGAACCCCATGCCTTCATTGGGGAAAAGACCACGAAGAAGTAACGAAATCGGTAAGATATGGATTGTAGACATGGAAATATCATTTGGACTAAAGAGTGTGCATTTAATTGGCCCGATTCACTTCCATGCATTTCACATACATTTCATCAGGGGACAGCCCCCACGAAACCCGTGTTTGTTGATTGTACAGTATGTTTGCTCGGTTTGCTGTGATTCGCAACCTTGTTTATTCAGGCTTAGCCTACAATCCTCGAACTTATTTTACATATGTATTAAAAGCCATGCAGGAATAAAAAATATCGTCCATGGTCGAACAACAGTGGAGTGTTTCCTTATTCTATGGAACAACAAAAAGGGTCGAACGTTGAATGTGCTTGGGGATCACGTACTTTCATGTGCCGCGACCGGTTGGGGAAGTACAAACTCGGCCTCAACGTAACGACTCTAAAACAGCCCCGAGTAAACACGGCCGAAATGTACACCTCAACAAGTGCTTAAGCAAGGTCCCCCACCTTAATTGTTTCCCAAGAAATATAAAGATTTTTTTCCGCCTCATGACAACATATCTGCCGAGTACAAGTGGTCTCTACAGCGATACGAATATTTCAAGGGAGTATAATTTGACAGCGGGGACAAAATCACCTGCTGAACTCATTCAGTACCGGGGGTATGTCAATATGAGGGAATGATGTATAATTAGATAACACCAAGCTTAGCTTGAGTTTATTAGCACCGTACACCTGTGTTAATCGTGTAATTTTTTTTTTTAAGATCACAAAGTGTCGTTCAGAAAGTTTGATATTTGATAAGCGGTGCATTGTAGGCAACCAGTGTATTTGTTTGATATTTGATAAGCGGTGCATTGTAGGCAACCAGTGTATTTGTTTAAGCAGAGTGAAGTCCAGTAAAAACGCGTAAAATGAAGTAAATGACATACTGAGATTTGTACGCCACACAGCTTGACCATAATGAGAATAGGGCCTATGGATTAAACGTCGTGTGCAGTGGACATTCTGTTTTGCACAGGACAAACAGGAGTAGGCCTACATATGTATTAAAAGAGCTGATAATGTTCTTGTTTTGCTTTTTCAAGGCCAACGGTAGACAGATTTCTCTCCCCAACCGACCACCTGTCCCTGAAAATGTTTTCAAAAGTCTCACCGAATTGTTGAAGACGATAGGTATCGGGCACAGAATGAGAGGTACCAGCACAACAATGAAATATCGCCGGTTTCTCCATGCCAATGCTCCCGGGCTGGGTGGGGGCGGGGTCTGCGTTGGCTCCGCCCCTTGTTCCTCCTCCACCACGACTTGACCGACCGCCTCTTCCCATGTTGGCGGCGGTTCGTCGTTGGAACTCATCTCTACAACAACATGACAAGAAACTCAGTTTAACAAAAACTGAAGAAATTCACCTTACAACCTTTTGACATGACTTCAATCTTCTGCAAATATTAAACATACGAAAACGCAGCAAGTGTTACAGAATTGCCATAATGATCCCTCTTACTGAAAAAAAGAATCGCATGCGAATTCGCAGATTTTTAATGGTGACGAATGCATCTTGATAGTACAAGAATTATCCATTTATACAAGCAAATAATGGCACAAACTTGTCTGTGGTTTCTGGAGCGGCATTCGATGCAAATCACTGTTTTCTCTCGGGCAAAGCTCCAGCGTGTCTTTCGGATTGATAACATATACCAATGAAATACCTTACGGTAGGTAATGACGGTAGTGTACCAAAAACAAATATTTCCCGGATATAAAGTTCAAGGCCATAATACAAGATAAAGAAGTACAAACCTATTGTGAGTTACTGTCGAGAAAAATGGTGAGGAAAGCCACACCGGAAACTCAAACAGGAATATCAGCTGTGCCGAGTTCAAATGGCAAGAGAATCCGGCTGACTGGGCGTAACCGGTTCAGTGTGGTCCTCGTCTCGTTCACGGTAATCAACTTGCAAACCTTGCAGAGTAATTCCTAACCCTAGACCCGTAACTATGTCGATAGTAATCGGAAATATACACACCACAGGTTGCCAGTCCAACCATTGACATAGGAACCCAACTCTATTATCATGGTCCAACTTTATGTCTCACCTTTTATTTATCGACCAACAAGGGCAGTGCCTGTCAAAGCGAATACAGTGGCGTGATACCAACATTGGGTGCGTAACCCTCGTGACGCGCAACTCCCATACAATGGGTGTTCACATTTATTTAATTGAGTGACTCATTTTTCTAGTCTGGTTCCCAGACCAAAAGATTTTGACTATTCCCGATGAATCTTAGGTCCGGTAGCCTCCGGTAATACATTGTATTACAATTTACGTCACGTGACTAAAACGGGAGGAATTCCTCCTTTGCCGAAAATTTCCGAAGTTTGCCGAATTCGTTTCGTCGACAATCGGATAGCGCCCGAGTATTTCCGAATATAATATAGGTTTAATTAACTGCTAATTGCCTATTAATTTTTTTTTAATAAGTTGATAATTAATATTCATTGCTTTCATTTAGAAAGCTTAAAATTCAACGACGATTTTGTGCATAAAATATACTCGGATCGTATGGGCGAACTTTTTGCTGCGTCATGTACAATTTTGAATTTGACGACCGTTACTGAGATTTTCCAAAACTCGGTCTTCATTCGGCTCCGCCTGCTAACAGTGCTATTTGGGTGCCTAATTTTGAAGATTCCAGATCAAATTAGTCAATGTTATCTTACAGAAACATCAAACTGTATTATCTTAACTGTATGATATTACGAAGCAAGTGATTTATTTACAAATTTGATCAAAACATTAAAAGCTAAAAGTGATAAAACGAAATCGGAAACGAAGCCGAGCTTTGAAAAAGGGCCATCAATGTCGTCATGTTTATTTTTAGCCACGGAGGCTCCCTGACCTAAGATTCATCAGGAATAGTCAGAATCTGTTGGTCTGGGAACCAGACTATCATTTTTCGACGTCATTTTCGTGAGGGCGCCCTTACATTTGCTTACCGTTAGCTTAGTGTCGTAGCCCGAGGGGGGGGGGGGGGTTGTTAACCCCCCCCCCCCCTCCCAATATTTTTTAAAGACTCCACCCACCCCCGTAAAGAGTGCCCTCTAAAAAAAAAAGTGATCTTTTTTACCAGCGGGTTTTTACGAGTGTCCTTTTGCGAATTTCGCGCGAACGTCGGCAATAATATTATTGGGCCGCCCTGAAAAGCGCCACTATTGTCTGATAATGTCCTGATCGTCCGGTTTGAACAGCGCCCCATAATGGAGATGCTACCAGCCCCCTTATCCCCGCCCTGCAAACAGGACGCTGGGATACGCTGATGAATTTAAGCTCTGATTGGATAGATTTTGCGTGACCTGTGACCTGCAAGTCATCATGGCCACGACCCTGCAAGGTTTGATATGGTCGTTTAGACCGAGTCATCATCTTTTATTCCTATTCATATATATTTTTTTCGTTGAAAAGCTTAATAATGTAGGAAAATCTGTAAAACTTATCTGTTTTGTAAATGTTTAATTCCCGTCACTTGCTCAGGCCCTGTTTTGAATTTACGAAGGGTCAAATTGCATAATATGCGACGCTCACTGTCTGAGCATGGTCCGCAATGAAAAAGAAATCACATCCGGTATGGAATGTGTACGTTTCTATGAGGTTTTCTGATAGCATTTGTGCGCATTAGCTAACTGCGGTCTTTACCAACCCCTTTTCCTGTGAAGATTCTGTGAAGCTCATCAGCGTGTTCCCAGCGCCTGCATGGTGGGGGTACGAACGAACCTGAGCCCCCCAGTGATTCGCCATCGTGCCATTAAACCGAATCAAAAGTGTCCGATGCTCAACGGAATGCCATTGCTAATTCAGGCCGCGTCTAAATTGCTTGGCCCTGGCTGCAAAACTGAACACACAGCCCGAAGTAGCTGCAGCCGCTTCTATCCGCTCCGTTCACAAGTACCCCCTCACCGGCAAAGAAGGAACAGTTGGGGGTGACCGACCGACGCCATCTTGCTAGAGGTTGAGATCGCGCAAGGCATGATGGGAAACAACATGGCGCAGCAAGATCTCGTACCCATGGGAACGGGTTGATTTTGCCGCAACGTGCGGCCGTACCACTGCGTGTACATAGTAATCCCCATAGATATAGAACTTGCGCGTCAACCAGCTAAATATCCCGCCCGTCGTAGCTAGGTAAAAGGGCGCCCTCTTTGTTGGCGCACGGAGCCCATTGGCGCGTGACGGTAACTTCGTCTCGTTGATTGCGCCCTCTTCCGTTGATGTTTTTGGGCTGCCTGGGTTGATGTCCTGGGCCAAGACCACATTCCTTACTGCGGCAGTCGGCTACATTTCGCTTGAACATGCATGTTATGATATTTTGCTCAAAACAAAATTGGTTAAAGTGGTCAGAAATTGCCTCAGATTGCACCACAGAACGTCTAGATTCCCTGTCCCCACCCACTTCTTAAAAAGCGATTGAGCAGACGCCCTTGGTGAACAATACGTACTCCATCCAGCACCGAAGTACTGGGGCCCCCTCACGGATTGGAAGAATAGACAAAAATCGATATCTCCGAGACCCCGAGCAGAGTTTGTTCTGGATTACAGAGAGGTATGGTGAAATAGGTTGATCGTTCCTTTCTTGTCCCACCCCATTTTAAAAACCTACGTACCTGATGCAGCAAAATAAGGTGGGACGGGCGTGTACTCCGCGCGAGTTATCGCGTCCATGATTACTGCAGATCAGGCAACTGAACACTGAATTTGACCAAACCGGCTCCAGCATAGCAATGACAAAACATTATCCGGGCAGGATTTTGTGCGACAGTGCTGGGGACGACCAGGGTGCGTCCTTGAATTGCCTGGTGTTATTGTCAATGCATGTGTTCAACAATAAGTCACTCTTTGTATGTACAGCAATCTCCATATTACGGTGGCCCACAACTGTCACGGCAAAAGCAAAAGCGCCACGGCAAGCGCAAAAGCGCCGCGGCAAGCGCAACAGCGCCACGGCAAGCGCAAAAGCGCCACGGCAAAAGAAAAAGCGCCACGGCAAAACAAAAAGCGCCGCGGCAAAAGAAAAAGCGCCACGGCAAAACAAAAAGCGCCACGGCAAAAGAAAAAGCGCCACGGCAAAACAAAAAGCGCCGCGGCAAGCGCAAAAGCGCCACGGCAAGCGCAAAAGCGCCACGGCAAGCGCAAAAGCGCCACGGCGAAAGCAAAAGCGCCACGGCGAAGGCAAAAGTGCCACGGGTTTATTGGGAAGGGGCGCAATCATACATGCCGCTACTACATCAAAAAATAAAATGGGAAGGAGAATGGCCGCCACCAGGAATTCTTATTAAGCACAGAATTTAATTCTTTGAGAAGTGATTTTATGGCTGAGAAAATAGCAAGGCCAAGGAAAACCGGTCAGGAAATAAATCGTCGATATTAATTTGTTGTAGGATAATTATTATTCCAAGAGAGTTGCTGCCGTGAATCAGAGTTTATCAAGGAGTGGGACTCGCTATCAGCACCATCAGGGCCGTTCCTCATTTCTTTACATTTCTTGGGATGCAAACAATATTTACGAGGACGGGAGGCTCTGTGAGCTGATGCATTTTTGAAGACATTTTTTTCCCCTTCCGACTAGCATGCAGAGAAGAGTTCCGTTAATTTGAGCCTTTTTTCACAGGTGTGTATACCAGTGTAGGCACGAAAGTGAGCTGCCCAGAGTGTATGAGTTATTTTTTTTTTCTTTTTCAGTATATCATACACATCTAGGAAGTCGATTAAGTCTCTCCTGCAGGGCTGCGGCAGTGGGTGGGTAAGGCTTGTCAACACGTAACTCGCCCGCGGGCCCATTAGGTTAGAAATTCCCAGAGAGCGGGAATTTCAAAACTCTTCGCTGAACGTTGCTTGCACTGACCGGTTTCCTTGCTATTTTCTCAGCCATAAAATCACTTCTCAATTCATGGTGGCGGCCATACTCCTTTCCATTTAATTTTAGATGTAGTGGCGGCATGTATGATTACGCCCCTTCCCAATAAACACGACTGAGTTGAAGATAACTCACAAATCGAGAAATGGATCGTTCTATTAGACAGTTGCAACGCTTTCGACAGAGGAGGTTAGGTCGTGGATTTCATGTAAGGAACGTAACACAGGCGAAGACTTTGGATATAGAATAAGAAAGAAAGAAATTAACTTAAAAAGGGGGGGGGGTAAGGGAGAGACACTAAACAAAGGAGAAGTGTTATCGTTGAGATGCACAGTTCTAAGCTCTTCTATGAAAATTTGGTGGCTCTGAAAAGAGCCGTTTGCTTTGTTTCGAGTGAATACGGAACTATTTGATGCCGGAAACAAGCCCTCTTTCTGCCCTGCAGGCTGATTCTGCAATGATGTGGAAGACTGTCCACAGGGCAACTCATCATCGCTATCGCTAAGCATCATGAGGTCTTGTTCGGCTTGTTGGTTTCTTGAGCCGGGGGTGGGTGGGCCAATGAGTTCTAGGTTCTGAGTTAATTTCTTTTTTTCTTATTCTATATCCAAACTCTGGGCAGCTCAATATTGTGTGCCTACACTGGTATACACACCGGTGAACTCATGGGCGTCGCCAGAATTTTTTCTAAAGGGGGCAAAACATATTTTTCCCAAAAAATTCTTGTATTTCTGAACAAATTCCCGATTTCTCAGTTTTAGACGGGGGCAGGGACATTTTGCCCCCCCCCCAACTCATTCAATTTACACCACTATGACTTCGCGCCTCTTTTTCTTTTCTTTTTTTCTCTCAGTTTTTTTCCCCTTCCTTTTTTGTGTGCTATTCCAGGGGGGGGGGGGGGGGAAGCGCCCCCTTGCCCCCCTCGCGACGCCCATGGGTGAACTAAGTCTCAAATTAACGGAATTCTTCTCTGCATGCTAGTCGGAAGGAAAAAAAACTCTTCAAAAAAATGCATCAGCTCACAGAGCCTCCCGTCCTCGTAATTGTTTGCATCCCAAGAAATGTAAAGAAATGAGGAACGGCCCTGATGGTGCTGATAGCGAGTCCCACTCCTTGATAAACTCTGATTCACGGCAGCAACTCTCTTGGAATAATAATTATCCTACAACAAATTAATATCGACGATTTATTTCCTGACCGGTTTTCCTTGGCCTTGCTATTTTCTCAGCCATAAAATCACTTCTCAAAGCATTAAATTCTGTGCTTAATAAGAATTCCTGGTGGCGGCCATTCTCCTTCCCATTTTATTTTTTGATGTAGTAGCGGCATGTATGATTACGCCCCTTCCCAATAAACCCGTGGCACTTTTGCCTTCGCCGTGGCGCTTTTGCTTTCGCCGTGGCGCTTTTGCGCTTGCCGTGGCGCTTTTGCGCTTGCCGTGGCGCTTTTGCGCTTGCCGCGGCGTTTTTTGTTTTGCCGTGGCGCTTTTTCTTTTGCCGTGGCGCTTTTTCTTTTGCCGTGGCGCTTTTGCGCTTGCCGTGGCGCTGTTGCGCTTGCCGCGGCGCTGTTGCGCTTGCCGCGGCGCTTTTGCGCTTGCCGTGGCGCTTTTGCTTTTGCCGTGACAGTTGTGGGCCACCGTACCATATCAAGTACTGCACGGTGTAACGGTACGCATTCAACACCGGCGGAGTATAAGCCGGGCACCTCATGTGCAGTCCAGCCACACACAGTGCTAGCAGGGTGGATCCAGGATTTTTTTTCAGGGAGGCGTGCTGAAATGTAGACCGGTTATTTTCTCCAGATACTGAGGCCTCCGAACATGGGGGGGGGGGGGGGGGGGGCTCAAGCCAAATTTTCAATGGGGAGCGCATTTTGCTAGTGCATTTTTTTATGGAATTTTTTTTGGGGGGGGCTAGACAAAATTGGGGGGGGGGGGTACAGCCCCCCGCCCCCGTAGAACCGCCACTGCTAGTTTTCCTTCAAGCCTCGCTTTGGCTACGTTGATTTGAATGGCAAACAAATCAAGATGGCCGCAACATGATAATGTCTGCAGCAATTTCTGTGGACCATTTGCTTCCTAGATATGCTTCCATCAGCCACAAAAAAAAAACAGTTCCGCGTCAAGAGAGGTTACATCAAAACCACCCTTTTTAAAAAAATCCAAATTTGGTAACCATACATTAATGTAGCTTCATTTTGACACAACAGGGAACCTTTCCTATACTTCCGTTTTAATTCATTTTGTTTCTGTGGAGATTTTAGGGTGGCATACTTATTGGATATCCAGTACATGTACAGTACATGTACAGTACATGTATTATCCAAAACATTTTTGTTCGACGTACACTTCAGATGCGCAAATTTAGATGAGCTTAATTAGGATCCACTGTCGAATACAGCAGTCTTCATTTGCGGTAATGCACGTTGTTTGAGGTTTTGTTTCTTCACTGTTCTAATCATCACCAACGTCATTAATAGGAAGAACCTTCCCACGCTCGAGGTTGTACATGCGGGTGAATTAGACAAGTTTGGGAAACGGATAAAAACAAGATCAAGTTAACTCATCTCAAGGGAACGAACTTGAAATAAACAGAAGAGTATTCACTTCTTTGTTACTTTATTAAAACACCTTACACCTATACTTAGTACAACACCAAATTTTAAAAAAATGTTAAAATGTTTGTAAAGAAGACAAAAACATTACCGTTTACTAAATGTGCAAAAATCAAGATTGCAAATTAAACATTCCCGTTAAAATTGGTTGCTTTGTTTAAAGCCACAAATTACTGAAACTGGGCGAGAAATACATCGGTAGAATTTCTGAAACTGTTTCATATCACCAGATAAAATTTGGCCCCGTCTCGATTGCAGCACCCAAACAGTGGCTGATGCTGGATTGGATAAACAACTGCCTATAGCAAGCTCATACGCAATTTTCATAGACAGGTCAACATTTTATAAGAACATGGCAAAAAAGGAGTCGATATTTCAGGGGGTTTCAGTTAAAGAAACGGTTACGGCCAGCCTACTACTGAATACTGTAATTCGTCCGAATTACTTGGCTAGGCAACGGGAAACAACGCATGCGCCTTACGAAGCGGCTGAATCCACTTCCCATGCGCATGCGCTTTCTACGCTGGGCACCAGCCGCAGCCAAGTAATGCGGACGCAGCGCTATAAGGATCAGTGCCAGTTTGCAGTCTTCTTGACACTTCACGTGAACAGTTCATGATGCAAGGTATGCAGCTATCAGAAGACGCTCACGATAATAATTCCATCAGTTAATACTTGACAGCGAGGGCGCCACACACGGCCACGACGGCGACCAAGAGGTTAAAGGCCAGTGCGCCTGCGCTGTTGCAGAGATTGCCGGAACAGCAGTGCTGGGAGATGTAGTTGCCGGCGCTGATTTCGAACCTGTTCAGCTCCACGCATTCCCCTTCAAGAGCGGTGTGGCATGTTCGCATCGTGGCTGGAATGTCGCCTTCGAGAACACGTTTCTGGGGAAGAAAATAACAGATCAAGTCAACAACCTCAATGATTACATGTTGAAGACCTGTTGAAAAAAAGGTTACGTGTAGGCAGTAGTTATATCCACCTAACTCTTACATTAAAAGTTACAACTTAAACGTTCTTCAGGATTCAGGTATCTGCCCTAGAGAAGTAAATCCAACACTGCTGAAAGTGTCACTCTGCAATGTGTACCCCCTTCAACTTGACTTGGCCGATTAAATCCAATATGAAAATCTGGATAGCACAGTGGCTGTTCGGAGCTAGTTTAGTCGTCATCCGCTTTACTAGTCTGAAAGCCACGGTCTATTACATATGAACAGATTCGCTAATTAATAATTGCCTAAATATTAGGCAAGAGAACCGCATCTTGACCTCTAGATTTTGACCAATCAGCGGGCGCTTTCTATGTCGGGTCTTCGGTCATTCCCCTTTGTCGCTTCTAGACATGGATAAAAAATAACCCCGCTACACACCACAACGAAGACTTGTCAAGCGCTATTATTATGTTACGCCATACGCACGCGGCTGTTGTTGCATTACAAAACACTGCATTCAAGTTGACCAATCACAATTTTAGTCCTGATTTGGGAATGAAATAACGTCAGGATTTAGTAAAGTCGACTCCGATTGGCTGGCGCGCGGCTTGCATAAATCTGCATGTCTAGACATAAGATGTTATATATACAGGACTTGGCTCTGTTGATAACGGGTGATACCCAGACTACTATTATTACCACTCCCGGAACAATAGATTTAGACAGAAAGATGTTGTCTAATTGAAATGTACACTTTTCTATTCAAATAATTCATTATTTTGTATAAGCAAAAACAAAAATGGCAACAAAATATACGTATATCGAGTTTCTGTTTCGATAGACATGTTTTGTATGCTTAAACTATTTTTTTGATCGAGAGTATTTGGGACTGGCTCCCTTCCCCCATTTTCAATGGAGGTTTCTGAAACCAGCGCGTAGCTTCACTTGTTAGTACAGCTAGCAACGGTTCGGGCTATCGGTTTTTTTTATGGAGACAAGTAGTCTACACATGAAAACGTCTGCAGGACATACCGCGCATGAGCCATCGCAGGAAATCTTGCTGATGCCAGTAGCGCTGAAGGCATCGTCGCAACCTTTTTCTCCCACTTCGAACCCCAACACAGTGGTATAGGTGCAGTTGTAGCACATCAGATTCCCGGTGCTTTGTGCGTCGGCCCCGTTCAGGGTGAATGCTGTAAAGATCAAACCATAAAAACGGGTTAGAGACGTATGCAGTCACTTGATGCAAGGGCGCCCTCTGGTAGTTTTATTTCCCTTTTAGTTTCGATTCCCAGTTTATTTGGTTAGCTTTATATTCAAGGGAAGTTGCGCATCCAAGGGTAAACACGTTTTGGTTATTCGTGTCTTAAGGTCTCACTTCAGTGGGTTTTTTTTTCCAATGTAATACTTATTAATTACGTAATAATAACAGTGCACAAAATCACGTGAAAACAATACATGTACACAATGTACCCTGTTCTTCGGACAAACATACCTGCAACAACGCAGAAAACGGCGGCAATGGCGAAGTGATTCATGGCGACAGAGGGCGGTCTTTACGGGATACTGAAATAGAGCTGTTGATTAGAGAACACAAAGACAAGTAATGAGTTAATGTATGCGGAAATGAATTCACGCAATTTCCTCCGTTGATAGATTGAAATGTGTCGCCTGCGCCTGGCCGAACAACTGCAAGAATGGCGAAATCTCACACCTATAACACACCAGAGTTGACAAAAACAAAGGGCAGATTTGTAATCTAAGTAACCCTGTTCATTACAAAGAGAGAGCTGATGCAATATTCCGGCTACCGTAGTAAAAAGAAACGGGCCTAGTTTTCTTGTGAGACCATTTCGTTTGCAGATTAGACCTAGGCCTATTGATCGGTTTTGGGGTGGTTTTGGGCTGTTTTCACAGGCACTTGGTAAGGGCCAGTTTTTGCTCCCTCGTGTACTCGCCAGGTTCAGTGTGGCGTGACAGGGTTGTCTCCGTGATGAAGTTACTGAGCTTGCGCAGTGGTTGAGGCCCATGTTCAGAGTAAGGGAGGCGACTCGATGTGAAAGCATGTGTGCGCATGCGCGATCGCAAGAATGAAATTCCGTTATGGGAAATCGAGCACAGGGTCAATTCGTGGTCCAGTTGAAGAGGGCCGCTGACCGAAGGTGTATGGTATAACTGTCTACTGGGAAATTAACGAATATCTGGATTACGCCTACGCGTGTTGGATGTTTAAAAAAAAAATACCAACACAGCGCTCACATATCTTCACAAGTCATTTTGCTAAACTGAAACTTAAACATTGTCACAAATTTTAGCTTGGTTAGGGAACTGCTGCATGCTTCCGTTCTTGTATAGTATAACTGGGGAAAACTTACAATGAAAGGAAAACTGTATAGTTCATTGGGAATTAATACGATTATTACAAAACATGAAGTTAATTAATACCACTACCAGCATTATTGGAAAATCGTCGGTGAAGCGCACTTTTGACCGTAACAACATCCTAAGCTATCAGCTATGGTCTTCATGAGAGAAGGTCGTGCTATTATAAGTGTCAACACTTGAGTTGTTTAATGCATGGCGCATGGGCCCCATAAAATTATTGCCAACGTATATACTATATCATAATTTATATATATTTATATTTGATTAATATTTATGTGTAAAAGGAACCAGGGCCCTTATGGAAAGCAAGTTTTTTTTTAACTGATAAGGCCACCCTGTATAAATATGACAGCAAATAAAATAAATTATCTTGGTTGTAATAGTACCACCTCTAGTTCCAGTGGCGTAGCAAGGTCATTTTGATTGGGGGGGGGGGTAAAACAAATTTTAAAGGGCACTTGCACATCCGTGCTGAAATGAAAACACGTTTATTTCTCCGTAAAATCAAAAAGCGGGGGGGGGGCTTCTACAATTCCGTCGATGGGGACGCTGTTCAAAACCGACGATTAGGAGGACAATTAATATGTATGTGATGCTTTTCAGGGCAATACATGCGTGAAATTTTAATAAAAAAGGCAATAGGAACGGCCGATAGCTCAAAAAGGGCACCACGTCTTTTTTAAAAGGGCACTTGTTCAGGAAAAAAGGCACTTCTGAAAAAAGGGTACTGTTTACAAAATGGTTTTTTTTTTGGGGGGGGGAAGCGCTGGTGAAAAAAGGGCATTTGAATTATTGGCCACTGTTTATGTACACAGGAAAAGTCTCAAGCAGAAAGATGGTTCGAAAGCTTTGAGAGAAAAATGGGAAAGATTCCCATAACTTGCCACTAATTTTTCCCTTCAGTGACCCATCAATCATCAGAAAGTGATGTTATGTCATAAAAAGTCAAATCTAGCAGGGACAATATTGAAGCATTTACTGAGAAAACTGAGAAACATTTACTGAGACCGGTCTCATATAGGTTTGTGCACAAGGTGAAAAGTGATGGCCAGATATGGGAATCTTTCCTAATGTTGCAACCTGACGCCACCCTTTTCTTCATATATCAATGAAGGTCAGTCTTGCAAAAATGATATTAAGAATTTAAGACATATAACACATGATTCTGGGACTGAGAAACATTTCCAATTTTGTTGGGAAATACAAAATTGTCTAGGCTCTCCATAGACTTTGTACACAATCGCGGAAGTTGCGTCAGGTTGCAACACTTTTTTCCCCAAAACTTTGAAGAAAAGATTATCCCTGTTTTTTTTCCGAAAAATGGAATGTTTATGAAACATACATAATCTGATCATAAAGCTTAGAATGTATTCTTTCATATTACTTCCGTTCACCACGAATTAATACGACGTTCCGTTCAAACGATGTACAGCGTTTGTTAGAGCAAAATTAGTGCCTCAATTTTTATTCCAATTTTAAGAGGATAAAGCACACGCGCGCCGCGCTAGTTTTCATGTGGAGTCGATTTACCGGTCTAAATTTGCGTTTTTGATGTCTGTGAGTTCTCCGCACTGCGAATAAGAGTTTTCTCTGGTTGTACTATTACCTCGATTGAGAAAGAATTGCAAATCACTTTACTCATGGTTCAAAGAATGGAATTGAAGTTCAGGAATGAACAAACTTACCAACTGAGATGAATCACGTACTTCGTCAAGCTAGATACTGAAGTCTGACAACTGCGTTGGGTCTAATGGTATAATCAACGACTCCTGGCTATTTATATTAGGACGCGCGAGGCGTGAGCTCGGCAGGCGTGGCATGCAAATTACTCGATGTTGTATAAAAATCGATTCCAACATTTTTTGAATTTTTTCTCGAAACTCAAGTATCGTCAAAGGGTTGGAAGTGTGCATCATATTGATTGATTGATTGATTCTGGACAAAGTTATGAAACTCTGCGTTCATGATCATTACCTAAGTATGTAAATGAATATTCAAGCCCCGTAAAATAATAGCTCACGAAAGTCAGACGTCATTTTCATCCTGTGTTACTCGATACCAAGATGTCAGGACTCGATCCATTAGAATCGATTCTGATGGATGTGAATGACACCGGCGCTGGTGCATGTAGCCTTGACTAATGCCTGTTACGTAACGCCGACGGTGCGTAGGTAAATGTAAATCTCATCACTATACATGTATCGTACGTGTTCTCATAATTTTCACAGCAGGGTCCAAACCAACTGACAAAGCAAGTTGTGGATGAGGAAACATATTTCTGTAACAATGGTGCACACCGGTGAATAGGCCAAAACCCATCCGCCGAGCTCATAAATAAAAGTTATACCCTCAAAATAGTCTATATTAGAGAGTTCCGAGAGCCATAGAATTGGAGAATTATGGCATAATGAACCTCTGGCCCGGACTCGGAGCTTCCAATTCTGAGCATTTTGGATGCAATTGGGCTCGAAAGTGGCGCTATTTTGCCACGTTTAGGGATCGTTTTTCAAGATGGCTACTTTACCGCATTGGGGAAAAAGGGGGTCGTCTTCTTTGTGTGAATACCTCGAAAAGTCAACGGTCAATTATTAATCCACCAAAAATGAAAATAAAATGAAAGATGACGTGTTGATCATCAGTTTTCTGTGCAGCTTAATTAAATATGCTGTGAAAGTTCTGAGTATTTTTAAAAGAATTTTGAAGTATGGGCATTTAGCACTATAGTGTCTTAGTGGCGAACATTTCCCTCTAAGTTTATTATGGCAGTGTAATGGCGCAACTATTTTTGTTTGTGAGCCTGTTGAACGAGCACTTTTATAACAACAGTATACAAATTTATTGTGAGCACAAATTTTAACCTTTTTATTATGATGAGCAACGGCCAGTCACGTAGTAGTAACAACAAGGTAACGAGGCTTTGTATTTAATAACCTTGCGAGATTGTCCTGTTCAGTTCCATGGCTTTTAAGCCAGGGACAGCCATGCAATAATTGCAAGGACGCTGGTTGTCAATACATTCCTCCATGATACAACGCAGCACCATGCATGGAGGATAAAACGTTCACAGAAGAGGGCAAGGCCGTTTGACCAGAAAGACGGAGCTTGGACCATGGAGGAAGGAATAGATGCTTGGACGAAATAGATCCCCGGGCAATATTTCCCAGGCCGACACCTAATACCGACGTTTGTCGGCTAATTTCGTCGGAACATATGGACGGTTTTTATTACAAAACGAGGGTTATCTAGAAGAAAAACGGTGACTTGAAATGTCCATTATGATGCACGTGCATTGATGTATTAATCCATGCATGCCATTATAAGTACATGTATGTCGATCGTTGAGAAAGACTGTTTTCATTTATCCTAATTTAAGGCATAAACTCTCTTTCACTGAGTGTATTATCATGGTTGGTAGTATTACTTCTTTTGCTCTATACAAAAAAAAACAACGATGAATACGAAACGTTGTGACTAATAATTTGGCCAAAATTTGCCTGTTTCCGCGTAGTGTTTTTCCTGCATTGATTCAAGCAAGCACTTCAAGTAATGATTTCCCCTGCATAATTCGCGTCTAGTACAACTCGCATGTGTCAGTTTGGCTTTAATGATTTATCAAAGATCATGGCCGACTATATATTATGAGCTACCATGCCGCCCTGGCGAAGCCGACGGGTGCTAATCATCCGCAGACAAGACATTGCGATGGACAGAACCAACGGTCGTCACTTGTCAAGTTACGTAACACCCAGACAGAATTATGCATGCATGATTCGACTGGTGTTTAACAATGAAACCCAGGCTAATGAGTTCTTTACTTATATTTTTCCATGATGGTTTCACACTGAGCATGTTTTTTTATAATTAATTCTCCATGAACTAGTCGCACAACTAATTCGCATGGTTGTTTTGGAACCGTGCTTATTGTCAGAACGAATATTAATTAGTGTGCAGTAGGCCTATAATTTAATTCGCGTATAGTGGTACGTGCAAAACTAGCAGTATCTCTTTACCAAGCATATGCTTTTCTCGTCTCGGGAGACCCACGCATCCAACACCTCGGGGTAATTAGTTTTCACTATTTCCCGACAAACCATATTGTATTTGTATAATGTGATGTAGTCAATCATGGCATTATGCGATGTCGTCAATCTAGTATTATGTGGTGTTGTCAATCTATGTAGTCAATCTATATGTGATGTCGTCAATCTATTATGTGATGTAGTCAAGCTACGTCTTTGAACCATGGAGGAATAGGCCCATTCCGTTTTATCCAGACTCGTCAATAGTATGCTTGCGCAGGCAAATATAGAGTATAGGCTACATGTATCTGTATAATAACAGATGCAACCATGCGCATGCGAATCGCGAATAAAGCTGGCGGTTCGCGTAATCCTCCCACCATGGAGGAATCAAACATTCCTCCATGCTCCCACCAGAATAGTGGTCGTGACTACATGGAGAAAACTCCACGTCCTTTCTACTACGTGTGGTTCCTTGCTCTATGGACCGGGTACTCAGCCAGGGCGGATCCAGAACACAAATTTTTTTTGAGGGGGGGCCTAAAAAAAAGTGGGTCAAAAAATACAGCGTGGGGTTCTGGGCCCGGTGCTAGGGCCCCCAATTTTTTATGGATTCTAAATGCTCTGTGGTGCGATCTGAGGCAATTTCTGACCACTTTCACCAATGTTTTTTGGAGGAAAAGATGGTGGTGTACGCAGTGCCTGCCTTAATAGCGACGTCCCCCCCTCCCCCCCCCCCCAAAAAAAAATTGGGTTCTTTCTTTTGGGGGGAGGGGAGCCATGGCTCCCATTCCACCCCCCCCCCCCCCCCCCGGATCCGCCCTTGCTTCGGGCCTGACTTAAGACGCTCGGTCGATCGATACATCTCTCTTTCAATTAAGAAGCCATCATGACATGTCTGATAACGCAACTGTATTCATGGAGGAAGGAATTAACCTCCATGCTGTATTCCACATGCAGCTTGCTACGATCATGGAGGAACTTACTGCCATGTACTATGTACTACCACCGGGCTGATGAAGGCAGTTTGTTGAATAAACATATATGTACATGTACACACGGACCGACCGTAAGCAAGAGAATAAACAATTAGGGCTTGTCTAATCCTGCGGATCGCATCCCCCGGGGGGGGGGGGTCTCAAGGATTTTTCTGACAAAGACAACAAAAAGTGACAAATAAGACACACACAAAAAAAGAGTACAAGGACAAGACTTAAATAATGGAAGAACTGGACTACTGGGCACCAGTTCAGGAACTGTAATATGTGCCTTACCGCCTTCACTTCTAATGGAAAGATAACCGTTCGGGAATAATTACCCCACTGGCCTTGCTCAGTGGATGGCCTAGCTTATGTAGGTGCTTTCACGGAGGAAGGTCCTTAATTAACATCACAATACCAAACACCAAGCAAAGTTCCAGACCCATTTCAATAGCGGTGAAATTATGACACTTTATTACAAGCTTGATTGGTCAGTCAATGCACACAGAATATTACATAGTATATACATTCTCAACTTAAGCTGTATACAATAAAATATACAAATCGTGAACTCTGCAATATTATAAACCGTGTCAAGGCCCAGGTATTTGGCACAAAATCAAACATGAATATGCGGCCTTGTTCGTGTGTGAAATGTTCTTTCTAATCATGAATACCTTAGTGAAGGGAAAGCAATGTGTTTTGTGCCCAAACCTGTTTGACATTACCCTTTTTCGTAATGGATTAATCGCATTGATCGGGTTGGGATTGGCAGTATTGTTTCTTACTATATGTGCATGCACATGTACATGCCACTATGATAGGATATGTAGTGCCATATTTAAGGTAACAACTAAACACAGGCTTTTAGGGGTGCACTTTATTTCGTAAATGGGAGTAACTTTTACCGTGGTGTCAACACTAACTGATGTGGTGAAATTAGAAAGAAAAATGAGAAACCTGAAGATAACGACTGATAGCTACTAGGCAAAACAAAAAGAAGCCGACAGAGCAACTGAAATTTAAAAAAAACCTAAGAAGCATAGATGGATATCATTTTCTTGTAGTTTTTAATTCGGTTTTTGTCGTGTCACGTTCTGTGAAATATTTCATGTTTTTTGGGTCATACTTGATGTTTATCGCTGGCTTCTTTATCATGGTGTCTTGTCTTATCCTTTAATCCTGTGCAGTGATTGCTACCGTGCTGCTTGACTGCTGACCCTTGTCTTCTTGCAATAGTCATGGTGTTCATCAGTCTGCTTTCTTTAAAGCTATAGTCCATCATTTGTAATTAGTGCATTTTGTTCGTTTGAAGAAACAAAAGTGTTCAAAATCTAATGAAGGATACTGAGCAACTAACCTGATGAAGTTTCAGCTAAGCTTCAGCTGTACATTCCGAGAAAAGCAGCATTCTAAGATCTCAAATCAAAAGTTACTGAATCATGTTTTGAATTGTTTTGAATTGCAGCTATACGCGGCGTCGCGCACTGATCTGACGAATTATAACAACCGCGTGCGCGTGTGCGTCGTTCCAATACTTGTGCGCGCTGCGCTGAATAACAAAACGAACTACTAATTTAAATTTTCCTACGGTGCTTCTTAAGAATCACCGTTGGAAATGCCTTCTTTCGTTGATTACTTCAAAATGACAGCTTCCCAGAAAGAATAATTTCACAGGGAGTTTAGTTCCCTTACTATCTTTCAACCAAGTTTGTTTTTCAACAGTAATTACGCCAGTTACTTTTCGGATGGCTGCAAATGATGGACTATAGCTTTAAACACTCGTCTGATCTTAACTTCCAAAAGTCTGGTTTCTTAACATAAACATCCTGTTTCCCCCTTGTTGCTCATCCTTGGATCTGATGTCAAGAAGGTGTCTGGTTGTTTCCTGCTTATCATCAAGCCTTCAACGTGGCTTTCTCGTTTTCCAATCAAGAATGCTCAAGGTCTCTTGTTCTTTTTCCTGTTAATCCTCAAATCTCCAACACCATCCTAATCCCTTTCTTCGTGCTGTTGCTCTAATCCCACCGGGTCTTGCAAATGTACTGCCGATGATCTTAATCCCCATCCTCATATCTTAATCCCTTGATCCTGCTAATCCTCTGATCCCTCATCCGGGTGCAGGTACAATGAGGGGTCGTCAATCTTCCGCACCACAGCTGGCTTGAGACGCTCCGAGCACATGGGGCAGGAGTCTTCTGTTTCCAGTAAGCTATGTGGATAAATGAATTAAGACATTTATAAAATGGAAGTGCATGAATCATATGTATCACAACTGCAAATAAAGTTAGATCTTGTCAAAAGGGTACAGAGCAAAGTCCAGATTTTGGACTCACAATCAATCCTCAAATCTGCTTTTCTTCTGGTATCGGTGATCAAAAGATGACAATTACAATCGTTTAGAATATGAACCAAAAAAAACAATCAGCAAGCAAAGTTAGACAAAGAGAACACTTGAAACCTCTACCCAGGCATTTTGTTTATGTCAACCTCTTCAGACATTGAACAGATTGCAGCAGATAGTGAGAAGCTTCATACCTTGTGAGCTCGGAATGTAAGGCAGGGAAGTCACAGTTATGGCAGACAGAGAAGTCATCCCTCACCATGTGTTGCCCCTGTAGGATATACAGAGAAACAGGCCATAAGAATACAAACAATTCATACATTCTGATCCGTGTTCTTGTGAAATAAGCCATGGTACTCACAGTGACAATGCAGTAAGGGACGTTGTTCTTGCACTCTGGGCAGACCAGCTCCGTGTTTTCCAGGCTGTACTTGCAGTACGGGCACGGCGACGTGTCTTCCTCCTGCTCCGACTTGTCTGGTTTCCTGAACAATGGGAAAAAATATGGGAAGTCATCAATGGGAATTCATGGTACGGAATTGTGAACTTAGCCCACCCCAAAACAGATTTTCAATAGTTTCCAATTGTTCATGTCTATAACATACCAGCTTTCTAAAAAAAAAAATTGCAAGTTCCCAGCGTTACTAATAAACTGGAAATCAGCAGTGTTTCCACTAAAATTCAGAACTATTTAGTGTCTGTATTCCTTCCAAACACATAATAAGAAAATAAAAAAATGGTGGGGGAATTTTGTAAGATTCGAGGAATTAATTCAGAGAGGCCTCATGGCCTCGTATTGAAAATTGTCATGAGACACCACCAAGTTACAGGAATCTCACTCTACTTTACAAATTCAACTTATAGTTTCAACAGAGAAAAAACTTGATCCGTTTACCTAACAATTGCCTCGATTTTTTTCTTGTACTTCAGGTCGATGTTATTGCGGTACTCCGGCCTCATCAACATGGCTGCGTAGCTGAAGGAGGAGTTCTTCAAGCCAGAACGATGACACTCGATGACCGTGGAGGTCAAGATGGGAACGATGTCTGAAAAATTAACAGTCGTGAAAAATGATTGTGCCTTTAATAACACGAGTTTAGGGGAAACAATCCCATCCCTAACAAAGGAAAACGTGACGCTTTGTGTCCACAAGCAAGATACTTGACTGTGACTGATCAATGCAAATGTATCTAGATGGTCTAAAAGTGACATTGTTAATAATACTCACGAGCCGGGAACTTGCTGATGTTGTTAGCCACCCTGATTAACATTCTTGCTCCCTTCTTGTGGTCACCTCTCTTCACGTGGATCTTTAAATCGGAATAGCGGAAATCAGCATAAAAATAACAAGTGTTTGCCAAAATGAGATTCCAAGGCCAAAAAAAAAAAGTCTCCGGTTTCTGGTATGCGCGCGCGTCGCCGTAGCCATGCGCGTCGGCAAAATGAAAAAGTTTTTTTTCCAATGAAAGATGATGTCTCAAAACCGCCAAACTCACTGGTTTGACTGGAATTCTGCTGCTGCGCAATTTCATCGTGTTTTTAGATGGGGTTATGCTTGAGAATAAGCTTTATGTGGCCTCTCTGGACTCCCATATATTTGCACTAAGTTTAGTCGGGCACCATTTGCAGTCATCAGCCGACATTTGAAGCAAAAAAGTCGGGTAAAAAAAAAAAAAAAGCCGCGTCGCCGCACCACTTTTTGGACAAGCTCCATACCAGAAACCGGAGACTTTTTTTTTTGGCCTAAGGGCTGATTGCCCAAAAATAATTTATTGAATATTCCTTGAAAGCCTTCATTATTTATTTATTTATTTCTCTCAGCCAACAGCGAATAACTGCCGAATTACAGGCCGAATAAAACATCAAACATATATTACAATATAAATTTATGACAAAATTACAATGAGAAATATTATACACTAAAAAAAAATGATAACAATTATAAAGATGGCCCTGTTGTCGCAGTGATCACAGGGAGAACTCACCTTGACAAGGATGTAGCTGTGAAGGATCATGAGATTGCTGGCCATCTCAGTCGGGATTTTAATCTTCTGGCTCTTCAGCTCCCGATACATGCTGAGCAGAACATCGTGAGCGTTTCGATAATTTCCTGAAGAAAAAAAAGTACAATTTTGAGTGAACAATTTGAACACAGCAGTAAACACTTTCAATTTGGTCACAATGCAAAAATAGAACAATATTTTACAAGATTTGCCAAAAGTAGTTTAGGAATTTGTTGAAATATTCTAAATTACAAGCACAAAATTCACACAACTCACAACACTACCACTACTACTCCTGATGCCCTTGACCATCAATGGGTCGTAGTGACCTCCAACCTTCCCGGTCAAGGGCAAGAGACCAGCACTCGATTGGTGACATCTGCACAGCATCCGCAACCTGCTTAAGCCAGGTAAGCCGGGGATGACCACGAGGCCTAGCCTGGTCCAAGTGGCAGGCCGTTGCCCAAGGTGGAACTGGACGGCAGCATCAAGGGCAAGACAGGCAGATTCACACAATAGATAATATCTTTCATCACATGTGATGACTTACCAGCGATCTGTTCCTCCCTCGCAATGATGATCGCTGTCCTGGCTGCCTCTCTGTACTGCTTGAGGGCCATGTACAGACGGAACAGGTACTTGGCATCCTTGGGCATGCCGTCTGTCTCCCCCATCAGGTAGTCAATCAGTTGATGGGTCAGCTGGTCATCCTTGGCACGGCCAACCTGGGAAAAGAATGGATGGAGGGGTTAGAATTCTCCTGACAAAGTTACCTTATGTCTAGATCTCGGTATATTACTGGTGCTTCGAGTGATATTCCCCATTCCAGTTGAGTTTGGGAGCATGTAAAATGAAACTTCATCATATTGGGATGTAATTTTGCTACATAAACGATTACATTTCTTTTAACACGATAAAACCTCTTTAGAAGGGCCACCTGCCAAGGGTAATTTCACTGTTATGTGGGACTTGTTGCCGAATTGAAATTTAAAAAAACCGGGCATTTCTTTTTGATTAATAAATATTCAAAAAGCTATGTTGGTGAAGGGCAACACCCGATGTTGAATCTGCACTTACCCAACGATAATTCCATCCTAAAAAATTAACCTAACCAAAAAACCCCAGTCAATTCAATGGTTGAAGAAGTCTTCTTTGAAATGCTCAAAAGTGCAGGCTCTGTGTTTTTGACCCTCTTTCAGTGCCTCCCAATAGGTATCAAATGAGCATTTTAAGCAAGTCTGCAGATGATGCAAGATGTCCTGGGCTTCACAGATGTGAACCAACAGTAGATGGAACTGGACGTCAACTCTTTGTCAAGTACGTGGTACTGATTATGTTACTGAATTAATATAAATCTTCATCAAGGGTTTGGGGAGTAATTTTCTCACGGAACTTCGTTCAACCTTGCTGAACCTCTGAATAAAGTTCTAAGACGAGAAGCAAGACAGCACACTTACTGTTTCAATGGCCATCTCGACAGCCTGGTTGTCATCGTTGGTGGTAGGGCATTTCAAGAAATGCTTGAGAGCCCGTCCATACTGCTGACACAGCAGGAAGAACTTGCCTGCCATCAGATGGTTCTTCTCATTCTCAAAGTACAACGCTATGCTCTGGTAGTCCTCCTGGGTGGCATCTTCGCCTGTGAGAAAATGGGAGACAATTTTTTTTTTCTAGTCTTTAATTCTTAGCAAAATATATTTTGCCAGTTAACCTGAACTTCAAGTTGGTGTCAAATACTGACCAATAATTCTTAACACTTGGACTATAGAATTAAAGTGCTTCAATCTGACGAAAATGAAACAACATGCAATTAACAGTGAGCTTGATATTAGTGTGATTGATTTTAGCTGCCTTGCGCCGAAATGGCAGCATCAAGCTTTATACTCCCCAGGGAGCTGAGATTGTATTTGTGTTTCAATGGGCCAATGATCAGAGGTAATAATAATGTACAGCACTTTGGTCTTAGTTAAAAGCATTGTATACTATAAGTACCTGTTATTATTATTCACACATGAGCCTGTCATCTCAAGCAGGAGCCATTTGGAGACGATATATTGAATTGCATGCAAGAAGTTTATCAGAGGTGAAAATTCTCTCAGAATCTGAAACAAGGAGGCCTCTACTCAGGCTGCATTGATTGAAAGGGGTTAAACCCAATTCTGTTACTGCCTTGAGTACTACATTATTTGGTTGCTCCTCTGTTCCACATTAGTTTTCTTTGAAGGTCATTGCAGCATGCTCACCCACCTTCATTGCTCTCTGTGATATAGAGTGGAGTATCATGAGGATGAGTGTAGCGTCAGTGATGAAGATGATGACAGTGAAGATGATGATGGTTATTAGTGGTGGTGTTAGACATGGTGCATGTGTACAAAAGAAAACAAATTCAAAAGAACCATGTGTCAAACAAAGAAATCAATTAAACTTTATGCCGGTGAAAAGACAAAAGTTCACAAGAAAGTCTGGTAGGTTCAGACTATGAGTTGATCTTGAATAAATGAAAGGAAATACACACTGCATATTGGATTCTACAAGAGATGTGACTGAGTTTGTGAAACGTTATTTGCAATAGCATGATATATAGATGCTCAAAAACAAATGGCACAGAAATAAGTTTTACATGACATAATTCTGTTAGCATTTTTGCAACCTTAGAAGAAAACCTGTAAATAAATTCCATCACACGCCATTCCAATACAAGTTGTTAAAGAGGTTGTGGAATGCTCGAAGACATTTCCGTCATTTTTTGGGTATATGTAGCCTAAGGTGTGATGAAATGAAAACGACTATTTTTTTCTGTCATAAAATGAGTACAAAGGGTACTTTTGAAAGCTATTTTTCAGGTCCTGTTTCGACCCGAACGTGCAATTTGTGTAAAAGTCGTCGTTGCGGGCAGCAAAGAAAACACAGTAAATCGTGACGTAATAAACAGGACTCGTTTATGCTACTCTGCATCGGGAGTCCTGTTTATTACGTCACGATTTACTGTGTTTTGTTTGCTACCCGCAACGACGACTTTTACACAAATTGCACGTTCGGGTCGAAACAGGCATGACAGGACTTGAAAAACAGCTCTCAAAAGTACCTTTTGTACTCAATTCATGACAGAAACAATAGTCGTTTTGATTTCATCACACCTTAGGCTACATATACCCGAAAAATGACGGAAATGTCTTCGAGCATTCCACAACCTCTTTAATGAAGTCAAAATGTGTCTGAGTAATGACCATATTAGTATTGCAAAACCAAAATGTTACAATCTCATTTAGGAGTGTTAGTTGTAATTTAGAAAAGCAAACTGAATGATCCAAGTTGATGAACGTACCGATGATATCGGCATATATCTCCATCTGGTTGTGTTGTTGAGCCAACTGGAAGGCCTCGTCATTGCACTTGGACATGACCAGGAACTGGATGGCTGAACCAAAGTCATTCAACTTCTGGAAAAACCTGAGGACAGCAAACAGCCGAAGTGTGAATATATAGAAGAGCAATGCCCAATGTTATTGCTCTGCTCGTTGTTTTTACTGGAAGTTTTCTGCACGTTGAGGGTTTTAAGCAAACTGCAAGAACCTAGAAACAAAGCCATGAAACAAATATCTTAGGGCAAGAAAGTTCTTTGGTGTCTCTTTGGCAGTGGGACAATTTTGTTGATTGTTCCACAGTCTCCTTACCTTGCCACCATCTTGGCTCCTTCTACAGAGCCTGTTTCTCGGACGATGCGCACTGCTTCCTCAGGGTTATGAAGGAAATCCAACTGAATTCTATCAAGAAAAAGAAAAGATCCTCAAATAAGTATGTTCAGTTATGGAGTACCGAAGTGTGACATCATTTAGAACCAGAAAATGTAGTGTAAACAAATGGAGTACGCGCGCGTGTTGTTTCACGGGCTGAATCACGCGCTTAATGTCTTTTACACACATTTTGTGCACATGACGTATTCCCCTCCTTACTCCATTGACCAGTAAGCAGTATTCTTCAAGTCTTTGGGAACCAAAAGTCCATGAAAAATCCAGGCTGTACTTGCAGTACGGGCAATTAATAAAAGTCCATCAGACGCACCCAGTTTTAACATGCTAGACCCTTCAGCTTTCATTTTTCTTGTTGGCTTTCTGGTCAATATCAATTATTAGTTCTAAAGAATTTACTACAATTTCGTTTCTAGCTTGCAACAAAACTCGTGCCCCAAGCAACAACATCAACACTCCCAAATAAGGAAATGAAGGAAATCTGAAGTGAAATAAATCCTCTAACTCAATCACAGAACCCATAAAGTTGTCATCTTTACCCCAAAATGCTCTGTGGTATTTCAGTGATACAAAGGAGAGTCTATTATTTCAGATACCTGATGACGTTGTCCCAGTCTTTCGCGTTCTCGTAGGCCAAGGCGGCTTCCTTGTGTCGTCCGTCTGCCTCCTTAGCCTTGGCATACTGGATGTGGATCTTGGGAGATGTAACGTTGGGCAGAAGCTCACCAACTTTGGCCCTAAAAAAAAGACACCAAGAAAATGTTATAGAAAAGGGACCTTCAGCTGATCGATTGATGATTGTAGCTTATCTGTCTTGTATGATGAAAAAATGAAACTCTGAGCAAGATCTTAGAGAAAAGTAAAGGCCAGTTCAACACTGTTTAAAACAGCTAGTAAGCACAGAGTTAGGGACAGATTTTATCCGTAATCACACAAACTTGCTAAGAGCCGAAAAACTTCGGTTTACAATCAACCCAGTTTATTGCTTTGCGAGAAACTCTCGTAAGCACTAATAATTTTCAGCAGAAATAATATAAGACCAAGGTCACAAACACATGTACCAAGTCCTGCTTGAAAACACGTTAAACAGATTTGAATTTTTTACAAAATAATTATGTAAACCAAACTTGATCCACTTGTTTGAGACCTACCAGTTTTTGCTGCGTATGTACACCGACGCTGCCTTATCGTAGTACTGTCCTTTCTCATACAGCAGCGCTGACTCCGAGTACTGCTTCATGCTCTCCAAGATGGCGGCACAGTCTCGCTTCAGGATGCGGCTAGGCATCTTGGTTGCCATGCCGACGCCACGTCGGATGTCACCGACACGGAGGGACATGCGGGCCACGCCTGCCGCACAGGCCTCATCATGTTCCCGTTGCTAAACAATATGGAAAAATTCAATCAGTGAAAAACTTAAACTGAACTCTTTTTAACCTACCTAGCATATTTTAAGAAAAGTGGATTATAAAATTTGGTGAAAAAAATACCTGTGTATGACCTCTACTTTCATACGACTCTCTAATATTTTCAACTTCATTCCGTTTTGGGGGGTCAGGAACACTCACAGTAGTTGAACAGCAAAAAAATATAACAAGACTTTATCATACATTCCTGCTTGTCCATGGAAAATAAATACATTTTGTAGATTTGTACAAGTACATGTACATAAATTGTGGATTCTGAGGAATGACCACTCGTTAGTAATACTATGACTTTCATTATTACCTCTTTGTCTCTCGTGACACCCTTTTCATAGTGCGCCAGGGCATTCCCATAATCACCACTGAAAAGTAAAGCACAAAAACGTTTTTATAAAAAAAATCATAACTATCATTTGTTTTTCACTAGCTTCATATTAAGTGCTCAGATGAAACAAATTCTCATATCATTTGCATACCCATTAAGTACTTTTGTATAAAAACAAACATGCCTTCCACTTTCATACTTTTTCAACCAGAAATATAGATATTCAACGAATTGCATATCCACCCCGCAACATTGCAAGAAGTTTTGACATTGGTCAGCTTACGTGAATTCCAGCTGTTGTGCATATTCCTTGGAGATGTATGGTATCTGGGCAGGTGACAGTGTCTTGGCCAACTTGAGTGCCTGGTCCCAGTTCAGAAGATCACGCCTCATCTATAAAAAATTGAAACAAATAAAAATATAAGATTTAGAAGGAAAAAAAAGACATTACTTAAAACCTGATTTTTAGGCGGGAGCTGAAAAGTGCTTGTTTCAAATATAAAGGGACATGAAAATAGCAAAGTCTTCATATATCATCTCAATGAAGGTCAGTCACTGCAAAAATGATAAGACATGAATCTGGGACTGAGAAACATTTCCAATTTTGTTAGGAAATACTTAGGAAATGACCCTCCATAGACTTTGTACACAACCGCTGAAGTGGCGTCAGGTTGCAACATTTTTTCCGTAAATTTTGTAAGATTTTTCAATGTCTAATCTTTGGTGAATGAAAAAGATCCGTGAATGCATCTTGCAAATCGTTTGGCAAAATTAGACATGCTGAAACTGGTGACATTCTAATTTTGCAAACCCCCTCCCCCCAAAAAAAATTCATTAAGCAAACCTCAAGAGCCGTAATAGGCCGACTAGATGCCAGGAAGAGATCCTGAGCCAGGTTGAAGTCACCCTGGAACATTGCCAGATGGCCCGACAGTAGATTGCGATCATCAATGCCCTGTGGTCAATGAACAAACAAAATCAAATACAAGTTAGTACTGTAAATGCAAGCCGGCTTGGGTAAAAAAAATCTACCGCCAGATGAGAAACAAAGATTATTTATACATAATTCATTGAAAATATGACAACTTGCTTCTTGGCCTAAGGACGTTTTTTCTGGCAACCATCATTGAAAGATAAGGATCAACTTATGCACAGAATAACTCTGGTACCTGTGTCAAAAGGTTTACTTTTTCTAGATGGGGAACAAAACATTTTTTTATTCTGAAAGAACAGCCATCTTTTTTTAGAATGTGGTTACAAAATACAACACACAGAAACAATGGTATGATTCTACCGAGGATTGCATTTTGTAAATGCTCACCATGATTTTCTGTATTGAAAGCACCATCCCTGCCTCTCCAATGCTGCGGTAGACCCGAACAGCTGTGGGTATAAAGTTGACAAAGAAAATAAACTATCAAACTTCAGTCAATTCATGGATTTATGAGTTCCAGTGTCAGATCTAACATAAAATGACAAGAGAAAAGCAGAGTGAACTAGGACCTACCAAACTCTAACTCCAAGTGAGTCACCGCTGCCTTGGCGAGTTCCCTCCACAAGTCCTTGTTGCTGGCCAACTGGCACAGCATCCAAGCCTCCTTGAACCGCTTCAGCTTGATGCTCTTGTCAATGGCTACCTTCAGCTGGGGGATAAGGTAAAAAAAAAAGTACTTGTAATTTCTAAATGATCATCGAACATTTCCATCATCTTAAAGTTGAAGGGCAGCCAGTTCAAATGGATGAGAAATCCTGTCTAGATACAAAAGTCATCCAAAGTGCATTGAAGTTCAAACCAATATTTTAATAATAACCCCTACTCCAATTTAATTACAACTAGGCTGTTGGACATCACATTACACCACAGCCATGCACCACCATATACCACAATATACCACAACTGTAGTACATCTTGGAGCCACACTTTATAACTTTTCTGTCGTAGTTAACTTGTAGCATACCGCGACATACGGATGATGTGCGCCATAATATACCACAACTTTTGATTGGTGGAACTCACATCACGTGACATTCATTATTACTGCCATTCACGCCGGGGCTCAAAAAGTACTATCCGACCATGGGGAATGGGAAATACTATTGAACAGTTAGGATCGATGCTTGTTCCATGACGCGTTATTTGTGTGCAAATGCATGCTGACGCGCGCGTTCAACGTTGCGCGTACGGCGTATTGTTCCAAAGAGCCAGCGCTACAGCGTTGGGTTCAAATACATTTCCACCAATTTTGTAATGAAATAAAAGTTCAAATATCAAATGACAAGGATCTATATGTCAGTTATATAAAACAGATATAGAGTGGCTTTAAATTGTGAAATGGGAGGAATATTATCGCTCGGTAAAAATCTGGACTTTTCCAGTTCACTCGGCTTCGCCTCGTGAAATGGAAAAGTCCAGATATTACCTTGCGATAATATTCCTCCCATTCCACGCTGAGCCACTCAATATTTGTATACTATCACGGATGCCCCCTTCAATGGCAAAAGCAACATGCTATCTATTGTTCAGATCATCCGTCAAGTGGCATAATGGTTTCTCAACAGGAGGGGGCCCTGTGCGTGTATATCAATCACGTGCCCAGATCCGTCTACAGAGAGCCATGCACACAACAGCTGTGATAAACCATACATGGTCTTCCAATATCGCTGGAATCCAGCATGGCTGGTAGCATGTGAAACTGGGTGGAGTGAGATATATAAACTTTCATAGTGTCAACAGCAATGGCCTTACATCGTCTGGCTGGAGATCGTGGGGCCTCTCCAGGAAGTTGTGCGAGTTGAGCTGTACCATCGCTGTCTTGCCACTCTGTGTCTGACACGTCATCTCTCCGTTGTACAACATCAAGGGCTGCTGGGCAAAGGGTAGCTTGGTGGTGCCAGTAAGGGTCACTGCAGGACCTGAACAAAGGGTAGTCAGATGATGACTTTGGGGAACAACCTGCTTTGTTTTTTTATTTAAGGCTGCCGATATTTTTTTTAATGACAGTCTCTCAAACAAGAGAAGGGGAGAAGTTTGCAGATACATCAGATGAAGTGCTAAACGCTGACTAAAGTAGTGTGGGTCAGAGAACCACAGTATGCTTTATAAGACATGCTAGGGGAGTGTGGCCTAGTGGTTAGGGTTCGTGACTCATGATCAGAGGGTCAGGGGTTCGAATTCAGCTGCTGGTCATATGTTGTGTCCTTGGGCAAGCCACTTATCCCCACTTGCCTCTCTCCACCCAAGAGTATAAATGTGTACAAGCATTAGCTGGGGAGTAACCTGCCATGGACTAGCATCCAGTCCAGGGGGAGTAGAAATATTCTCAGTCGTTTCATGCTACTGAAACCGGAGATAAACGCCAGCCTAATGGGCCACATTGGCTCGTGACAGACTTGACTTTACTTTTGTTTTAACTTAAAAGACATCAGAGCACATTCATCAAAATGTCAAGTGAATACCTCTGTTTTTATTTCACAGAACACTGTTCTGTTTGTACTTATAATGTGGGACTTGTAGCTTTCTGTGGTAAAGTCTTTGAATAACTGCTTAAAGCTGGCCAGAAAGCATGGTGCTTATGTCCCTGAGCAAGACACTCTACTGCAATTTCATCTCAACCAATAAGCACGACTTTAAGTGTGGATATAGTTAATGCCCCTGAACCTTCAAAAGCACATCAGGTAATTGATAAATTCAAACTATCATCATTTTACCTACCTCTCACAGTCTCTCTGGAATACAAGTAGGTGTAGAGCTTATCCTCATCGTAAGCTACAAAGACACCCTTGTCGTACGGCCAGTTCTCCCAGAGAATGCCCTTCACCGTGGGTGAGAAGTTGGGAATCTCCAATATCTGGTCGTTGACCTGCAAACAAAGGTGAAAAGGTCAAGTGGCCGACCAAAATAAAGTTTGTTTACATAATAGTTAAATAAATAAGGCTTGTGTTGTACATAAGATATGTGGCCTTGTGGTAAGGGTTCATAGCTCATGATCAGGTCAGAGGTGCAACTCCAGCTGTTGTGTCCTTGGGCAAGCCACTTCACTCTTACTTGCCTCTCTCCACCCAGGAGTACAAATGGGTACCGGCACTAGCTGGGTAGTAACCTGCAATGGATTGGTATCCCATCCAGGGAAATAGAAAATATTCCAAATCATTTCATATAAAAAAAACTTGAGATAAATGCTGGTCTGGTGAACCGTAATTGCTTGGGACAGACTTTACTCTTACTTACCGGATTGTACACAAAGCCGTCACTCTTGTCGTCAATGAAGATTAGTCTGGTGCCGCTGGGGTCAGGGAACACTCTGCGGATCCCCACCTCGTGTCTGAACTCGTTCACAAACTGCCAGTCCTCCAGGTAGAAGAACATCAGCTCTCCAGTCTGCGAGGAAAATTAAAAAAAAACTGAAAGTCACAAAAATTGGATGCAAGCTGTTAAGAGTCACTACTTGTCAAATCACACAGTGAACAACATGAGACTTATTCTGGGGCAGTAGTATACTGTGTTTTGCAAATGGCTCTAATGCAATGATCGGCAGATACATGAAGATTGAATGTACTGACAACTTTCTTGTGAGTACTCACTGATGTGCCGTAGATGAGGAAGTCGGATGTTAGTGCGTGGCACGTGATGCCTCCCTGACCATCCTCAGGAAACAATCTTGTCTCTCTCTCCTCATTATCACCTGAGCCTTCCGCTTCAATCTGATAAAAAAATTGAACTATTTAAGAGATTTATAATCAACAACACCCGACGACTATAAGTCAATTCAGCAAAGAATTGCTAAAATTATCATCCAATAACATCTTTAAGGGTCTATGAATGCACGATTTCAAAATCCAGAAAAGTAAAAATATTGCAACGTAAGTCCGGGTTACTTGAAGGGCCTTAGGAAAATAATTAAAACTAAGACTTGCTAATTTAATCCTGGTATCAAAACAAAAATTCAACATTAACAATTTAGTATTTACGAAATCTGCACAAGTCATAAATCTCATCAAGATTAAGAGCCACAAATTTTTATGGAAAAAAAAGAGTTTTCTTTTGACTGTAAAATTTGATACACAAAGGGTGTTCACTAGGGTAGACTGCAAAATTAAACAAACGGTAACGTGAGGTTTAACCCTGAGGTACCCTGTAAAAACTCAGCAGAACCTCACAAAACCTCAAGGTAAATCTCAAATTAACGCCTACTTAATAATTATCGCATTCTCCCCTTACTTACCAGGTGCAATTGAACGCTGTTCTCAAAGTAGACAGCCGCATAGTCGGCATTGAGGCACATGTTGATGATCGTGCCTAGATACTCTCTGTCTTTCAACTTCTCTGGCCCTGTCAAGAGAATACAAATCATGGTTAGTGTCTAAAACGTCTTCAAAGAAACCAAATTTTCATGCATACAGTTTGGTGATTATCAGTGATGATGCAAAATTTTCTCCAAAGGAAATGGATGAAATAAGAAGTACAAGTCTTGCTCCCTCAAATAACATTGACAATTAAAACAAAAAATAAATAACATTATAATTTCAGTCATAAAAAAATTAGCTTCTTTGGAAAACAAGGCAGTAACAATGAGACTTTTTTTTGAACAAGGTGAAAAACATTTCAAATTTAACAGAGAGATAAACTGCATATTAAAGAAAGTGTTATAAAGAAAGTGTTAATATTAACACTAATTTTACCACCCGTGATTTCCCTGCTGAAAGGTTTTCACAAAATCTAACTGACTACACAATAGTACAGTACCCTGTATTAAATGTCCTTCTAAGCAGTTTGTGGGCAAAATGAACATCATCACCTCCCACAAGATGTTGGCCGTGCTTGGTCCTTCCTAATTGTCTACAGTACAATTTGTCCTAACCCTGGACACAGGCCACTGCTTTATAGCTAACTCTTCATCAGGTATTAATAGCATTATCCTTGATGGATCTCTCACACTGAGAATTTTGTCAGGGGCAGTACAGGCATGAAAGCACTGGAAACCACTAATTCTTTTATTCACTGGCTGATTGTTCAGCATGTCTTGAAATCTTTCAACTCCCCCCTCCCCCCCCAAAAAAAAATGGCATTAGTTGTAGCTGCATACCCCCAATATACTTCAAATAAATTTCCTTAAAAGAAACGTAAGTGTGTGAACCCTAACAGGTAAAAACATAAAATAAGGCACTTCAGTATGCCAAATGCGCATGAACACATCAAGATTTGACAAATTTTTTTTTTTTCCCCCCACTTTTAAATTCATATGTAAATGTACTTATTTTTGACGTTTTATTACTGTGTGAAATGTTTGTCCTGGCGTCTATTTTATCTTTCTTGTTTTTTTGTTTGGTCATAGTTAGAATATATCATGTTAATTTTTCTTTTCTTTTCTTCTTATGCATTAAATTTCAAATATTATCCTTTTCGTTTTACAGTTAACATGATTATTTTAGTTTTATCTTTAATTAACTGATTACTTTTTAAGATTTTATCCTATTTTATACGGGAAGTGGTTCAAGATGGACTGTACAGTCTTTCCACAACCTGTGACTTTGTCAAAAAATTATAATAATAATAAAAATAAACTATTCGCCATATGCATGCAAAATCATAAAAGGTATCAGCAAAATAAAGAAATTGTCTTGTTCTGAAGTATGCACAACATTTTTAAAAATGTCAGATTGACAGCAAAGCGTTTTTAGGTGTTTTGTATGCCCCAACTTTGTGCAAACGAAACTTGCCTTCATCTCTTTGATGGCATGAAAATTGCAAAATCCAGATTCGTCCTTACACATGTTACAGTTGCATGCATTTATCTGCCAAGTTGATCATGGAGTAAAAGATCGTCATATCTTGATACGCGTATGCGCATTTGCAATACCGATTTTGGCTTATTCAAAGTGCATGATGAAATTATTGCATTAATATCATCACAATTTGACGGCCAATTACTAGTCACATCATGGCAGCTGCACTCTTTGATGCAATTTACTACTTAAGTAGATTCTAGAAGGACACCACTTGGGATCCAATCATTTTCTGCACTACTGCAACCACCTGTGATTTCACCTTGTGCGTACCACTGACAAACATCTATAATTGTCCTTCTGTCATGGCTATATTTGTACGTCTTTTATTCTCAAGAAGAGAAACAGACCAAAAAAACCAAGAATACATCAAAAGATATGGGAGTTGCCTAGCTACAACCTAAGAATAAAAAAAAAAATATCCCTTAATTACGTCTTTAGGGTTTGAAGCTAGAAGTATAAAACATGCTCGGTATGACCAGAATGCTCTTCGGTTCATTAATGGTCAAAGCAAATGAAAGATTACATTCTATGCAGATGAGTTGTACCATAAGGCTTTTTATAGCTCCATGGACTAACACATACACATAGGATTCATGGTTGTAATGTAAAGGAGTAATAACTGAGGTTGCCTGTTATGCACAAATATTCATTAAAGCTTGCAGCTTGGGATGAAATCAGACAACAGCTCTACTTTATGAGGCTATTTATTGTATTGAAATACACTTTAAACAAACTCACATTTTCTAAAATTACTGTATCAAATAATTCAAACAAAAATAGATAATTCAAACAAAAGGATGCCTTTGTAAAAACAATTTATGAGTTATGCAAATAACAGTAAAAAGAAGAACACTTTAAAACTGAGTTTGTATCTCGTAAAATATGCAAAACAAAAAAACAAGGATTACTTGTGTGAATATTTAAATTAATCTGGCAAATTTGACAACAGAAAATCAACAGCTGTTAAGAACATGGTTATTACATTGATTTTGAAAACTCAACTGAAATTATTTTGTGACTTACAGTCTTCCTCTGATTCCTCTGGTGGCTCAGTTATTGTTAACTCTGGTTCTATGTATATAGGATATTTACTAAGGTTATTTTTTTTGTGGGGTTTCTTGGTTTGGGTCATGTGGCGTCAAGGTGAATTGGGAAGGATTGGGATGTGTAATGATGTACATGTATTGATTTTCTACTCTCTTGAAATTCAATAGGCCTTGTGCATTAAGGCGGAAGTAGAGAGCAGTGGTTTGGTATTGCTTGGTTAGGCATGATCGGATTTGTGCAGTAACAAATGACATCTTCTGAGGTACCTGCAATGCACAAGGTGTATTCCTTATATTTGCTCAGCATTTTCCCTTCTATTCAGTTGAGGTTTTGCTGGCTCCTCCGGCAAACTTATCTCAAGATTTTTTTGTGTGCATTTGTTCAGGATTCCTAGCATAGAGCGAACAAGTGTACGGCAAAGCTGATTAAACACGACTTGCTTTGAAGTCCACGCTTCTACTTAAACATGTGCATTGGATATGAGTAAAATGCAAGTACAATATGATATTGTACAGTTTAATTTCGCAAGGTACTATTAAACAAACACCAAACTGCTGGCTATGCACGTTGTGTCAACATCGGCATGCGCTACACAATAGAGAACATTTGTAACTGCACTTTTCACAGTGTACGGGCCTGAATGCATTTCCTTGGCAAAAAGGGGAAAGTCCTGTTTGTTTAAATTTCCATGAGGCAAAAGCATAGGTCATATAAATGCCTGCCACACCATAGTGACCATAGGGTCTAGCCATCAAGCAATTCATCACCAGAGACAAATCCTTATTATGTTTATTTTATTCTTACCAGGGTATTTTACTCTCTGAAATAACAATTTTTAAAAAATACCTTGTATATAAATTTCTATATCCAAAGCTCAATTCTTGATGTTTTTTTCAAACTTCATTATCTTATATATCTACAGTGTAAGTCATCCCATTGTTTCCATCAAAATATCCAGGGTTTCTCTATTCAATTGTTTTGGCGGGGTTTTTTTTCAAGTTTATTTTTTAAATATACAAAACAATTAGCATTCAGCAACTAGAACACCTCATATTGGACATAGAGGTGTAATGTGATATATTACAAAGATACATTACCTTTTTCTCCAAGCAGGTAGAACCAGGCCCTGTTGTTCATCCCCACTGCTAAATGGTAGGGTCCGAGGGCGACAAAGTTGGGCTCAACTTCAATGTTGATAGGTATGGACGGTTCCTGTTGAGAAGAATAATTTATAAGATTGCAACTTATCTGATTTCTAGGAAAGATTCTTGCTGTTTAGACAAAATGGAAATATGTAAAATTAGAATCTACTGCTTCAAAAAAAATATGGTTTCTGCAAACTTTGAGCAAAATGAATGAAAAATGGCACAATTGCACAATGAAGAGATACATGTATAAAGATAAGACCTCTATGTAGTACCAAGTGGCACGTTCAAAGCTGAAGCTGTGAAGACAAATGCAGCGTAATGTCAAAACAATCGAGAGCACTGCGTGAAAATAAAACAACAATGTTGAGCTGGATTTCTGTTGGTATGGATTTCTGTTGGCATTGATGTTGCAATGAATTTGAAATGAACAATGCTTATTTCAAACAACAGATCGAATGTGTCAATGATCCAATTTTAAATTGGCGGTTTATCTTTCTATTTTTAAAAGATTTGAGATTTGTACATTTAAGCAACAGAAACCAAGAGAATTTTACAGAAGAAACATCAAACTTTACATCAATATTCAAAGAGCTATTTTGGAGAGATCTACAAGTGTGTGAAGTTTGTACATGTAAGTGTATGTCTTGAATTACAACAATAAATTACCAGTAATATGTTTAGGTTCAATGCTTATAAAAAAACTGCTTTGAAAACATGCAAAGATATGCACAAAGTAGCAAAGACACAGCGCAATACACTTTCAGCAAAATGTTGAGAATGGTGAACACTTGAACTACCGCACAACTGAATGACCGAAATAGAGATCTAACGGAATAGAAATAGACTTTGTCAACTACAGATGACATTTTGTTGAAAGTTGGAAGATGGAAGACATGAAGAAAATTTAAAAAGAACACGAAACTTGCCTTCCGGCGACCGACTCGTCGCTATATTTTTCAAATTTCATGCGAAACATGAAAATAAGGTTAATTCACATAATAAATTATTTGTTTATCATAATGACTGTTTGTTTTTCATCTTGCCCCCCCAAAAAACAAAAAAAACCACACAATCTGAACTTTACAAAAAGATCGTGTGGGATCAAGAAATGTTTAAAAAAAAACGTTTTAATTACTAATCCAGTGACTAAATTAAAGAAAACAAAACAGCGTGGAATTTTTTTTTGACTGTTTATGAAATGTTCAGTTTTACAATGAAAACCAACTTCACTCCTAAGTGTTCTCAGCACAGGCACCTATAAATCTGACCCCCAAAAAACGAACAGTGACAAGTTAGTATCATGAATCATCACTGTTTTCTCAAACGAAGTGGCTATCGTTACGGCAGCCGTTGTTTAGCGCCCTCTACGATACTTTTTTGATACGCACGCAGGTATATAATTATTTGTTTCCCCACGTTTTAGCGAGCAGTGCGACAGCTCAGTCGATAGAGGGTAGGATTTTGCACCGCGAGGTTGCGGGTTCGCGTCTCAGTTTTGCACTCGGATTTTTTTCCTTTTCTAACATGAGGCTTTGGAGGATTTTTTTTTTAAAGGGAAATAAAGTCCGAATTTCATAACGTTCAAATTCACTTTTTTCCTTCTAATTTTATATTTTCTTCTCATGTTTTTATAAAAGTTGCAGTCTACCGTAACGATAGAAAATGGGAAATGCGTTACGGCTGCCGTAACGATAGCCACTGCGTTTCTCAAAAGGTGAGACAGTATGGAGAACATGTGGACTAATACTGAAAGGAAAGATTAACGTATGTATTTCAGTGTTTATTACTAGATGTTTTCAGGGGAAAAAATATGAAGCAAATGGGTGCTTTTTAGTCTATTATTCAGCCCGATGATCCTACTTTTGCTTGGCTTTCATAGATTCACTAATTTAGAACCTTATGATTTGAATCATTAGCTAATGCATGAGGCAACAGACTGGTGCTTTATTTCCTGCAGCAGGTTTTAAAGATGTTTTCTCAGCAATTTGCTGCAAAAATCTTTTTACATGAACAGCTCACCGGTGACAGAGTTGGTGGGAACAGCTGTAATTACACAATGTGGATGGCTATCTAACACTTGAACACACCCTTTTGATGGACATATCCTTTGACTGAAAGAGTAAAAGTGTTTATTTGTTTTCTTTTAAACATGACAAAACAATCAGAAATACCTGTTCGACTTGGTTCACCACGGTGACCTCCAGCAGAGAGGTCAGGAAGGCCAGTCTGGTGCCCTGGGAATCACCCAGGACAGGCAGCTTGGTAAGGTAGACGTAGAGATAGCCTCGGGACGAGCTGACCGCCATGAGTTGACCATCATCTGTCCAGCCCACCTGACCCAGGCCTTTGGTCTCCTCATCCAGGGTCACGATGGAGTAGACCTCCTTCAGGTCGGAGAGGTCGTGGATCTTGACGCTACAGGATGAAAATTAAGACGTTCAGGAAGAGCAAAGATTGACCAAGTTGAATGGCATTATGAAGTATGATTGTGAATTGGTATGTTATTCCAACTAGCACAGGACCTTGTTACTTGTTCAATTGCAGCTGTTAGCCGCATGTTATGATCTTAGATAAATGTTAAAGATATCAGTTACTTACAATTATAAGCCCGACGTTGATTTGACTACCAAAATTATAAAACTGTGATAATAAGTTTAAAATTATACCAATTATTTAAACATGAGCCACTCATCAGTAAGATCTAATTGAAAGATCCACTATTAGAATTAGGATTAGAATACATTAGTAGGTTTTCTATTAAATCTCACAAAACCTTACATCAACATTACGTAATCTCCACAGGTCACCAAGACATGATGCAATGCAGGAAAATACGGTTACTGAAGTCTTAATTTTGCACCACTCTTACAGTAGGTTCACTTTTACATAGCCTCTCTTCTTTTTAAAAGTATCAAAATTTTCTACACAATGATAAAACTAAATGAAGGTTGATGATACCTGTTATCTCCACAGGAGGCCGCCTTGTTGAGAGCCAGGGATATAGCGATGGACGACAGGTGGTCCTTGTGGTTGCGCGCTTGAAACAACTCCTGGCCAATCTCCTTGAGATGGGTGGAGATGACGATGAAGTAACCATTGGAGAAACCCAGCATGATGTAGCCATCACCGTACCTGCACAGAAGAAAAATGGGTGATAAAAGCTGAATTCATTCCAATCAAATGGTTGAGTGGATATAAATTTCCAGTATATACAAGTTGCAAATATTTTTTGCAAGAATAAAAGTCTACTAAGACTAGGTCAAGTAATGGCTAGTGTTATCCCTGGCCAGAATGGTGGATGCTCAAATTAAATTTTGAAAGATAAAACATTTTCAAAATTCTTAGACATTGAATGTCCTCTTTGTTCAATTCAGAAAATTGGAAAAAGTTGGTTGCAGTAGTATTGAAACACAACATCAAATCGCTGTACCATTTGTAGGCAACAATGGCTCCGTATCTCTGCTGAAATGCGAGCTCTATCGGATTGTCTGGATCATCGATGTTCAACAGGAACAGCGTCTTCTTGCCGACACTCGCACTTATCTGCAAAGGGAACAATCAGAAGGAAGTTAGGTAAATTGTTTCATGATACTCTAAATTTAGCCAAGAGGATGAAAAATTGAGAGTGAAAAGAACAGTCTAGTGTGAGAGAGAGGACAGGTTTTCCATTGAATACTCACCGTGGTTTCTCCTTGCGAAGTTCTTTCATCTGTCTTCATTTCTGAGAACTGCAGGTCGGTTGGGTCCATTCTCACAATAGTCTATAAAAAAATTAAAAAGATAAAATTTCACCAAGGGACACCCAAGTCAGTTACAGGAATGTTACATCCTGTTTGCACCTATATGAGCTGGTAAAAAAAAGCAGCGTGTGCTCCCATTTGTGGACCAGGGGTGTTATCTAATACCGCACTTATAGTAAATAAAATGCTGTACGACAATGTATAAGAGATCCAAGTAGACAGTGGAAAGCTCAGTCAACTCGGGTACAAATTGGTGTGAATTTGACCCATAACAGATCAGGTTATGAAATTGTCTGGTAAGTAATTTCTGTCATTTTTAAAAATCTTTGAGTCTTACCTGTTTGAGCGTGTCCCCCTCTGCGTTGCTGACTGTGATGTTCTTGTCTTCACTGCCCAAGGCCAGCAGGTTCTGAGAGCTCCAGGCACCGCACAAGATCTTCTTGGTGTGCTTGCCAAGTATCGGCACTTTCCTGAGAAAGAATACCACAATTTACTGATGTGGTCTGTAGTAAATATATTTCCACCACAATGATCCACAACCACGTAAGAAGTATTATCCAACCTAGTTGTAATTTTTAAATGGCCCGGACTTCCATTTTATATTATTTAGAGACTGGATTTGTGAAATGCGGAAGCTCCTGTTCAATACTTCTTTTGAGGACATGGAGCATTCTCAGTGGGAATAAGCAGCATTCCAAACTGGGATGAGCTGTTGCCAACATCTGTTGTATCTTCCCATTCGAAACAGATGGTTTCCCAATTCCAAGCATTCTCAATGTGCTTTTTTTTTTAAATATTTGCATCATCTGCTGCTTCAGCTTCCGTAAATTTTAGGCTCCTGACTTAACTTCTCTATATCTTCCGCTTCAGAAACATCAAATTCATCAACGTTTACATTATTTTTTATTCAAGGCGGACATTAAAGGCTTCTTAATGGTTCTCAAGACAGTGATGTAACCAAAACAAAAGTGAGGTTTTGGAACTCTCTTAGTTTTGTTTTGAGACTTCCCTTACCTTGATGTCTGGTGGTTGTATATCAGCAGGTTTCCCTTGCTGGTCCCGATGGCCAGCTGGGGGCCCACCTTGGACCACAGCAAGAAGCACAAGGAGTCCTTGAAGCCGCTGTCGACCTGGCCAGTCCGGTGGGTGTTAGCATCCCACAGGAACACCACGCTGCTACGGTCACAGATCATGGCCAGCGTGTCGCCGTCCTTGTCCCAACCGAGGCCAGTGCACGTCCTGCAACAGTGAAACGTTTGAATGATTTGTGACAAACCGGAATTTTGATTTTGTCTTCAAAGTGTAACGCTGGAATACTAGGCTGATGTCTACCCAACCATGCCGGCAAGACACTTGAGTGAAGATCACATTCTTGCTTTTTGCGTCATTAGCATAATATATGCAGGGAGCACTGTGATTGGTTCATCAAAAATTTGAGAGCAGTCTGGCAAGTCCTTGCATTCCTTTCCCATGTAGCAAGTTCGTGTTTGAGAGAAAGGGCAACGTTTTTGTTCTTTGGGGGACATGAGACAAAATCAAGCCAATGTTTTTGCAGCCACTACATGTAGCTTTGTAAATAAGAAGTACAAGGGGAAGTTTAGCTGAAAGCAGACAATAAGTTCCGTTCCGTACAAGCCTGTGTCTACAGGCTATGGTCAAAGGAAGCTTCTTTCAATTAGGGGTCAGTAAGACCCTCTTACTTCTTAGTTCTGGAAGTACTCACCCAGGCAGGCTGATTTCATCTTTGAGTTCTCCGTGCCTGTCATACAGATTTACTGAGTTGTTGAGACCAGTTGTGGCCAGGTAGTTGCCAAGCGTTGTCTGCCATGCAAACTGTATCTGCCCTGAGCCATGGGTCTTCTCTGAAAGGGTAAAAACCCGCTGCAATGACATGAAAGAAAGTGTTTCAAGCAGCAAGGTCCTGTTTTCCATCTGTCTGACGCAAACTCAGCAATTTCTTCATGCAATGTACTAGAGACGTGGGCAGTTTGCACTTTGAAAGTTTTTAAATTGCTTACATTTGCATGTCGATAAAAATCATGGAGAACTATTAAAGTTAGGCCCTATTTCCAATTTGAAATTTATATTAATTAAAGTTTCTTCTTCTTTTTTACATATTTTGTAAATTCATTTTAAATTTTATTCAGAAAAGAACTTGCAATTGTTGCAGTTCACTCGTATCGACCCTTTTTCTAAAATAAAAAAGGACTGTAAGGGAGGGGTTGCAATGAACATCAAAATGGAAAGAACGTTGCATCTCGAAGCCACATTTTTTATCATATGCCCTAATAATTAGGGCCTATTTCAATGAAGGTCATTGACAATGACATTGCAAAATGTTGAAAAGACATGAATATGGGACTGACAAAGTGACATGACTGAGAAACATTTCGAATTTTGTTAGAAAATACTTTGAAAATGCACTCGACTCTTGATAGACTTTGTACACAACAAAGACACTTCATTCTCTCCATCAAAATGTTTACTTGTTACATTCAGATAATAACAGTATAACACTATATCTACAACAATGCCAGGGATTCATCCGTAACGAAGGTGTCGTGTCGGAAATACATGCCTAACCGCTGCATAAATTCTTTGCATATGACATTCCACCGTTGTTTACCGTTGCTAGCGAGCAACGTCGGGCGGCTAAATTTTTCGGAAAAACATTGCCAGTTCAAAAGACATTCATGTTCCTGCGCAAGAAAAGGTATCTGGTGAACTGAAAAATCTTTTTACAAAAATCCTACCTTCATAGTGGAATTTTAAACGGTTATTTTATAAGTAAATACGGGTCATGTCTTCGACATCAGTCTTCACAAATTCAGCTCGCTGCAAGTATTTACTCCCATCATGCATTGCACCAATCTCAATTAACGTGGGCGGGACTTACCCGAGGGGGGCTGCTCGCTTGGCCGCACCGCCGGGGCGGGGGGAGGGGGGGGGGGGGCAGGGGTGAGGAGGGGTGAGGAAAATTGTCACTCAGGGGTGTCGCTAGAACATTTTCAGTGTGGGGGGTGTCGGACCAAATTTGCCGACAAGTTTGCGTACAAAACACTCGACACTGCCAAAAAAGGGTCCTCAAATTTTACAAACTTGCCGACAGAAAATATTATGGGAGGTGTGAAAGACAAAATTTGCCGACAAACTTGCAGCGAAAATTGTTAAAAAGGTCCTCAGATTTCAGAATTGCCGACAGTAGGCCTAATATAATATACAAAAGGCCCTCAATTTTACAAGTTTGCCGACAACAATTATGGATTTGCCGACAGATATTTTGAATGGGGGTGTCACACCCCCCTCTAGCGACAGCCCTGTTGTCACTTTCCATAAAAAAAACCAATATCCTCATTTTCAATATAAATTTATGGTTTATACAGAAACGAAATCCACGTCCAATTGGAATACACTACACAAATCTGTTGCGGTTTTCTAATTCTATTGTGTTCAGTAATTAGCACGTGAACTTGCTCTCGGGTGCATCCCAGTAAAAAAAAGAAATCCCATAGACATCAGTGTTAAATCCCCATACTTCAAAATTCTTTTAAAAATACTCAGAACTCTCACAGGTGTTCAGGCTGCACAGAAATGATGATCAACACGCCATCTTTTTTTTTCAATTTTGGTGGGTTGACCATTGACTTTTTGGAGAAATTCTAACCCACAGAAGACCACCCCTAAAACGAACGGTGGAAAAGTAGCCATATTGAAAAAGGATCCCTCCACAACATGGCTAAAAAAACGCCACTTTCGGACCCAATTGCACCCAAAAATGCTCAGAATTTGAAGCCCCAATTCCAGGCCAGAGGTGCAGTGCCATGCCTTCAATTCCCCAATTCCGAGCCTCTCAAACCTCCCTAATATAGAGAAATTTGAGTGTACATGTATAACTTTTATTCATGAGCTCGGCGGACGATTTTTTGGCCTATTTACTTGGGTGTACCCAAGTACCCCTCGGGGCGGGAGGAGGGGGAGCAAAGTACAAAATGTGTAATGATCTGTCACAATGCAGAGAACAATGTGTTCGACGTTCCCTTTCAATTTGTGTTTGTTATTATTTGTTCCAATTTTACTGGATTTTGTTAACGAGGGAATATTGTGGATGCGTTCGTGTACACCCAAACGACAATAATTATGACATAAATTTAAAAAATATATTAAGCGTGAGGACACTCTGTTATGTGCTGCATAATTTTCAATCAATTTTTATTTTCATCCGCGGTTGTATCTTCTTCCACGGGTGCGATAAACCGTGAAATCACCTCCCAGTGCCAGGATTGTGATCATGATTGTTTCCGTATAGGATATTATTGTTGAGAGCAATTTTCTACTCCATCGTGTTCGCCTCAATGGAGGGGTAATTTATGCCAGCAGCTAGATTGTCTACAATTTTGAGTTCTGGGCAAATGCAAGTTGAATTTCTGAGCTGATACATTGGCAACATTAACCCCGTATATAGTCCAGACAAGATTTCTATATCACCCGCTAAGCGTTATCCGTCCTAATCATAAATTGTTTTTTTTTTCTTCTTAAATCGACATGGTAAAATGAAAACAGAATGAATTTCTTGTGATTGCATAAATTTCTCATTTGCTCCAGGGCACATGCCAAGATCAAAATAGAATAATTATTATTACGGCTTCTTGCAGGGTTGTCTATTGTGTCTCGTCTAAAAACGGGGGGAAATCCCTGAACAATTCACATAATAAATGGGGAAGTAGAGGTTTATACAAAATGACGCAAGCATATAGAGATGATTCCAATTATGAGGAATTCCCTGCGTGCATTGATTTTTGTTAATGATGTGTTCAGTAATACAATCGAATGCCTCATTAGGCCATAGGCTACACACAAAAATCCTCCCCTTGAAATGAACTGCTTTATTTGTGGTATTCATCAGGTTGTCGCGTTTGCCACTTGAAGTTGAACATTTGTTTTGTCGTTGCGTATAATAAACGTCTCCTTTAAATTTTTGCTTTTCGTAACCCACATATCCAAAGTGGCCGAGTTCCTGTGATGGGTTTAGCTCCGGGGCAGTCACCGGAACCTGGTCTAAGGATGCATGCATGCGCACCCCGCGTCTGGGAGCGGCAAGCAACGGAAAGGCTCAAGAGATTTGCCGAGAGATTGGGTGACGGAAGAGGCTCGGTGAAAGATGCGGCGTGTCCGGTGAACATGCATAGAGTGTGTTGCAAAGATTGCGGCCGCGTATGGAGATAATAATCAGGTTAGCCGTTCCGCCAGGTGATGAAAAATATATCATTAGCAAACATAATCCAATCAACTTGGAAAGCCAGCAGAACAAAGGAGAGGGGTCTAGTTTTAAAGGAAAACTCGATTGGAATAATAATGACCTGGGTATATCAATTCCGTATTCTATACTTCCCTATTCTGTGCGATTCTACACTCAATATAGTAAGCATGCTTAATAATGGACCGTTTGGCGTGCGCAATTTGATGTCGCAGAAATCCAATTATTCATCAATTGGAACCGCACACTGGCGATTGCATATTCTAGACACGTCTTGCCTTCAGCATTTTAGTGAGTTCTGTATTTTTCCAGTTTTGTAGTTCAAAACCAGTATATGTATTTCCAGAAATAAAACTGCTGGTTTGACAGAAAGGCATATTGAACGGGCCTTTATAGGTCCCGTTCTATAATCTATTTAGGTCGGCTGGGAGGGGAAAATTAGTGCTTTGTGCCCCATTTATTAAAATACCCAGCGTCTAATAGGTGCCATATTGAAAGATATCTGCTATATTTAGCTGTGATATTTACATTAGATGTTCAATGGAGACTCAGGAACGTAGGCCTATACATACATGGTGGCAGTGTATGCTTATTCCTCCCTGTATGTGTTAGGTACTGCACAAGTTCGTCATGAATGGTTTATTGTCTTATGATGTCCGGTCCATCTTTAGAGAAACAAACCCCAATAATCTGAGAATCGTATTCTCGTCATATTTTTATTCAGCAACAACATTCCCTAGAACTTCTCACCTCTATTTTAGGAGCCTCCGAGGGAATATGTCTAATTCAGTACCACATTAATATTAAATGTAATGCCCAGGTCATTTTTATCCTTTGGCCATTCACACAGCTATAATTATGTGTCCTTTTGAGTGGCAGTGATTTTAATATTTTGGAATACAGTATTGCGAGAAGACACGTGTAACACTGGCAAAATTAATGCTAGACTCTGGAGCAAGGTAAAATTCATAATTCACTCACGGATGGCACTCATCTCTTGAATCTTAGATTGAGGCCGGAAATGCTATTGTGTACAAACATTATCCAGGCATTAACTGACACTTAATTTACCTTGACTGTTGTAACCATGGCGCCATCGGCCTTCGTGAATCGCGGATCAACCCTTGTTGGTAGCGAGATGCCACAGCTTCGGACGGCCCGTAGTCTCTCCTCCCATCCCCGCCGCTCTCCCACTGTAACCGGTGCTGTGGCAGAGGAGGAGACTTTGGACAGAGAAGGCTTAGAGACGCTCTTCTTGTCAGAATTGGAGACAGGTTTTGAGGTTGATGGTGGTGTTCTTGTCTTCTTGTCGGAGCTGGAGACAGACTTCGAGGTTGATGCTGGTCTACCTGAGGATGAAGTCTTTGTGCTTCTGAATCTGAAAAGGGAGCCGGCGGCTCCGTTGCTCTGTTTCCCTGCCATGATTTATTTTGTCTAAGACGTATTAGTGTCGGACCATAACTAGGTCAAAGTTCAAATCATTTAGCCTCATCTATAGCACAGCAGCATTTCAAATTTCAAGCACACCATCCGCAACATTTTACTTACATCAGCTGCACGCCATCTCATCAGTGTGTATATTAACTCCACAGCCCACAGGTTCGGATAGTGCACGGGTCAACACGCCAACTGAAAGTCACCATCAATTCTCGTATCCGTCCACGGGTCTCTTTAAGATTCCGATGTCACCACGTCATCATCACCGGTAGCTCTGCAAATTTTATCTTTGGATACTCGGCGGAGGAGGATGCGGTGGTATTCCACGGTGGAAGCGCCGTGTGCGGTTCACTGAGAGATGTTATGCATTTTTCCTCACACACGAATATAAGTAAACAGTCACTACCCTCAGATGCAGTGTACTGCGGATCATTTGATTATATACTCAGCTGAGACCTTAGCCCGTTATTCACAGCATGCAATGGTACACTAGGGGAAAACAGCCGTCTTAATGCATCATTTAGTGCAGTTTTCTCTCGGAGGGTGTCGGGGCAGTGTAGTTGCTGTCTCGAACGGAACAGTGATGCAGTCTCATTAATGTTAGCGCGCGCTGATGTGTCGGCTATCGAGTTTACGTTATTAAAATACATAGGTATACGGCATGGCAATGATCACCAAGTTCCCTGAGCTGAGGACCATAATCCTAACTGTGGTGGAGTTGACCGCGTACATCCCATATATACGGTCTTGACGACGATTGCGATTGCTTGCTGACGTCATCGTGCCAATTAAGAGCTAGACTAAAATTACTCTCTGAACACCTGCGGACAAGACTGCATTCAATTCAAGGCACGAATTTCAACACTTTTTAACACTTATCCTGGCTTTTAAATGCAATCGGATTTTAGATATTAAACAAAATCGAAATCTGTTTACTGTTAAAAATTAATCTTATAAAGAGAGAAGTACTATTAGAAACTTGGACAGCTGTTTTTATTTACTAAAAGTTTCACTGATTTGTAAATAGCCGCGTTATCTGGTTACATGACATACGGTAATAATATTAATGAAAATTTATAAAGCGCCGGTATCCGCCGCTAGTGGCGCTCATGGCGCTGCACTGCCTAACAACCAAAAAACAATAAGAATAAAGATCGAAGCACCAGTGGTTGACTCGACCCTCCACCCGTCAAGATGCAAGGTCATGCTAAAAAAGACGGCATCGTCAAGCAGCAAGCAGAAACAAATTCAACCAAATGCTTCCCTGTGCAGGTAGGATTTTAAACTGTTCTTGAATGTGCCAAGTGAATGTGCCATGACTGTCATGTTGGAGTTTACTGATAGATGTCATCACGGTAATTTTATAGTAAAGGGCATTTTTCAGACCGTTAATTTTTTTTCATGACTTCTATAGGATAAGTATGAGTCCATCAAGGATGATAACGCAGCATCTGACATTCCAGTGTCTGTAAGGTTTTCGACATCAGCGTATTTTCATGACTTGCAAAGCAAACCAAGATGTCTATATTTCGCATTTGCGTTTATATTTAATCAGCTTCATCACTTTTCCTTTAAAAAAAAAAAGCGATTCGCTCTCATTCTGGCTCATCATGTAACAATTGTTTTCTAACAAAAGAGGGCGCTACATTGAGGAAGTAATATCTGCAGTGATATTAGCACACACATGACACATCTAGTCCCGTGCTCACGATGGATCGGACGGTAGTGTCGTGGAACGTCATCTTAATTTTCTTCATTTTGGTGGTAGTTTCGAGCACTTTTGTCAGTGGGCTTTCACCGGAAGAGGAACTGTTTCACAGCTTCATCATCAAATATGGGAAAACATATAGAAATGGGTCGACAGAATATCAAAAACGTTTCAGAAATTTTAAGGTAATTGACCAATGACCAATGTTGACCATCTGACCATGGAGGAATAAGAACACATATTCCTCCATGATCTGACCATGTTGAAAGTGTCATCATCGATCATGGCGTCAGTCATTTAAAATCAGGAAATAACTTGTTACAAATACAATAATATGTTAGTTTTTTTCAAATAAAATCATTTGAAATGCCTAGGGCCTACATTGATATTCTAAGGTGCGATTTTGTAAATATTAGGGGGGGGGGGTATTTTTCGGAAAGATTCCCATATCTGGCCATCAGTAATTTCAATTTGTCCCTTAAATGACCTATTGGCCATCAGAAAGTGATAATATTTCCTAAAAAGTCAAAATTAGCAGGGACAAATTTTGAATTTTTACTGAGAAAACAGGGTGACAAGTGATGGCCAGATATGGGAATCTTTCCTATTTTTCTTTTAACCAGCCTAACGCGTAACACATAATTTGTTACTTTTTTTATTAACATGATGAATATTCTCCCCATTTAATTTTAAACTCACAGGAAAGCCTAGCTCGACACGGGCAGTTGAACTCCTATCGCACCAACCCCCAAGATGCATTCTATGGAGTGACACGATTTGCTGACCTGACCCAAGAGGAGTTTGCATCCACTCTGCTTGGTGGGAGGGCCGGGCGACGAGTTGCCCTGGCAACCAGACCCAACTTGAGAAATCTTGTGGAAAAACCCGGACCGAAAGAAGGCATTCCAAAAAAGTTTACTTTGTTAGTATCCAGATGCTGTTAATTGTCCACATTTGTTTATTGTCTGATGTATCGTCAGAGCCTTTATAAGTATGGAATCTTATTTCCACACACCCCTCTTTAATTTGCGTTTGGCAACGTGCGCGTTGCAAAGCGTTATCTGCACAGATTATCGAGGATCGAGGATACACTGATACACAAAAATGTACTTTTGTACCATTATGTTAAAATCTTATTTTATAATAAATTTGCAAACATTATGCATTGATTTGGCCATCCATTCATGCTACTGAATCAAAAACACATTATTTATTATGATATTTAGTTTGATATTAATACTCTGTGAGGGGTGTTTGAATCCTCAGTACAGCTGGCATATCAATCACCTCCAGTCAGAGCATGGCTATTTCAAATTAAGGGGAGTCTTTACTGTTAACAACGGTCACTTGATTGATTTTGTCTGCTGTGATAGGGTACCTGAATTTGCCAGCCAGAGAGTAAGTGTTTTGATTAATTAATGTATTCTTCACAATAACAAAGTACTTGTCAAACCTCTGAGGTCTGTGATTTCTTCGTCCTTTTCAGACAAGGAAGAAATCCACCTGTATTGACGGCAATTAAGGACCAAGGATCGGTAAGTTAGCAACACCACAACCACCACAGACGCATATAACTTCTCAGTTTGAGAAAGGAACACTCATGGAAGCTAGTCATTAAACATGACATACATTCAATAGAACAAATGTGATTTAGATTTTTCCCCATTTTGTCTTTCTACATTTTCAACGCTGTCTCATCGTCTGCTACTCGTACTTGGTACATGGAACCTCAACAGTGCGGAGGATGTTGGTAAGTTGTCTAGAAGTGCAAGAGTCGCTTTATACCTACAGATTGATAGGTTAAGGCCAAGTAAAAAAAAGTGTCAGTGTCATTTAGGCTTGTATTGGTCTACAATTTATTTTCCGATGAATTTGTGGACTTTTTTCGGTGTTTTTTTTTACTGCATTTTTCAAAAATAAAAAATAATAAAAAAATCCAGGCGGCCTCCAAAAAGGAAGCGGGGCGGGAATGAGAAACATGCTTTGTTTTTTTACTTCGCCTAATAAAAATGGATACTTATACTAATATCAAGTGCTTTCCATTATTATTACCCCTGATCATTAGGCCAATGAAACATTCCAAAGACAATCTCAGCTCCCTGGGGAGTATACAGCTTGATGCTGCCATTTTGTTGCAAAGCAACAAAATCAATCACAATAATCATCTCTGCCCTCACAGGTACCCATTTACTCCTGGGTGGAGAGAAGCAATGAGTGACAAAGTGCCTTGCCCAAGGGCACACGCACAATAACCCCAGGCTTGACTCGAACCCACAACCTGCAGAATTACCCACAGACCATGAGTCCAGTGAGACCACGAGGCTCTGCTGTTGTCACCACAAACACAGCAAAGTGGTACACAATGCTTGCCAAAAAAACAAACCAGCAAAGGTCAGACTGAACAGAGAGTAGCCTGTCTCAGAATAACTGGGCAAATCTTTAATTTTTTTCCCCCTATGTAATTTATTCAGGGCTTTTAGTATCGTGGAGTGTCTTGAGACGCAGCATGCCATGGATACTGGTACCCTGTACGACCTGAGCACCCAGCAAGTCATGGACTGCAACAACGTGACCAGTGATCATGGCTGCAAAGGAGGAAGCCTGTGCGGCACACTAGCCTGGCTCAATTCCAGCAAAGAGAAAGTAGTCTTAGACAAAAATTATCCCTACAAGGAGAAGTCAGAGACGTGCAACAAGGCTGCTGCGTATGTATTTTGCTTTATAGACCAATCACTGACAACATCACTGTACACCATAGGGTTATATTAAATTACTAGAGCGCTAACTCTTCATTCTTGCACGCAGAGACGCTTTGAAGCCGTCCCGGGCGCAGACATTTTGAATTCATGTGCGTGTTTGTAGAACATAATCAAATTAGATGGACTGAATTTTGAAAGTGTACTCTAAATGCAACGCGCAAGTAGAGGGTATGCAAAAAAACCCACAAAGTCACGGTAATCATCTGCAGCGGAGACGCGCTCGCATTGCGCTTTTTGCGTAGAGCAAAATGAAATGCTTATTTGCTGATTGTGCATTGCGGTTTTGGGTGTATCAGCTTCGATAACGCACCTGTATAGAATACAAACGCAGATATGCAAATAGCCGTACAAAAGCCGTACAAAATGTTGAGGTTTCCATAGGTTTGTGCACAAACATGGATGCGCCCAGCAGGCATCACTTTGTACAATAGTCAGCTCTCTAGTAAGTTAATATAGCTCTATGATGTACACTCAGTAGCTGTAAGCTTTTGCACAAAGGAAGTGGGCTGTGATATTGTAACTATGTCATGCCCAACTAGACCACTGGACCAAACTGAAGTTGGGGCATTCCAAACTCAACATGGGACCATCCAAACTAAAGTGTTCAATCTTGAACGCTTACGTTGGGACCATGGTCTAGTTACGGACATAACACTATCAGTGGTACAGTCACTGGATCTGTCTATAGAATTATTTTGGGGAAAAAATGGCCAATTTTAGTGAATACTTTTTTCTTGTCGGTAACATTTTTTCAGAAAAAATCAGAAAAATAAAGTACTTGAAACGTTTTCAATTTCTGTAGGATGTGAAGTGGTCCATTAACTTGGAAATATGTAAATGTTTATTTTGGTGCGTTTAATATTCAAATTTGTACGGTTTGTTTGATTTCTTCTTAGATCACACGGTTTGGTGTACCTGAAAAATTATACCTGTCAACCGTAAGTATTGACTTGTAAGAACATTTTACTATTTGTCAAAACCGGAGAAATGTCCAAGCAATTGGAACATTTTGTTTTGATCAAGTCTCATAAAGCATCTGCTTTGCAGCAAGGTTATAATCTTAGGCCACAATAGATCTCTCTCATAGGACGCCATCTTCACAGAAAAATTACAACTGCGTGTTCAACGCCGTTACCTGTGTGTGCGCGTAGTATGCAAAATATTCTAAACATGCGCACGTGTTGCTCGAAATTTCTTCGAAATACGACGCAGCCGATGCGCGTCACGAAAATTTGAAACCCAAAATGCCGATGCACGTGGCAATCTGTAGAAATCGACTACATTTAAGAGAGACCTATTCAACTACATTGATTCAGCACCAGTCTGATCAAAGGAAAGCAATACATAGTTTGATTATTTTTTTCCAGAAATATTCGTATCCTTAATGTGTTGCAGATACGTAGGTAAAGAACAGGAGATGGTCTCTCTGGTGTACGCTCATGGCCCGTTGCTGGCAGCGGTAGACGCGACATCATTCCAAGACTACATGGGAGGCATCATCCAGCATCACTGCACCGATACATATGACAACCATGCTGTGCAGATTGTCGGCTACGACCAAACAGGTATGATTTTTGTTGGACCCAAAAACCTCTCTTGTCTGAGTCACTGTCTGGCTGAGTCACTTAGTATCAGGGGGGTGAAATCTCAGCTTTAAAGCTGATTTCAGCTTTTTTTGTTTTGGATTTCAGCTTTTTTCCCTCACTTGCTGTGTACAAAAGTATAGGAGATTTCCAAAGTTCAGTTTTTTTGTACACCTTTTCCAGCTGGTTGCTCACACCCCTGTAGTATACATAATGTTCTGAACTGCGTAAAGAGCCTTTCAAACTGTCTACAATCTCCATATCCGAACCCGGGTCCAACACTGAGATTTCGGAACCCATTTTACACTAGCAAGAATCCAAAACGGCTTTTACACAGGTCTGGCGCTCTACACGGGTAAAATCAAATTGGGTCAGGACCTGGGTTGAGAAGCTATACCCGGGTAGAAAATAAAAAATCTACAACTAACCTGTGTACACACTGTTGTAAGTGTGAACAGTGTGCCTTGCCTGCTCGTGTTCGATGCTATGTAGCTAGAAGAAATCTGTGAAGGGTATTAATGATGGAAAATGATGGAAAATTATCGATTGAGTGAAGGGAGGAAATACCCTGATTTATATTCTTGGGAAACCATGCAGTCAGGTAGGGACTGAGGGACCCAATCCACATAATGAATCAGACGGGATTTGACTCCTCGTCATAGAAGTGGAAGGCAAAGAAAGTATCACTAATGTTCATCAGTCAGGATTGAATACGCCTTAATAATAACTGTTTCATTCCATGATAAGGATGCAGTGGACGAAAGGTCCAATAGCAGGTTTGATAGAGTTAACTTTGGATTATGGTGGCATGGGTGGCTTGTTTGTAAAGCACTTGCTCTCACCGCTGTGGCCCTGGTTCGAATCCCATCCTTGGACCATACATGCCATGAGTAGAATTGTGCGTTGGTTCTCTCCTGTGCCATGAGGGTTTTTCTCTGGGCCCTCCGGTTTTCCTCCCTCCGGAAAAATCGAACACTTCGATCTCTGGCTGTGCTCCGTGGTCATATATGGGTCGATGTGGCTGGCTGCCAGAAGCGCCTTTACATGCCAGCAGCTCGACCACGTTGTAGCCGTGTACTTTGCAGTTCAGCTTCTCAGCTTCAGCTTCTCAGAGTATTAAAGGATGATTAGCCTCCCAAATTACTGTTATTATTATCCAAGTGTCCAAGTTTCAGTTGATTTCAGGTATTCTTTCTAACACCCTTTGCCTTGACATTACAGGTCCAATCCCCTATTACATCCTCCGCAACTCCTGGGGTGCAGACTGGGGACTCGGTGGGTACCTCCACATCAAGATAGGTGGTAACCTGTGTGGCATTGCCAGGACTGTAGGCAGTGTGGATACCAACTAAGAGATGTCCCTGCCACAAGTCAATCACAAGTCATCCAGTCTCGTGGACAAGCTTTCCAGTTGAACTGTAGAAAAAAAGAATTTCTCAGGCATGAAACTTTTCCTCAGATCGGCTGATTTCCTCGTTTGTCACTTCACACTTTTGTGCTATAGACCATTTTCATATTGCGGCCATCTTGAATTTTCCGCATTCAAATTAATGTAACCAAAGGGAGGCTAGAAGGAAAAATAGTCTGGTTCCTTTTTGCACACAAAAAATTATCATTCAGTACTTTTATTGGATACAGGGAACATGACTGAAATGGTGGCAGCATGATAAAGGTCTAGTGAAGTCTTCAAAAGCTTCGAATTTCCTCTCTCTGTTTTTGTTTACTTCCCAGCCATATGCATGATTCCTTTGTCAGTGTTCATCACTTGAACCTCGCTTGTGGATTTGACTTGTGATTCATTTAACTACAGCTCACGTCCCTGGTTCCCTGTCCAAGATATGACAGTTCCTTGCAAATAACCATTTTTTTTTTAGATGGATTTTGGATTCCATGTTTTGTTGCCTACTTCATACCTGTGTGCCTCAATCTGGTTTCAACTCGGACAATAATGAAGAGATGGAAAAAATGTATATACCAAGCAAATAACCTTGATTTTGTACTCTATATTATATGCCTGAAATAAGATTTAAAGAAAAACCTACTTAACTGGACATTTGATTTGTTTAAGGGCTTAAAGATGTATTCCTTGTACTATATTCAAGTTGCACTTCAAAAATGGATTGTTTTTTTCAGTTGCTATATTCCAAGCAAAATGAGTTATTCACTTTTGAATGAAACATTGAACCAAAAAGTCCACCGACGTTTAGTTATTAAATGAATTGTTCACAGAACTGGAATTATGGGCTGCCAGACAATAATTCGGCTCTTGCAGGGAGACTTATTTGTGCACAAACTGAAAGCCCTTTTCTCAGAGGGCTGCAGACACCAAAAATCAGAATTAAGAATTTTTTTTTGTTAAAACAAAACGTTCAAGTTGAACATTTGTTTGGGGAAAAAAAATGCATTTTTAAATGCAATTTTTGAAGACCATGGGGTATGTGTTCATCCTTAACTTTTTTACAAGCAGGCAAAGCTGATCGTGTAAGGTAAAACGAACATACATGAATAGTGCTAAAATTCAAAGCTTTCTATGCAACAAAAACCTATCAGCTACTCTGATGGGTATGTTATTTAGTATTTATCATGATTTTACATGAAATCTATTTTACTAAGGGAATAAATATGTGCTTGGCTAGTTTTAAATAAGTATGATTAAAATTGGCTAGGAACCTTTATCCCTGTCGAGCCAGAGGTGAGGTTCATTATCTGCGGCCAGGCCCCCAGCCGGTTTTAAACGTACTTGTTCAATACCGGCCAAGCACATATTTATTCCCATTCATAAATACCTTTCAAACAGTCACAAGTCAGAAATTCACAGATTTTCAACAATTTTGTTCAACAATTTTACTCCACGTTTTGTGAACACCCCTCCGGCATTGTCTATATGTGCCTCACCCGTGTAGTGCTAAAAATCTTCTTATTTGGAAATTGTACATCGTACTGCGTGATGTGGCGCAGAACGCAGCAGTGCTTTATCATCGGTTTAAAACCACCCACGTGTCTCAAACTGTCTCAGGTATTTATGAATATAAGATAAATATCAACTCCTTCAGAGTTTTCACTGACAGAATTGTGCAGTGCCATGATTTACACAGATTAACTTAAGTAGTGTTTTGTCTATCAGTACTAAAAAAGAAAATATGGACGATTTGTATATTTTTTGTGAGGAAAAAAATGAAGAAAAAAGTGATTTTAAATCCTTATTTTTCATTTGTCTTAAGTATTAAAATATAATCGGAAAAAGATTGGCTTTTGCTTAAAAGTATGCCAAAGTATATATTCAGATGTGTTCTAAATATGGAATGGCTTAAATAAGATAATTATTGGCGTGTCTTTGAAAAATGAAGCTAAAAGTGTAATGAAGACAGTAAGGCCATTAAATGAAAGTGAATACATTACTAAACGTGCAAATTCCGCCACCAACAGCTGTGTTCAGATGTAGTCTTGACTGGATTTATTTTGTACTCTTTATCAATTCCCATATCAACTCCACTTCAAGAACTCATTGACTCCTTAGTTATAAAATGTATTATTTAGCTGTATAATTTATTTTATTTCTTTCTGGTAATGAAACCTGAGGATTCCTCAAAAGCGCCCTAGGCACTGTAGCTCGAAAGCCTGAAGAAAAAACCTGTGGAGAGGTGGGAGGAAAACCCCAGAAAAAGATTCTGGGGGAAAACCCACGGAATTATGTAGGAACTGAAAACCCAATCCACATGTGGTCCAGGCAGGTGAGGAAGGTAACCGCTGTGCCAACCTGACTCTAAAACTCATGATCGATCCTGAGGAGCTTTCAAAGTTGATGGTTTTTTGTTGTCCTTGTCAAATTTAAAGAAAATTAAACTTTTGGCAATGGGAGAATCTCTTACTAATAAAAAGGCAAGAGGTGAAATTATTCATCATGCAAGTTTGAACCCAACCTGTACATTTTGCTGTGTCCACTAGCAGGATGCTGCTGTAATATAGCCTCCCAACCTTGGTGGGGAGGAGAATTAGTGACTAGGTTTTGTTACTCCAACTCCAAGCAGTTTGAAATACCTGAACATCCTCCCAACTGATTAAAAAAATATTTTACAAAGCCTGCATTGCCTCTAAGATGCTGCGGTTAAGAAATCACATTCACAATAGGAAACTTGCTCAAACGCATGCAAAGTTCTAGATTTGTCTTGTTGATGTACAAACAAAATTGAAGCTGTTTTTAAATTATTTATTAACAAAAAAAACAGAAAAAGGTAGGGCTCTCCCAATCCTGGGACAAATCAACAAAAACACTGAACAAGATATTGAAAAACTTTGTGCAGCAAGCACTTTATTTAGTTTCTTCTGTTCATGAAAAAAATGCCCATATAAAAAAATACAATATTTACAGAAGGAGGAAATGAGAGTGGAAAATTACCCTGTTTAGAAATTAAAGAGAGCATATTAAAGGACAATACTTCTGAAGAGAGCACCGAAGTGAATACGTCACATGCACAAAATGTGTGTAAAAGACATTAGTGCGTGATTCAGCCCAAGAACCAACACGCCCGCGTACTCCATTCGTTTGCACTACACTTTCTGGTTCTAAATGACGTCACACTTCGGAACTCAATTACTCTTGAACAAAATCTTGTTCAATATCAAAGGCAATAGCTAAATCATAAAATTGTGTGTATGTGTATCAGCAGCACGACCAGGGCTCTCACCATAGGAGGGCGGAGGGGGGGGGGTTTGAATGTTACAATGTAGGCACTGCGCCTGCACACCCCCCCCCCCCCCCCACGTTGATAATGTGTGTTATCAAGTAGCTTGTGTATATCAATACAATCACAAGCCCTGTGCTTTTAGCAGCCAAAACGGACACAAAGGTGGAAAGTTATTTGATTTAGTACAGTACTGAGAAATACTACAATATTTTTACTTAAAATTTGTTACAAATGCAATTAAACAAGTACCAACACATGCTCTTTTAACAAAGCATAGGAAGAAAGCGTACAAAATCTGCACGGCAAATCTTGCAAATAATACTAAAAACACTCAAAACTACCGACCAAATTGCCAATGCTAGGATGACACTTTGTAATGAAGCCTTGCGACCATGAAGGGCAGAAGAATTGGTGACTGGGTTTTTGTTACTCCAAGCGGTTTGAAATACCTAAACATCCCCTTAACTGATTAAAATATATTGCCAACAGTCCATATCAAAAAGTTAGGCTGTCTGAAACGGGCTTCCAGAGCTACGGCTACGTCTATTGTCAGCAGGTACCCGCGTATTTTCAATGGGCGCAGACCTAGACCTAGCCCTAGACAGCTGATTCGGATGCAGCCTAAGATGCTGTTACTCCATAAGGTGAAAATGCATTCCATATCAGAAATTCAGAAAATATTTCAGATACCACTTGATATATACAAACAAATGTTACTAGTACAAAAAAGGGAATATACAAAAATACTGCGTTGGTTTTGAAGCATTTTTCTTACTTTGACAACACACCCGAAAATATCATTATTATTAATACATGGCAGTCTTGTAATGTGAAACAGTAACTCAAAACTATTTTCAGAAGACACTTTATCAACCACAAATAGCAAAAAAAATATATGTTCATACTTTTATCACAAATGGCCAACTGAACCAGTACTTGTAAAACACCAGTTTTTCAATATTTTGTGTACATGAATTAAAAAATGAAATCTAACTTGATAGTTCCTTAAAAGTGTGACCTGACTCATGAATGATTGTAACACTGAGAATCTGAATGCATTCATTATCAAATAATACCACAGGATTTTAAAAAATGATCAACTGAAAATTTGAAAAAACTTGCTGGCCTTTTCTAAAATAAAAATCTACCCTGTGTGCAAATAAATTGACAGCAATGTAGAAACCTTCAGAAAATATTACTTTTAAAGTTTTGAACTTTTCTTATCTCTCTGCCAGTAATCTTTTAGTTGTTCAAGTATAAATTGCATTCAGGTTGTACAATTCTTTATGGAAAATTGTCGACAACTGAAGAAAATTATTGGTGGCCGATAAATTTAACACCTCGTTTTAATCCTCATAGTTAGGTAATTTAGTACATTAATTATGTCCAGACTATAGTGCTTTCAGTTAAAACAGAAATGACATAATATCCATTTTTATCACACACCCTCTTGAGAAACAAAATGACATTAAAAATCTAAATGTTTCACTTCACAACCCCTGAAAATCTTGGAAAGGGCATTGCGAAATGACGAGGTAGACAACTTTTTTTTGGTAAATATACTCGATGTTGTGATTAGTAAAGATAGAATACAATACATTGTATTTTTCCCTGTAATGCAATTGTGCGTTCCAGTCTCAACTTTAAAAACATTCACATCAATCAGAAAGTTTGAGAATATCAGAAAGTTTGACCATGGCACCCGCCATATACCAATACTGACGAGAATACAAACAGCATCAGGTTGTATCTTAACACAATTTATTTCCGGAATTTAACTCGGGAAACCCTGTATTCCTGCATTGGCACACTGAAACAATATAAATCCATTAGTCTCCAAACCGCCCTGCCTGTTACTCCCCATACTGCCCAAAATCGCCCTGCCCACTGCCCTGCCTGTTACTCCCTGTACTGCCCCAAACTGCCCTGCCTGTTACTCCCTATACTGCCCCAAACCACCCTGCCTGTTACTCCCTGTACTGCCCCAAACTGCCCTGCCTGTTACTCCCTGTACTGCCCCAAACTGCCCAGCCTGTTACTCCCTATACTGCCCCAAACTGCCCAGCCTGTTACTCCCTATACTGCCCCAAACTGCCCTGCCTGTTACTCCCTATACTACCCCAAAACACCCTGCCTGTTACTCCATGTACTGGGGCTGGGCCTGTTACTCCCTATACTGCCCTAAACCGCCCTGCCTGTCACTCCCTGTACTGCCCCAAACTGCCCTGCCTGTTACTCCCTGTACTGCCCCAAACTGCCCAGCCTGTTACTCCCTATACTGCCCCAAACTGCCCAGCCTGTTACTCCCTATACTGCCCCAAACTGCCCTGCCTGTTACTCCCTATACTACCCCAAAACACCCTGCCTGTTACTCCATGTACTGGGGCTGGGCCTGTTACTCCCTATACTGCCCTAAACCGCCCTGCCTGTCACTCCCTGTACTGCCCCAAACTGCCCTGCCTGTTACTCCCTATACTGCCCCAAACCACCCTGCCTGTTACTCCCTGTACTGGGGCAAGCCTGTTACTCCCTATACTGCCCCAAACCACCCTGCCTGTTACTCCCTGTACTGCCCCAAACCACCCTGCCTGTTACTCCCTGTACTGCCCCAAACCACCCTGCCTGTTACTCCCTGTACTGCCCCAAACCACCCTGCCTGTTACTCCCTGTACTGCCCCAAACCACCCTGCCTGTTACTCCCTGTACTGCCCTAAACCGCCACGGCACTATTGGATTCATCAAGGAATAAATACAATATATTACAATGAAGTGCAAGTGTTAATTGGTTACCTTGAACATAAAAGCCATACATGTGCTATAAGCCACTTGTGCATAGTTTGGTTTGCTCTAGCAAACTTCAGCCTTTTCAATGAAGTTTTATTTAATACCTTAGCAAACTATATGACATAAGAATCTTTGTTTAGGAAAGTGTTGCCTTGCCTTTAAAACAATTTTATGAAATTGTTGCACCTGGTGCAAATTTATTTGATTGAACTTGACATCATCAAACTTGTTACAAAACCAAAAATGGTCCCCTGTATTATTGGACACACTGCTGCCTTAACATTGTTGCCTTATTGCAACATGGCAATTTTGTGAAGGGCAAATTAAATTGAATTATACTAGAGCCTTAATATTTGTGGGGTGAAAATTGTCCCCTCTTAATTGGATGTACTGCTACCTTTACCATGTTACCTTATTGCAATACGGTAGTATTTGTGCAAAGAATGAATGGAGTGGAATTGTGACCTGTGACATATGTGTCAATACCAAAAAGGTTTCCTTGTACTTTTTACTGCATTCTGTACCTTCTTCACTTTAAACCTCATGATCTGTTTCCGTTAAGGAAACACTGAGACTCTCCACATGCACATGGAGGTTCCCCACATTCCCATTGACCTTGCCGTATGGAATGGACAGCCGTCGCTTCATGTCAGATGTCAGGGTCGGAATGTACTTACGCGGCAGCAGGAATGTGGACAGGTTGAAAAGATCGACGAACACCTTGTAGCGATCACTAGAAAAAATGAGGAAAAAAAGGTATCAAATATATAAGCATTTTATGAACTCAAGAAGTCTGTTTGTTAAAAAAAGTCAACTGTTGTGGATAGGTAGGGCAGGTGGGGGTTAAAATTTCTAAAAAGTTGTTGATTTACACAAGATAAAGCATAATAAATAATCATTTATTTAGAAGGCCTGTACTACTTGTGTGTGAATATGTATGTTGTTGAAGATCTTTACCAAAGTTTCAGCAACGTCGATCACTAGTCAATCAAAAGTCAAACATAGGTAATGATCAATGAAAGCGGAATGCCTTTGTTACAATTCATCCAAGTTACGTTTGTTCCTTGGCGTGAGAATGGATGACTTGTGATGGGCTTTTGAGGATTTGACAACAGCTTGGATTTCTTTTATAATTGGTTACCAACCTGGCTGTAGCCTTCAGATACATGTAACCTGAGGAGCCACCGGTACCCGGCCTACTGCCGATCATCCTCTGCACCAATTGGACATGATTCACTGCATGAAGAAAACATGCGGGAAAAAAACCATTGAAGCATATGGTACCCAGATATTCCAAGGTAACAATTTCAGCCAAAAAAGCTGAACTATTTAGTAGGAAGTTTCAACTTCTTCAAGTACATTGTGCTAGTACATGTATCCCAAAGCTATTAAGACATAGCTCTAATAATAAATAAATTTAAAATGAAAACCATGAATATTTTACTGTCAAGCACTCTGCTAATGTTTTTATACTGCAAAGTAAAACCTTTGTGAATTATTTTTTGAGATCGGTTATCTTGATGTAAAAGGTACTCACATCTCCATTTCATCATGAGAGAGTCTAGGTCCATCAGCAGGGTCAGAAACTGGAACGGCTGGCTGAAGCGAGACTCGTCGCGATACAAGGAGATGAAAAGCGCCCCCTGGAGTGCCTTGTGGGAGAACCGTCGATCTCCTAAACACATAAGATTCACAATTTGTAATCCGGTCTCGCAATCTGGTCCGGTGTAAGTCTGGCGAAAAAAATCCTCAAACAATTCTGATATGAACGTCATAAAAACCACTATTGTCTGATACACTTGTCAAAGCCGGTCCATACGAATAATTAATGCAGACTGAAATGGATGTCACAAAACATTAACACCAAAATCTGCCGCAGTTAAAATTCACTGTGTAAATGACTTGCCATGATATCGTGACAAATTTGCAGTTTCATTCAAATTTGTGTTCAAGAATAATATTATCTGGTCTCGGCATTTAAACCCTACACGATTGTCTTTGGTCTAGGTGCTGGAGCGGATCAAGGTTTGGATCAAGAGGGGCTTTAGCTGCCCAGATGAGGTTTAGCACACATTTGCTGGGTTTTTTTTCGGCATGATTTTCCTATTTTTTTGTGGCCCAAGAGGAGTTCAGACCCGCTAACCCCCCCCCCCCCTTCCGTTTTTCCTGACTGACTTACCCCTGCTGACCATGTTGTTATGCTTCTCGACGTCAAAGACTGACGCAAAGCTTTCTTTGGCTATGTTGTACTCCTGCATCATGGCCTCTTTCTGGTGCTCGTCCTCCAGCTCCTGTTTCGAAGAGGGGGAAATTTATTTCGAAAAAGAAAGTGTGCGTGTTCTTCGTGCGAGCATCAGGCTCCTTTGGAAATGCTTGCATGAGTCCCTCCCAGTGGTCTACCCCAACTTTCTCTTTGTAACCGTTGAGGGAGTATTTTGCGCACGGAGTCTATTGGGCCCAAGGCATTGTGACCCTGAAACAAGTGACATGTCAACTGGATGTAACCTTACCAACATATTTTAGATTTAAGAAACCAATAAGAAACTAATTGTAATTCCTACCTCAACATCTCTCAGCATGTCGCTCATCATATCATTGGCAGCAGCTTGGAACTTATCCCAGAAGTTGAAACAATCTCGCTCCAAACCAGGTGTCCTCTCCAGCCATTGCTTCAGAATAAAAAACACATACAGTAAATTCATCACCCGAGTTAACGCTGGTCAGGAAGTCCTTGTTTTCCTATTGACCTATCGCCGTTTGCGAGTTAGCCACGCCCCTTAGACAACCCTATGGAGTTTTTGTACACTATGTTTTGTTTGTCTCAGATTTTGCGTGTTCCGCGTCCATTTCTGTATCATGTAATTGGACAAAATTTCACAAGCTGCATTGACGCGATTCTAATGGGACTCTAACGCGATTCTAACGCGATAGGTCAATTGTTAACCTGATCAACACATCCAGACAGTTGTGTAGCATATTTTAAACTTTTGCTCATCTCAGCTTGACCACTGCCATACCGTCGTAGGGTTACCCTTACAAGCCACGCCCCTCGAAGTGACTTCCTAACGCCACCCGTATGGGTGGCATGGGTGGCTTGTGCGTAAAGCGCTCGCCTCTCACCAAGGTGACCACGGTTCAAATCCTGGCCGCGGATTGCATGTGAGTAGAGTTGTTTGTTGGTTCTCTCCTGTACCACGAGGGTTTTTCTCCGGGCCCTCCGGTTTTCCTCCCTCTGGAAAATTCAAACACTTTCAATCTCAGGCTGTGCTCCGTGGTCATATATGGGTCGATGTGGCCGGCAGCCATAGGCGCCTTTACGTGCCAGCGGCCCGACCACGTTGTAGCCGCGTCCTTCGCAATTCAGCATACCAGCTGCGAGTAAGGATGATTAGCCTCCCAAATTATTAAAAATTATTATTATTAAAACCCCCAAAACAGCCTTTGAAGCCTTCCTTGAAATGATAGCATTAAAGTACCAAATATGAAATACAAGAAATGTGAAAGTACGGCGAACTCTTACCTGCACTATAGACAGCAGTGAGGGTTCAATCTCTGCCTGTTTGATTTCAGCCAAACGCGCACCGTGGTGTGCGTGCTCGTAGTTCTTTTGTGCGTACTTCACACGCCATTCCTAAAAGTGAAGTTAGTGAACAATACTTCAATCAAAATCTATCACTGGATTTCTTAAAAAAATCCATCGAAATTCTCCATGCTGATAATTTATAGAAGTAAACTTTTGTTTGAAAGGAACTTGAGAACTTTAATACCACCGTACGCTTTCTGTTCAGTTTTACAAAAATACTGTCTTCGCTATTCTGTAACTATTTAATTTTTTTTCTTATCATTGCCAACTTAGAAAGACGTGAATTATGTCATGCCAGAAAATTATAAATTGAATTCGTCAAAATATATTTATAGGGCAGTCAAAACAAAAAGCACATAAAAATTATCTTTACAAACTTTAAATCCCACTTCAAAATGCAGCTAAAACCTCTGAATTTTAGTTCAACCTGCAGTAAAACTCAATGCTTCTACAGAACAAACTATCTGTGTTTGATTTCTTTCTTTTTTTTTTTCTTTTTTTAAATACCAATCTGCATCTGTTAAACAGGTGAAGTCATCCACAAAATTGAAGATAATTGCCCAATTTAAAAACACTCATGAACTGTAACTAATTTTGATCAACATTTAGAAGGAAAAATCCTCACATCACAATAACCTTTGTTTTTTTGTCAAACCCATCTCATGCATGAGTGCTTTTAACGGAAGCTGTTTGGTTGAACAAACTAATTGGCGGAAGAGGGATTCAAATTCAATTCAAACTCATTTTGTCCCCCCACTAAATTTAATACTGATAAGAGCGAACTACATGTATTCAGTTTTCCATACCGTTTTATTTGATGTTTATAATAAACAACTTTAATCTGACCTATTTCTACAAAGGGCAGTAAATAACCACTGCCATTTTAACAAAATGTTAATTTCAACTGCTTGGAAAATTATTTCATTTATCGGTGACACAGATGAGTCAACACCATTTCCAAATTTTAATTTGTTACAAATAAATTCATTGATGAACATTGATGAAAGGGAGGATCCCCTGTCCATTTTGGGTGTGGCACCCTAAAATAACAAATTTTAAAATTGAATGGATCATTTGTTAGCATTACATAAGTTATGAACTTTCCAATGAGACAAAAGATGAGAAAAACAATTAATTGGTCCACACTAAGGCCCCCCAAAAAAAGTCTCCGGTTTCTGGTATGGAGCTTGCCCAAAAAGTGGTGCGGCGACGCGGCTTTTTTTTTTTTTTTACCTGACCTTTTTGCTTCAAATGTCGGCTGATGACTGCAAATGGTGCCCGACTAAACTTAGTGCAAATATATGGGAGTCCAGAGAGGCCACATAAAGCTTATTCTCGACCATAACCCAATCTAAAAACACGTTAAAATTGTGCAGCAGTAGGATTCCAGTCAAACCAGTGAGTTTGGCGGTTTTGAGACATCATCTTTCATTGAAAAAAAACTTTTTCATTTTGCCGACGCGCATGGCTACGGCGACGCGCGCGCATACCAGAAACCGGAGACTTTTTGGGGGGGGCCTAAGGTATCACTTTTTTTCCAATTCAGCTTTTGGATTAGGAGCATTCTCTAAATTAGACTTAGACAACACACAATGTCATGACAACCCAGCCCTGTATTTCATCATCAACATGGAATGAGTGCCATGTTAACACAGACCATGTAGGGGCTGATATTGAGCTACTGGTTTTCTGGCCTGATGACTAGGGTTAATACGGTGAAACGCATTGAGACATTGGTATAAAAAGTACAACAGTATTACTTCAACTCACCGGTTTCATCCCAAGTCTGTTTTCCAGGATCCTGAACTGTTGGCTCTCGAACCCCGAGGCTGGGGCCAGGAAGGTGCGGAACTCCAGGAAGTCCATCGGTGTCATGGTCTCCAAGATGTGAATCTGTTCCACTACAATCTTCATACCAAATTAAAGGAAATTTAAGATGAGAGTCTGGACCCCACACCATAATGATATATGAATTTCAACGCGTTATCAACTTCTGTTCTTATGCCATACATGTACAGTAATTACAACAGATTTTCTATATGCAATTTGCATAAATTGAGGGCGCTCTTACACAGTTTCATGCAATGACATCAGGCAGTGTGCGATGTGCATCACAAAAAACTTTTTATCTTTACAGTAAAACATTAGGAATTCTTTTAAAATCCTGGAATCAGGAAAAATCTTGACAAAACATCCTGAAAGCAGGAAAAATCCTGTAAAAAAAAATCTGAAATTGGGAAAAATTCATGACAAACCTCACCCCTGAGACGATAGGAAAATGAAATAACCAACCTTCATGATACTGATGACACGTCCCATACGCTGGTTGATGACTAGCTGCTTCCTCTCGTCATGCTGAACCCGGCTGAACAGGGTGCACACCGAGTCAATCTCATACAGAATCTGTTTGAACCACAGCTCATAAACTGCATTGTTTGGTACAGATAAAAAAAATATAAACTCATGAAATATTATACTCAGGACACATGCAACGTACACATTTTATTAAACAAATAAAATTCATTCACATAGCTTGAAACTTAACTCGGCACTCACCCTGATGTATGATGATAAAAAGATGTTCATCGTGAACCTTGCAACCCTGTTGCTCCGACTCAAGCACCTGCGATTTCAGGACCTTGTCCAGGTGCAGGTACTTGTGATAGTGCATGGCGGGATTTTCGTCGTCGCTGGTAGCCGCTGCACTTTTGTCAGCATCACCACTACCGCCGCTGACATCTCTGTTGTTGTTATTGTTGGTGGTGGCATTTTTCGGTCTGTCACAAAGGCAAATTAAAGATGCACAGTGCAATCAGGCAAATGAAATTAATCGTTACTTTGTGATGACAACCAACATAAACAAAAAGGAACTGGGACACAACTAAGAATGCAAAGTTAATTTTTTTTCAACAAGCGACGATCGACACTTAACCATTTGGAAAGTTTACCGGCTTTCCGCATTGGACTTAATTTGGTCAATTGACAACGGCCTCCGTACATTTTATCAAAAAATGTCTAATGTGGACACGGCTTTAGTTCATAGCACCTAGCAATCTAATGCCACACTTTGAAAGAACTACGTATCTATTGGGCAAAGGTGGTTTTCATAATTTTATATGAATTTAATATAAAACAGAAAGCATTGTTTGTGAATTCCATACGAAACTCCATTTCTAGCAGTGAAAAAGCTTTTTTGAAAAATGCCATCGCAATTAGTAAAGGCTCAACTGTTTGCCCTTGCAATATGCCCATACTTTGTGAGTAGGCTAGAAAATACAGCAATTTCAACCAAATGTATTACATGCATGTGTAAACCAACCTGATCATTTTCCCCAAGAGCGTTTGGTTTTAGGTAACAGATCAAATAAACGGACAGATACATATTTGTTACTTTTTTATGAACTTGCGTGCATGATTATACTAATTCACTCAACCCTGTCATATCCTTGGCCTATATTTAAAAATGCACGTAGGCAGCACAAGGTGAGTATTTGTTATTGAATGAACTCAGTTTTTATTAAATTTGGTCATTGTTATAAATATTCTGGCTGGTACCAGTAGTCCAAAAATTGAAGTTGCACAATTCAAAATAAAATCAATTTTGAAGTGGTTCTCAATGACATTACTAACAACTAATCTCTCATTATCAAACACATAGGCCTAATTGTTTAACATTGGTAACATCTGGGTCATTAGCTAATAGAAACCAATTTACCAGTCAATTAAAGGGATTAGACGCCAACTGTTTTGAGACTGAGATGTGATCCGTATTATTTCAGGGGAAAAGGACACATTTTGAGGAAATTTACAAATTTAAGCAGTGCTAGTCATTAAATTGGACATCACTTGGTATTTATACCGGTACTTCCCAATCATGCAACTTATTCTGGCTGGTACCAGTAGTCCAAAAATTGAAGTTGCACAATTCAAAATAAAATCAATTTTGAAGTGGTTCTCAATGACATTACTAACAACTAATCTCTCATTATCAAACACATAGGCCTAATTGTTTAACATTGGTAACATCTGGGTCATTAGCTAATAGAAACCAATTTACCAGTCAATTAAAGGGATTAGACGCCAACTGTTTTGAGACTGAGATGTGATCCGTATTATTTCAGGGGAAAAGGACACATTTTGTGGAAATTTACAAATATAATCAGTGCTAGTCATTATTTGGACTTCACTTGGTATTTACTTCCCAATAACGCAACTTGTGCAAAAATAATAACTCTAGTCGGATAGAAAAGGTCTGATCTACTACAGTTCATATGAGTTCCATTAAGGCACGGATGGGGACAGGGATGGGGGGGGGGGGCAGGGATGGGGGAGGGATGGGGGACAAGGGTGGAGTACATGGGGTGGGGTGGGGCAGTGGAGAGGGGGTGGTCAAACTAACCTCGGTCCTGACATGAATGGACAACTCATTGTGAAAATTTAAAGCTGTGATGCCTGTCTCCAAATTAATCAACTCATCCACTGATTCTCTGTGGAGGTACAACGAGAAACAAAAAGAGTTAAACAAAACCCTGAATTTCAAACAAACTGAATTAAACACAAAAAATTAAATACTCTTTATAATCTATTATGACTACCCTTGTTCGCAGCAATTTTCAGGGCAAAATATTGTGTCAATACCAAATACAAACAAACAAATAATCCAACCGATCTACCGACAACCAAAGGAACAACAAACAAACAAACCAACACCCCACCCAACAAACAAACAAACAAACAAACAAACAAACAGATGTCATAATGTGATGCTTTGGTTTCCTGTGTGTCGGGGACAACATAAGAGACACGGCGAATGTACATTCTTGGTAACGATACTTCAAACTATAAAACAAAATTAATCATGGTAATAAATGCAACGACCTTTCCTATAACTTTTTTAATCAATGCCAATGTAAATGATATTTACATTTACAATAGCATATGTTCTAAAAAGTTTATGAGCCTAGGCGTATAAAACTAATTGTGCACACTCATGCAGTTTGGCACTGACAGGTGTAAGACTCCGAGTGATATAAAAAAATTAATAAATAACCTGTATTGTTATTTTGGCTTAACAAAAAAAAAATGTTTGTTAGGTACATGTGGATCACGTTGTAACATGCACACTTTTCTTTTCAGGCAAACAGAACGGAGCAACATTCCACTTGTGTCAGTGGGGGTAACAAGTTCAAGCAAAACGTCCCCAAAACATATGGCAGTGTTTAGGTCAGCTGGATATCAAGTGACTGGGGCCCAATTTCAGTTGAAGCCAGAAAAACCCGCAAAATGATTAACCCTATCCATGCCCTTTTGACATAGTTGGGGACCTTTTCTGGAGAAGCCTGGATATCTGGGGCCCAATTTCAGTTGAAGCCAGAAAAACCTGCAAAATGATTAACCCTATCCATGTCCTTTTGACATAGTTGGGGACCTTTTCTGGAGAAGCCAAATTTTACGGTGTAAGAGGGCAAAGTGCATTGAGTAACATTTAACCTGGCAGATGTAGAGCGCAAACAAAACCAACTGTGCAGATTTTTTTTTTTTAAGAAAACCAAATCAAGTGTAGGAGAACAGCTTGGTGTCCGGCATTTTGGACCTCAAGGTTCAAAGGGGCCATGAGATGAACTTTGCTCAGTAACTCATTTTGTGCAACTTACTATTTTCTCTTCATGACATCCCTTAATTTTATTGGAAAGTACACTTCTTTAAACATTTAATACTTTCCATGCTTTTTCAGACATCTGAGGGCGCTGGTGCTGGTACGGAAGAAACTGTTCAGTTTAGGGGTTTTCTGTTCAAATTTTGAACCCAAAATGTTGCTCATTGAAAACATTTGTGAGAAAGGTTTGTTCATTGGTTATACTGCCATGTTCTGGCACAACAACGCATCACTAAAGGAAAGATCATTTATGATCCAAAGTTCTGGCAAATTTTGGTGCTGAAATAGCTGTAACATAAAAATCTGCCTTACAACATCATGACATCACACTTTTGCTCATGAATATGGAGATTTTCATAAGCATAAAAAAAAAACCAGTATCATTTGAAATAACCTTGAAAATGGCAAAACAAAAATTGAAAATAAGGCTAAATGGTTCACAAAGGTGAAATTTGAAGGATTGCATGAAAACATATTTAAATTGCATGTAAACATATTCCCTGAAATTTGTTTTACATACTAAAACCCATCCTGAATCCTCCAAAATCCACCACTGCTCACACTAACATCAGGAGGCATCAATTAAGTTCTAAAAAAACAATATGCTGATCTCTATAAAACCACTAGTATGCAACCTATGAACTATATACATTTGTATTCACGGCATGTCTGGGCAGATTGTGGTTTTGAGCATAACGAAAGCATCCCGCTTCAAACTTCCAAAATGTGAAATGATACACAAACATGGTAATCTCATTGAATATGTGTGAAATTTTGGAAACCAGACGTGATATGAGGCCACGTTCTTTATAAAAATTTATGAGTACCCTCAATTTATTCGACTTTTGCAAAAGTCACATATATACAGAGTACTCATAAATTTTACACTGTGTGAAACTTATACACACAGTGTAAGGACCGGGCAAGGTCAGGGATTGTATTAGGCCCACACAGAGTTAGGTATGCTCTGACGCACGACAAATGTTGGATCCCTGCCAAGATTTTAAGTTTGTGGAAACTCTGACTGCAAAAACAAGTAATTTGGAAAAAAATGTTGGTTGATTTGGGAGCTTTCGATACAAAAATGCCAACATGAATGTGAATGTCCAGAACTGTCAAAAGACAAACTGGAACGATTAAAAGACATCTACATGAAGCTGGACTGACTTATACTAAGATTAACTGCATTTTTTTCTCTCACTTCATTTACAACATACAGCTGTGGCGGATGTATGGGGGTAGACTGTCTTTACCTCCCCCCCCCCCCTTTGCCTAATAAAATTAGAAATTCATGCAGAAAAGATGCAAATATTCAAAATATGTTCGAAATACGACGCAGCCGATGCGCATTATGCAAGTTGACACTCAAAATGCCGATGCACGTGGATGGTCTGTAGGAAATGACACCATTTGAACGAGACCTATAGAAAATGAATTTCCTTCGCTGCATTTTAAAAAATAAATTTCAATTTTCAAAAATATATTTAGGCCCTAATGTGAACTATAAATAATGTGTATAAACTGGTGTAAAAAAATTGCATGAACACACGATATGCATTTTTTTTAAGGCCAGTTTATCATACACACGACTCCATATAATTTTCATGCAGTTTTCTAATTGCACATTCCCCTGCCTTAGCCCCCATAAATGTGGCCAATCTACTGGACTACCTCTGTAAATAAAGGCCACACTTGGAACATGTACCCGAAAAATGTGAAACTTTTTCAAGTTTTGATTTTCACATTTAGACTTTGTAGTTTAATTACGCTTTAGAAACACACTCACCCTCTTTATAGCGATAGAAAAGAAGTCCTGCCTTTCTCAGACATCTATTTATCGTGTAATTTCCAGATTTGTTTGCACATGTTTGCGTATCTAAATTCCAACATCGAAAAGATGACGCGCGTGCATCATCGTTTCTGCTGTCAGTCACGTAGACTTGATCGACTATGTGACTGACACCAGAAACGATCCATCAGCACAGCGTGATCTTTTCGATGTTGGAATTTAGATACGCAAATGTGCAAACGAACCTGGACATTTCACAAAAATAGACAACTGAGAAAGGCGGGACTTCTTTTTCATCACTTTAAAGAGGGCGAGTGTGCTTCTAAAGCGTAAATAAACTACAAATAAAGTCTGAATGTGAAAATCAAAATTTGACGAAGTTCTACATTTTCGGGTACATGTTCCAAGTGTGACCTTTATTTACGGAGGTAGTCCAGTAAATTGGCCACACTTATGGGGGTAATGCCTGCACTAATGCCTGTGACACTCCTAGTACTACCAAACACACACAATCATGAAAATACAAACAACAATACCATGAATACAAATATCAACCTAAGCTAATTAGTCAATCAAACGGAAATCCTGTTTGTACTGTAGTGTAGATGTTGGGCAAATGTTGGGAGAAATTACCAAAACTTCACAATTCACAATACATAAACATGATAAAAAAAATCGAGCTTCGGGAACATCACAGCAAATTATTAAACACAGTCATTGTATTATTGCTATTTGCCACGTCTCGTAAACATGGAAAGGTGTTAAAATGGATAAAAACAAATCGTTTTAGTAGTTGCGCCACGAGCTTTGTTTGCCATCACCATTCCGTTTATGGATTCGTACTCACACGTCATACATGCATACCGTGTATGCGTCGCTGCAGCGCTAGCCTTCATACCCGGTACTTCGTGTTCGTGACCACTAAAAAAGTACGAACATGATGAATAACATAGTTTACCTGTAGCTCTTGTTCAGTTCGATCAAGTTGTTCTCTAGCCCAGAGCCGATCCGAAGACAAATTTATCAGTCCATAAACACTTGTTAACAACAAGATAAATGGGTAGAATGTGAATTTATACTAAACCCGATGACCGATATTTCCCACGTTTTCAATCGATGACAACAATTGCGCGAAACACCGGTGTAAGCCACGTGACGCGTCCTCGTGACGTACATTGTATTTACATTACTTCCGGCTGATTCCCACGATATAAAATTGCGCAGTGAAGCCCCAACGCAGCGTGGAAAAAAAAGTGTTTTCCACGATGAAATCGATATGTCACCACCTTTTGACAATTGAGGGCGGGCTGTATAGTTCTCTGTTGATCTTCTGATTTTCCAACATCAGTGTACATCATGTCGTAAATTTGCGCCCATTTGATGGGTTTTTAAGTTGTAAAAATGGACAGGTTTGAATGGGGAAATGGAAATCTTTTGCAGGGGGAGACCCAAGTGAAGCAGCAGCATGGGGTTAGACTTCACGACGGGACAGACAAGGTTTGTTTAGCTTCGTAAAACTCACCATGTCCCTCACTGGCACAGTCAGACAGTTTAATACTGGTGACTTTTAATACTTGCATTGCCCCCTTGGACATATTGGGCCTTGTTAATGTTCGGACGACATGCATTAATGGGGGAGGGGCGTGGGTCTGTTTTATTTCCTGCATGGTTTTAGGGGTGGGCATGGTGACGGATATTTTGAAAGTAGACATGGTAGAGGATGAAAGAGATAGTAAGGAAAGAAGGAGTAATGCAGAATACCCCGCCACTCGGAAAGATTTTCCCTCGGAAATACACCCTAGCATTGCCTAGGTTGGAATCACTGGAAAAGAAACAATTTAAGTCCATTGCCAGCGCCTACGGCTACGCGGATACTATAAAAGTGGGTGTCTCCTTGAGAACGAAGCAACACAAAATGAATGGGAGTTGCTGAAAAAATATTAAGTCCAAACCAACTACCCTGTTGCCGGCTACGCGGATACGGAGTGGGAGTGCAGTGGAGCATGACGCAAAGTACATACATGTAGCACTGAGAAGGTTTATTGAGGGCAATCAACCGTGACTCCGTAGCCGGCTACGAGGTGCATAGATCGAGTGGCAGGGTATTGTGCAATTGTGCCGGAAAGAATGTTGCTTCTTTACGCCTTACATCATCTGAATAAAGTTCAGTCATTACAAAAGTGTTGACAATATATGAATCTGGGAGCATTGAGAATTAACATTTCCAATATTGTTAGGAATTAGTTAGAACATTTTCTTGACTCTCCATAAACTTTTCTTCTCAACCGCTGAAGTGGCGTCAGGACACTTCATTCTTTTCAATAATAACTTATGAGTTGTGTATTTTATTCTAACACTTGCCCTGGCGTGAAAAGTTAAAATAAACTTAAAATATAATGTGTGCAAATTCGTTTTCTTGACACTGTCAGACTGCTTTTGATCGAGGTATCATCACACTCACAAGTCATCGCTTGATTTGGACAGATTCTGTGCAACAGGTAAGAATTAAATAACCCCCAAATGTTAACAATAGTAACATTTCTAAACATTACAAAGATCGCAGATCAGACTCGCAGACAATAAAACTGATGTGTATTTATTTGTTTGATTTTTGGCAGACCACACTGGTAACTCTGCCTTTGTCCCTCGTTCTGTATGCTGAAGAAGTTCCAGCAGGAAGAGGCAAAAGGTGAGACAACTCTTAAATTGTGCAAATAATTAAGGGGATGACCCTAGTCTGAAAATAAGGTAGTGAAAACCTGCAATACAAGAAAATAGACTGGAACATCATAAACAACCAGTCCAACAACACTTTTGTACTGCATCAATCAACTGTGTCAAAAGAAACATCTGGTACCTAGTCTCTTTTACTGCACTCTCTCCATAGTCATCATGTCATGCTACCAGACTACAAGGGCGGATCTAGGGGGGGGGGCCAAAGGGGGCCATGCCCCCCCCCCCCCCCCCCCACCCCCCAAACGAGACCAATTTTTTTTTTTTATGTGACATCGCAATAAAGGCAGGCAATGAGTACACCACCATCTTTTCCTCAAAAAACATTGGTTAAAGTGGTCAGAAATTGCCTCAGATCGCACCACAGAGCATCTAGAATCCAAAAATTTTGGCAGTTGTGGGTTAGAGTCCAGCCGGGGTCATGGTGCGTGTGCCCTTGAGCAAGGCACTTTGTCACTCATTGCTTCTCTCCACCCAGGAGTAAATGGGTACCTGTGAGGGCAGAGATGGTTATTGTGATTGAATTAGCTTGCTTGCGCCTAACAGGCAGCATCGAGCTGTATACTTCCCAGGGAGCTGAAATGGTATTTGGAATGTTTAATTGGCCCACTGATCAGGGGTAATGATAATACTGCAAGCACTGTGATTTAGTGTACTAATAAGAGCGTTCTTAAAATGCTGATTATTATTATTATCATTATTATTTACTTCTGTGACTGTAGACTGTAGGCTAGAATTGCTAAATTTGTCTTCTTCACAGTCCCCGGGTAGCCTTTCATCTTCACCCAGCTCCACCCAATAAACCCCCTGGACCCGTCATGATGAGTGCTCACTCATACATTCAACTCAGCTTCAAGGAAGGAGGGGAAACAGAGGTTTGTTCTGTTCAACGTCTGACGTTGTATCTGACAAAGCGTATTGGTCAAATTATTGAAACATGCAGGTAGATCGAAGGTATTTTTTTAATAACTTTCGATTGTCTAGATTTTCTGAAAAACTCTGAATGTAACAGCTCTTGGAATATATTCCTTCTAGAAGGTATAAACTTTTTGTTTTAAGTCTTCTTCCGGAATTTCGTATTTTACTGATTTTAAGTGAAAACGTTAATTTCCCATATTCAGGTCAGTTACTGATCATCATATCTCAAAATGCAACTGTAAGGCCAGTTGGAAATTCAAATTAGCATTACCCTGTGCTCTGATCTGATTATTTTATCGAATAGTTTGTAGACTGGCACCCAGTGTTTCCTTCCTTTGGTTTTGTTTCAGAATTAACATTAAAAATAATGGCTTGCCATTTCAGAGTTAATTGGTGGAGTGTCATGGCCTAGCGGTTAAGAACACCGGACTCATGCTCTGGTGTTTCAGAGGCAACAGTGGCGTGGGTTCGAGCCTGCCGGGTGGACACTTGTGCCCTTGAGCAAGGCATTTAACCATTATTGCTTCGACCTTCGGATGGGACGTAAAACCGTAGGTCCCATGCGTTGTGTAATCCAATGCACGTAAAAGAACCCAGTGACACTTATCGCTAAGAGAAGGGGTTTGCCCCGGTGTGTTTCTGGTCTCCTGTATAAACTCCCACGCAGAGTATTTAGGAGATGAACCAACCAAGGTGGAAGTGTGTTCAATGAAACCTGCTCCTATCCATAGTTTTTCAGGTGTTTGTCGGAAGAACTATCTAGGAGGCGGTGGGAGTACATGCCAACCCCAAAAGCAGCTGGGAAGGTGGGTCAAGCCTTTCTGCTTGGAAGTAGTGAATACATCGTATTGTATTTTGGCTGAAAACATCGTCCAATTCCAGCAAATATTAGCCAATCACCAGTCGCATGTAGGATAAATCCCATGGCATATCGGTTGGTAACCTAATATTACTAAGCCAGTATATTCTGTGCTTACAAGCTCATTGAAATTGGCCTTATTGATGCTTAGAACAAAAAAAAGCTCCCAAAGCTAAGCACATTTTTTTAGCGTAAGAAAGAAAATGTCTGTATTTGTTACCCATTTTAAAGCGCCACAGCAATCCTTCCATGATGAAGCAATATTCAACTCCAAAAGTGGTAGCGGTGTTTGTGTCCTGGCCTATTTTTTGGCACCTCTTCTCTAGAATTCTGAGGATTTGAGAATACTTACCGGCCTTCTTTGATTTTTCTTGACAGCCCAAAGCAATCCATGCTGGAATTGTCGGCATTGAGCGAAATCTGGAGAAAAAGTGGAGGGACACTGATGAAAATATATCCCAGGTAATTGCAGTAGAACATGTAATGATATTTTTTACGGAAAACCTGCAATGTTTATCACTGTGTGTTGTTTTTTTAATCTTCAGGAATAAAGCCAGACCCTCATTGCTTTTATAACAGTGCATTTAGAACAGTATTATTTAGAGTATGGGGGTCGTTATTATGGGGGGCCGCTGTGTATTGTGATTCTGTGCAAAAATCTTTGACGATCGTTTAATTTCTTCCTTCTAGGCCTTTGAGGACCTAAACAAGTTGATGAAAAAAGTAAGTGCATGACGTTTTAGAAATATTGGTTTTAAGAATCTGATACGACATTCATATTTTGCATTGTATCGTTGAGAAGACGCATGCTGATTCAGGTTCTGGAAGTTTACTCAATACCTGGAATTTGTTGTTGTTGTTTACATGTTTACAATTCATTAAAAGTAAACCTAGGCAGTTTGTTTGCATTTGTTGCTGTTTTGATTACATCAAATTTTCTTTCTTCTTTTTTTTTTTAACAGGCAAAGGAAATGGTCGATCTTTCCAGAACAATCGCCAACAAGATTAAAGACAAGCAAGGAAGTATCACGGAAGATGAGGTGAAATTTTACATATTAACATCATTTCATGTATCCATAAAGTAGCCATAACCACTCTTAAAGAAGAATAGTTTCAATGTTCAAATCCTTCTGTGCCCATCAAATTGTAAATTCTTGAACTTAGACTCATCAGTACAATTTGAACCATGGACCCAGCAATTGATTAACATAATTCATACCAAACTAAACGAAGATTTTTCTTTTCTTTCTATATTCAGACAGTACAATTCAAGTCCTACCTGCTGAGCCTTGGTATAGCCAACCCCGTCACCAGAGAGACGCATGGAACGGGCACCAAGTACCACGAGGAATTGGCCAAACAACTGTCAGATGTACTAACTAAACCAATAGAGGTATGCCCAACCCCAACCCCAACCCATCCCTTAAAGCTATAGTCCATCATTTGTAATTTGTGCATTTTGTTCGTTTGAAGCAACAAAAGGGTTCAAAATCTAATGAAGGATACTGAACAACTTACTTGATGAAGTTTCAGCTCAACTTTAGCTTCATATTCCGAGAAAAACAGGTTTCTAGGATCTCAATTTAAAATCAAAAGTTGCTAAATCATGTTTCAAATTGTTTTGAATTGCAGCTTTACGCGAGGTTGCGCACTGATCCAACGAATTATAGCAACCGCGCGCGCCTGTGCGTCGTTCCAATGCTTGTGCGCGCTGCGCCGAATAACAAAACGAACAACTAATTTAAATTTTCCTTTGGTGCTTCTTAAGAAGCACCGTTGGAAATGCCTTCTTTCGTTGATTTCTTCAAAATGAGAGCTTGCCAGAAAGGATAATTTCACAGGGAGTTTCGTCCCCTTAATATCTTTCAACCAGTATGTTTTTCAACAATAATTACGCCAGTTACTTTTTTGGATAGCTGCAAATGATGGACTTGGGCTTTAAACATCTTGTTTCTGTAGATAGATACCCTTGTCACAAACTACTGGCCAATTTACTCTGTAAACTTCCCTCCTATTCCATGTTCGTCATTTTGAAAATCAACTTTTCTCATTTTTCAACCTTATGTAGGAAAGTGGCGGCATGATGGCCTTGTCTGATGTGTACTGCAGAATCAACAGAGCCCGGGGAATGGAGGTAGGGTTCCAGATTCGATAAGCAGGGCATTACAATATCATTTAGTAGGGCGCCTTACTTTGAAGTGACTTTGTACGATGGGCTGTAATGCTAATTCAACCACAAACTTGGAACAAAAAGTCCATTTCAGAAAACCTGTCAGGCAACTTTTGGTCTAATGCCTCACTCTTATTCCCTCTGTGATTTTGAAAAGGCTTTGTTTTTGATAATATCCTTGTTTGATGTCTACAACAGCTGCTTTCTCCCGATGATCTCGTGGATGCTTGCCGACAGTTCGAGGCCCTCAGACTGCCCCTCAGGTTGCGGGTTTTTAACAGCGGCGTCATGGTGATTGAACTGGTTTCCAAGGGAGAGGAGGCCATCATTAGACAGACAGCGGAACTGGTAATAGATGTCATAGATCATGAATTACCACTTGAGGGCTAATATTGCAAACTTGTGCGCAAATTCAAAAGCACAAATGGGAATTGTTGTTCGTAAGAAAGATGTTATGAAAACCTCCATCAAAAAAATACATAGAGTGAAATCACAATAAATCAAACCTCAAGGGAACAGGTTAAAAATTTGACTTAAGCAGAGTTTTCAGTTAAGCAGGGCCATATATCATTGTTATACTACTGAACGGAATGGCTTCTTTGTTTGACTTAACAGTTGTTTTGAGTTATCAGAGTTCGACTTATCGAGATTTCACTAAATCACATATTAAAGTGACGGAGCTTTGCAGCATGTTCTGAGAAGTTATACCTTTGAATGTCCCTTACTCTGCAAAAAGTTTCAAGACCCCCTAAAAAGCAGCAGAAAATAACCGGCGTATAATTTTGAAATAGTGTATTGTTTTGTTGACTGATTTGGGGCCATGAACCTACATCCTTCTGGATCTGTTTTCTTTGCACTGATGTCGTGACCATGGTTGAAATTTTCTCGTTCTTTTCAGCTGAATGAAAAGAAGACTCTGAGCCCAGACGAGCTTTCTCAAAGCACAGGCATATCCATCTTACTGGCCAAGGGAAGGTGAGTGTTGGTCACAGAACTTGTCAAATATTTCGTGGATTCGTCAATCGCAATGGTAGAAAGGGAATGAGTGCACCTGCTGGAGAACATTCTAGGTACATTCAGGATTTCAGTTGGCTGCGGTATTTGTTGGACTTAGAGTTTTGGTACATTATGTTTAGTTTATTTCTCATTCAAAATCAATCTTAGGTATTTCGATCATACAGATTTTTCACTTGGTTTTCGTTCTTCAACAAGGATAGTGTAGAGAAAAGTAATGCCAGAACAGTATTGAAAAAGTATTGCGGGTTGGAATGGCTCTTTTGAACCTATGTGCCTCTTTTTTCAGTTGTGCACCCCCCCCCCCCCCCCCCATTCTGTAACCCTTTTCACTCCTAACTCTTAGTAAATATTGTATCATTCTCATTGTTACCTGCATTGTTTCATTTGCTTGTTGGACAGATTGTTGGCAGCTGAGGAGGCAGGCCAAGCATGCCGGGACGAATCCGTGGAAGGAATCCGGTTCTTTCCAAATCTGTTCCTGAATCCACCAACCAGATGATGTTGAAGTGTTTTGTTTTTATTTGTAAATCTTAGTCCTTAACATTTGTTAAAACAAGGCTTCACGAGGCATTTATTTGTCAATCATGTATTGCTTTTTAGCAAATACAAGCATTAGTGTCAAGCATCATGTGCATGGCTGTTGACCAACTATTCTATTTTATTGCCAATACAAATTCTCCAATATATAGTTTAAGCATCTAATGCAGTTTACATAATATATAGTGGGTCTATTTGGTATAGTTCAAGCACATGTTGTAAATGGGTGCTTTGAAAGAAAAGAAAACACTTAAATTCACAAAATATTGAAAATATTGCGAATTGATGACATTTATGAAATAAATAAAGTTGACCTCAGCTTCCGTTCAATCGATCGTGCAGATAACAATTAGGTAAATTCAAAAGCGGGAGTCTGTGACCAGACTATTCAGTGTTTGGTACCAAGACGTTCACATAAAATAGTGAACGTGGACTTACATGGTCGATTGTTGGCTGTGCACAACTTTGGCATGAAATGTTGAGAGTTCTGTTACCGTGCATTGTACCAGGGCTCAATTTCATGGAACTGCTATTCAGAGCACAAATATCTGCTAAGCTGAAACGATGGGTCACCAGCCAAATGCCATGTGGTTATTATTGCTTGTGACTGGTCCTCGATCATTGATTTTTGCTTCAAAAATCTACTGAGGTGAAAGACCAATGAGGGTAGGCCTACATCATGTTGAAAACAAAATTCTTGATAATATTTTATTTCTTCACTTTGACTTTTGCATTTGGCTCATAACAACAAGGTATTTTTTCACCAAATCATAAATCATAGTTACATCTAAAGCCATTGTATTGACAATTTAACATTGTCGCGACTGTTTGCAAGTGTACAGTAATAAAATGTATTAGCAGTTTACAGGCAACCAGGGAACTGTCCCTTCATTTTCATGTCTGTTCGTCAGTTTTTATGTCTTTGCCAAAAAAGTATGGTAGTACTAAAGAATGAAATAATATTTATTATAATCTTGACTTTTTGTGGGAGTCGTGATATTTAATGTATTTGCCCTTTATACTTTTTGCATTAAAAACAAAACCAAATCCTTAAGAATATTTGGACAATGATGCGACTGAGTATTAAGTCTATGGAACTGCCGGTTTGAACCGGTTTGATGCGGGTCAAATTTTCCACCCGCCAAAAATGTGAAGTCAGTCACTTGTCTTCGTCTGCCAAATTTTATTTAAAATGAGCAATTGTTTTAATCCAATCAAGTTGATCGGATTACCCTGCCGCGGTCACCCTCACACTTCTGACCAATTGTAATAGCCCATTAGGATGACGTCATTCATCTTCTATCGTCTGATTCTTATTTATAAAAAGTAGGGCCTTGAGTAAAATTGAAAATACTTTTCCCTCCAAATTTGAAGAGTTTCACTAATTTGTTTTTAACATTTATACTGTTAAAATTTATATGCATATCTTAGTCTTAAATAATTATGAATTTTCAAGGCAGAAAATCACGGAAACGGTGGAGCGGAGAAATACGATCAGGGTGATCAAACCAAATAGCCACGATACGCGTGCAAAGTAAACCTTCCTGCCTTTTCACTCCGATCTCGCGTACTCCGCAGCTGAATTTCACAGAGAACGGACCGTTGCCATTTTGCTCTTCCGTTTGCGTGCACAATTTTGGCTCTTTTTACATTCAAATTGTACCCTCCGTCGCACAGGGGTTTCATTAACTGAGTGGTCTTCCACTGCAGCCCAGCGAGTGGAAATTTGTGCTACAAACCAACTTTTCGCGAAAGTATTGACTCCAGGTACCGAGACCTCATCACCGACCGTACTGCTGCCAGCACCACCATGACATCGGCACCTCCCAGCGGAGACTCGTTGAGTTGACATGCCTGGTGAGTCGCCACATTTGGAAACGTACCCAGAACCACTTCGCCTTCAAGAATTAGTCAATGGTCACCTTGTGTTCAACTTTAACATGAAAACTGAACTGAAATTTGACGGAACACTTGACTGAATGAGCTTTAGTAGGCCCTTGAGCTTGCAGCTCGTTCCATTTGGAACTTGAACTTAATTGAACTGGTGAAAAATGGCCGCGTATTTTGAACTTTTGTATAAACTCATCTTGTCACAATTTTGGAGGTTGTACTGCTCAAGCTTGGATGTTAAATTTGATCAGGAATTGTCGGCTTCGTTAAGTCTGTCACAACACAAGAGCAGAGGTGAGTGAAACTTTGCTTATTCTACCTTTTGTGAAATATTAATACAACTTTTCTGTGAAAGTGATACCTTTGTACATGATGTATACACCAACCGAGATGTGATTCTCTTTGGGGAGAAATACATTAAAGGGAATATACATCATTTGCTTTTGCTGTAATTTTCAGAAATGGATGGAATTGGGGGGTTGGAAATATAAAGCAAATATAGTTACACTGACTTTTTGGAGGTTTTGGGTTCGAAAATGCTATAAAAACCAAGAAAAACGATCATTTTCCTGTAGTCTGGTTCCCTGACTCCATATAAGAAGAAACAGAGCAGTTTACATACATTGGGGAATTGTAAGGTCAGGGAACCAGTCTAGCTGGCTCGTACCCGTTCATAGATTTGTAATCGATTGCAAACAAGTGCAATGGTCAATTGGGGCCAGTATTTGAAAAAAAGCCAGTTGTTTCCAACGCTGATCGGCCGATCAGCGTTGGAAATTGATACAAAAATACCACTTTTCGTGAAAATGACAGTATACCAGGTGCCATAATTTTACAGGATGCTTTAGACTGTTATTTACCAACATCCTATTAAGGTATTTCGCAAAAACTTGGTAGTTTTATTTTTCGATGTTTGCAAATGTTGTATATTCCCTTTAAGCTTCAAGTTGAACACATTTTAATGTCAATATTGTCAATTTTCCTATAGGCCCTATATTGCTTTATATGGTGTTAATAATGTTTCAAATTATATTTTACACAAACAACACGGTTTAGAGACGGCCATTTTCCTATGTTATTTTTTGGAATGTGAACAAAGCCATGAAGCTCTTTGTATCAATAGCCGTTTCATCGCTCCTCTGCAAGTTAATTTGCATAGGAATCCGTCTCTCAGGTGCAATGCAGTGACATTGTGTTCGCACGTGGAAAAATAACGGTGGGCGTTGCTACATGTTCGTTATCTAATGAGTGACAAGTTGAAAACTTGATTGTTGTGCAGCAATAGGAATTGTCAGACACGTGCAGTTGTGTTCGCGTGTGAAAAAATGTGGGCGTTGCGACATCCAATGATTGACAAGTTGAAAACTTACTACATTTTATTGTGCCCTAGTTTTCAGTCGCAAGACAGTATTTTGCATAGGAATTCTTCAGATATACATGTAGTGACATTGTGTTCGCACGCGGAATTGAAACAGTAGGCGTGGCTATAAGTCCATTATCCCAGGGAGGTTTGAGTTTCATAAAAGACTTTGGAATGCGTCAATTCGCCAGGTGTTTGATGGCTGCTGACCTGGTAAACACTTTATTTCGGGGCTAAGGAAAAGTTGCTTGGGGTAAATTCATGTGAAGAACTTTGAATTTGTCGTCCGAAACAGAGAACTCCTTATAAATCTACTGGGTGTTTGACAAATTTTCTTTTTTCCTTACTATATAAAGTTTAGATGTCTAATTTTACTCGTAGGGTAGCGAGCCATTTTGACAAGGAGTAGAATTCAATTTAGTTAATTGTTAATTATCAAAAGCATTTTGTCAGATACGTGCAGTGGCATCGTGCTCGCACGTGGAAGTATTAGTTTATCTCTTTACATAAAGGGTAGCATTCCAGTGAAACTGTATATCTCCAACTATTGCTTTGAATAATTTTTAAAAATACCATCACTACTTTACAACTATAACTTCAAGTATAACTAATTTGAAACTTTGGGATGAGCACTTCAGTTAAAGTAACTTTGGAAAGCTGCAATGCCTGGTGTGTTGTCCATTATCGACGATTTAATTTCTTTATAATTGTATAAAATGTTGAGTAAACAAGATTCATAAAATGTAAGTCATCAATATGGACATTGGCTGGTCCTTTGTCCGTCGGGTAAGAAAGAAGACATCTGCAGGGGAAAAAATACAATGCCTGGTGCGTTGTCCATTAGTGACGAGTACATTTTTTATAATTGTATAAAATGTTAAAGAGCAAACAAAATTAAAGTCATTAAAAAGCCATCAATTCGGACATTGGCTGGTACTTTGTCCGCCAAACTGGAAACAAGAAATTATTGATAAGAGTGTGAATAAAAGAATGACAATGCCTGGTGCTTTGTTCATCAGATATTTTAAGTTAAATACTTGAAGACATAAATATGGACATTGGCTGGTACTTTGTCCCCAGTACTAGATGACAGCTTCAGTAAAAGTAGCAATGATTGAATTCATTTATAATTGTATAAAATGTTCAAGAGGAAATAAGAGTCAAAAGCGACATTGGCTGGTCCTTTGTCAGCAACAATAGATGAAAGGCAAACTTCAGGACAGTGACAATGCCTGGCGCAATGTCGCTTATAAGGGATATTCTCTCGGTGTATATTATTTAGTTGTGCCGATTTCAAAGTGGAACCTTCCTGCAGAGTACACGAGAGACTTCTGCATTTAGTAGGCTAAGCTACAAAGTATTAAAATAATCCTCATAGTAAACACTGGAGAAGCCATTCATCAAAATAGAGATAAAGAGAAAAACTATGTATTATTATTTGTAAGTTATAGTCATTAAGCCCTGAAGGAGTTCTCTGTAAAGGTGACGATGTAAAACGGTGTTTTGGGAGCAGACAGAAAATACATTAAATCTTGGATTTACGTCATCTGTAAAAGCGCCGGATTTCTAGATGTATCAATGTTATAGTGGAGGGTACAAATGAGTTAAGAACAGTTTAGCGATCATATTAAATGATCAAAACATCATGAATTTGGTTAACTGTAATTGCATAATATGTTATTTTTTTTGTGGAGGAGATTTTAAGTATGTATTAACTCATCAAACGCTGATTTATTAAGTCCTCGTGGCCGCCCCACGTTGAATTTCTGTTCTTAAAACTGTGTTAAGATATTATTTCGAAAAGAGGTTTATTGCAGAGAAAACTTTTTAGGTGGGAAAAGTGTGGAAATGAGTATTTTATATTCATTTTTTTATATTGCATGTAAGCAAACAAATGTTCATTTAATTTGATGGATTTTGTATGGATTACTGTCGGTGCTGTGTGACCTTTAACCTATTTTATTTCTCTGCCTGTGTTGTACTTTTGCGAACGTTGTTTTGTTTTAAACAACTTGATCGCTGCGGTTACGAAAACGACAAATCGTACAGCAAAAACAAAGTGGACGTTGAAAGAAATAAGACTTGATATCAGTGTTATTTTTTTCTTCTCTGTGATACTTATCCGACGACAACTTCGACGCAGCAAAAAAGAAATAACAACTTGACGAAACAAATAATGCGAAAATTACGTCAAATGTACAGCGGTATTGGAAGAAATAATACTTGAAATCGGTGTTACTTTTTCCTTTCCTGCTGAAGAACCTCTTCAAACAATTCACCACGGATGTGGAAAAAATGTAAAAATCAATCGGTTTTGATTAAAAATTAAAATATGGAAAATATGGCAAAATCACACACTGTAATTTAAATCTTATTTCACAGAAATGGCACATGGCCCCCACGAGCCGGCTTTGAAAATGACCGGCAAAAATTACACCAATTCAAAGCGGCAAAAAAGTAAAACGACAAAACATAGGGCACAAAATTCACTTATCTACAATCTAAAACAAAATCGGTCACGGAAATTGCGAAATGAGAGCGACGAAAATTACGGGGAAAAATTCAAAACTGTAGCCAAAGAACCAACAACGTGAAAACGTTGGCTACAG